AATTTGTTGCCCAATGATACAAAGTAACACAAGTATCACACCATTTCTAACTATAGATAGTAAAAAAATTACTTTCTAAATTATTTAATTGGCCTTGTTAAAAAACATAATTAGGGCTAGAAAAATGAAAGCATAGTGTGACATCAAAAACTTAAACACCGCTAAATCTATCAGTTATTCTGAACATGGGAATGATTTCATTTTCTTATTATTCTATATATTTTCTAAAAACTTTCTATAATTGAGTACTTTAAAATCAGAAATTGACAACAAAATGTATTAAAATTCCATTTTCAAAATGCACTCCACATAAACAAAGAAATATGCTGAGAAAAAATTCTTGTAACTACCTTTCAAACATGGTTACATAAAAGCAAATACTTTTGCCACGGATATATTAACCTGGAATTTAAAAGAAGTATTTTGTGAAAGTGGGCAAAAGAACACAAAAGTACAAACATACTTTAAAACATATTTGAGTGATAGAATCAGGATAAATGTCACCTTATAAAGCACTGAATATCATTTCTTACGTTTACTAATTAGATCTCTTTTCACCAGGATGTATTTCAGCACATGTGAAATGCATTTTGGAAAATAACACACCAATGTTAATTGGTTTGGGGACACTGGGGTCTCCTTCTGGAGGTGGTTTTCAGATTCTTTCTTGAAGAAGAATTGAACAAAACAAGCAAAGATGGTGCAAAGTTTCACATTTATTTGAGGTAGGGAAAGATCAAAAGTTGATAGCCAAGGAAGAAACTGGCTCTGCAGAGTGACTTTGGGCCGAGTTAAAAGAAAAAAACCAAAAACCAAAATAATAGAGAAATACCCTAAGTACATGGCAGGGTACTGCAAATAAAGCTGCGGTAGACAGCACTTAACAGCAGTCTCCTTTCTTAAACTCTACACATCAGGGCTCTTGCAGGAAGTCCGCAGTCCAGTCCTGAGAGGCGGTGCTCTGGGGATTCTGGGATCTTGCCAGGCTTCCTTCCTAGCCGGGAACCCAATGAAAGCCATGCCCTGTTTTCCTATTTCCCCAAAACAGTCAGTGAGGAGCTCCATTTCTCTCCGCAGGACTTACTTTCCTTGGATCCTACCAGGTATTGATTCTGGTTCTCCATTTTTTTTTTTTAGTTTATGTATTTTGTTCTAATGAAGGCTTCTCATCTATATTCAGTTAACCACCTCCCTATTTGTTCTAGATGACTCCAGATGCATCTGATTATGTTAGACACGGAATATCTCTTTTATTTTTAAAATGTAACCTAATCAACCTATGTCTGTGTGTACTATCTCCATAGCCAATCCCTGACAAGTGATATCCTTGTTTAGAAGGAGGTAGTCACAACTACTATAAGATAGGTAACAACTCTGAATTAAGTTATATATCCTGTAGCTATCTTGTAAATGGGAATTTGTTTCCAGAAAAGGCATTTTATGCCACAGAAGGAATCAGAGCTGAGATTTGGCCAGGTCTACCTGCTCCTTCCTTGCCATTATTTGAAAAGATCAGAGCAACACACAAGAAATTTTTTGATTTTGAAGAAGAAAAAAAATGCCCTATGATTCAGGTTCTTAAATTCTTAAAATTCCATCTTTTCAATTCAGATTTTGCAGTTGAGGTTCATTCTGATACCCTTTTTTCTTCCCTTCTTCCATTCTTTTGGACCCCCTTTTTTTGAGCACAGGTATTTTTAGGTTACCCAGGCTGACCTCAGACTCCTCTGAGGTACCCAGATCAGTGTCCTGTTGTACTTTTGTTTAAAAAAATGAGAAAGAGAACAAGAAAAACACATGGAAATGTGTGTACAGTAGTACAGAGGCATTTCTGTTGCTCTTAGTGAACTGAAGGGAGGCCTCCCCAGAAGGAACCTTCAGTCTCCTTGATTAATCAGCCTTGTGGCAACATTTCAAAAACTTCCATGAGGACAAATGCTTGTACCTGGCAGCAGTTCTTTAAAGTCCTCTGAAACATTTTTAAAGTACTGATCTTTCCCAAAAAGCTTCTTTTATTACTAAAAAACAATGTCTCAGCTCTTTAATAGGTGTAGCATTCAAACAGGCACAGATAAAATCATTCCCTTAAATTTGTCTCTGAAGAGACAAATGTGGATCATGTACAAAGCACTAGGAGTAAAAATTTCTGTTGCCTTCTCATGCCACGTGTATAGACACATGCATCAATGGCAGCATGTGATCTCACAGGTTAGAGTTACCCTTTTCCATTGGGAGCTTCTACCTGAAACTGATGCCTTGACAAAAAACAAATTGCTAGTGTTTAAAAATGGCACCAATTTATGTCCTTGGAAACTCCAGGCTTGTCATTGTTACTTTTCATTAAAAAGGCCAAGCAGGAAAAAACAGAACCCTGTTCTGCATCCAAACACCACCACTGGTAAATTAAACACACATCACGGAGAATGCCATGACTTGTCATGCCCAAAGTGATAATCTGCAGTCCTTCTAATTATAGCTGATGTTATTTTCATATTTAGGAAAACTCTACAATTTGATTTTTAAATGAACACATAGGCCAGAAGGCTATCACCATATGAGAAGTGACCAGAAAATTTAAAAACTTATTACAGTAAAAGACACATTTGCAAGAATGAAAGGATAGAGAAGTATGAAGCAAGGGAGGTTAATGACAAAGTGTCTCTTTTAGTTACTTTTCTCCTTGCTGGAGACAAAATGTCCAGCACCCAAAGCTAAAGGAAGAAGGCTGTATTTAGCTCACAGTTTTCAGTCCATAACTGGCTGGTTCCAAGGCAGGGTGGCAGAGAGGCCATGGTTCATGGTGGCAGAAGACAGCAAATGCAATTAAGAAGAAACAAGACAAGCTTCTTTCTGTCCCTTATATTGTATCTAGTCTACTGCGATTAAGCTGGTGCCAATCCAATCAGTGAACTGATCCAACACTCATCCAACCTTAATCCCAGCATTGCCCTAGGAATCAATGATACACTCTGGATTCAGCCACCTCTGAAAAGCCTACCCCCCATAACTGCATGAGGCTTTGGGGGAGTATCTAGACACAAAGTATAACAGCGCCTTTTACTGCAATAAATTTCTTTAAATATGCATCATTGTAGGAGACAATTTGAGCAACTCCCCTTGAATGCAGAACAACTGCTGCAACATTGATTAAATCCAGGTGCATCTTTGTATACTGATATGTACAGAGCTGACGATATTTCCTTCTCTCTTCAACTGGTACTAAGCATTGCCTTCTTTGTAATCCCTAAAGTCATCAGATGGTCTCCTGTTTCCCGGCATAGTGCTCTCTATAAGATAAGAGGGCAGTGGATGGCATAGTCAGTCTGCTTCAGGAATGTCAACTGGGCATGAGCCTCGAGATAGAGGCCGAGTCCCCAGGGCACACAAGTTTACATATCAGAAACTGAAGCAACAGTCTCCCAAAACAATTTGCTACCTTAATTGAATTATGTAGATGGAACCTTCTGCATGTCATTCTCTTCACATTTTGCAAAGATGCTTTTCTCCCTAATTGGCTAGCCAGTCAGATTACTCACATAGTTCCTGCCATCCTTGCTGCCACTCATCTTTAAGCCACCCCCTTCTTCATGAGACAGTCAATTCTGGGAGAGGCCTTGGATCAAGGCCTTTGTCCACCTATCCTCAGAGGGACTGGACACAGGACCCCCCGGCTGCCCTTAATTTTGACTAAGGGCAAATTTTGACTAAGGGTTTTGGTGTCTTTACTCATACCATGGGTTGCATTGGAGGTGGCAGGTTGGAATTAACTCGCCAGGATTCCAATAAAGTCTCAATGGGTTTACAAATACCACTTTTTGGATTGTGGGGAAGACTAAAACAGGGATTACAATAGGTGGATTACAGTACTCGGTATTTGGGATTACAGTACATCACATTTTTGATCACTCTGTAGATCAATCACGCATGGCAATTTCGGTTAAAAACAGCGAGCTGTGTCCTCAATCCACCGTATTCACTGGTCTGGTACCAGGCAACATGTGGGTCTTTTTGAAAGTCATAACAGTGAAAGGTAAATGTTCTCAATCGATTCAAGAGATGAAGCCAGCCACAGCAGCACAACCAGAGACACAAAAGAGGAACTGCTTCAGAACGTGGCAAGAATGATGGGAGAAGCGTGTTTGAACTTATTCAAGGGGCTGCTACCAAATTCTGGGGTTCTAGGGTCTCCTTCCAGGGGGTATTTTTTAGGTTTCTTTTATCCTGAACAAAGACAATCAAAGAAAGGTGGCCAGGTTTTACATTTATGAAAAGTAGGAAGCAAATATACTGTGCAGAGCAAATGTGCATCATTGAAGAGGTAGCAGTGGCTACCGGCTTCACGGCATCTGTTTTGTATTTCCCACTCCTGGGGCTGGGGATTTAGCTCAGCGGCATAAGCGCCTGCCTTGGAAGCAGGCAGTCGTGAGTTTGATCCCTGGTACCGATAAAAAGGAAAAAGACAAAAAACAAAAACATGTATTTCCCACTCCTCAGGCTGATGGTAGGTCTAGGCTGTCTTAGCAAACCCTGCTTGAGTTCTCATCAGAAGAATTGAAGATAGCACTTTGGCTCCAGGAGACATGCGTCTTCTGAGTCTCCGTGACTGGCAGGTCAGATCCCCCTTGCTGGCCATGCCCCAACCGCCTGCCTTGGTAGTGTACTTTGAGAGCAATTCATGGCAAGGTGCTTTTTATTGTAATAAATACTTTAAAAAGTAAACAGTTACTCAGTTTTGTTCACATCTCAAATTATCCTAATAAATTCAGTTATCCAATTCCTTGACTCTTAAGGGGGCAGGAATCTGGAACTACAATTGTCATCAACAGAGGCAAGCACATGGCTGATATTTATTAAAAACATTCGCAGAATGAGTGGTTAATTCTAATTTATTATACTTTCTTTATTTGATATCCTCCAAATTTAGCCTATCATACTATTATATAAGCTTTATTTAAAACAAATAGAAAAGGTTTGCTTTAAATAACCAGGTATTCCATATATTCAAGTGAATATGCTTTATTAAATGCACACTAGTATTTTTCTATAGTATGTGAGTATACATAATAAATTAAAGTGCATATATTTATTAAATATAGGTAGATATAATACCAGAACATGGTTATTTCAGATGAGAAATCAAAATAAACCTATTTTAACGTATCTTTTGGTCACTCCAAATTGATACTGCTTATAAAAAAATACACCAATTTTCCCTAGGGAAAAAAATTAATTCCATAGCAATGTAATTAAGGGACGTTTTTATTTCATACATAGCTTTTTGCAAGCAAAAATTGCCTTGATACAAAATGAGTTCAATGATACAGGTGCTACTTTCCACTCAAGCAAAAGAAAATCTCACATTTATACGACTGCATTTTAGGGTTATATTCTTACAGTGTAGTAGGCCTAGTATCCGGGATGCTTTTGGCTGGCTGCCGTTAATGCCATGGCACAGGAATGCTGCCCTGCACTAGCGGCGCGTGGCACTGGCGAGTGCTTGAAGTAAACGCCTGTGAGTTCTCTGTCAGGTTGGAGAACTGCTTGGAGAACTGTGTGTGGATGTGTCTGTCTTGCTGCCATCCAACTTTCATTTTACATTTAAATCATCCTAAAATACATCCTCGGTCTGAGTTCTTCGGCTGTTTGGAATTTCCACAGAAAACAAGGAAACACATCATGAGGTGTCTTCAGTGTCAGCTATCAGTGTAGTGCTGTGGTTGTCGGAGAGAACGGAGACTTACTTGTTGAAGGGTAACTGATTTTAGTGTACACATTAGGTGTAGAAATGTTAGCTCACATTGGACTCTTTCTTCCTTGTCACATATGATGTGACTTTAGTCCCATAATATCTGACCAAAAAATGATACAGATCAAATAAAAAGGCATATTCACAGATAAGGCCATCTGCAGAATCATCGCTTGAGATATTTCACAATAATTTCTACATCATACTTTACACTGTTCAAACTTAAATAACAAATGTTCGAGGAAGGTCAGAGGAGCAGACAGCACTATCTCTTGGAGGACTTATCCAGTCGGCTGGCAGGCAACCTCCTCTGCGGCATGGGAATTTTGGAAGGCTTGCCTGTGCCCCGAGCAGGCCGAGGACTCGCTCGGGGCGCAGGTCTGTGTGTCTGGGGGACGGGCTCCACATCTGAACACACAGACTGGATTTCTGAGATGTCGAAGTCAGATGCATCACTGCCTCTGCGGCTGCTGGCCCTGCTGCCAGCTTTGCTCCCCGCGCGGCTTCCGGGTCGGCTGGGAGTCCTCCTGGCATCTGAGAGAAGGCAGAGACGGGTTACTCCTATTAGTGGCCTTCCTGCAACTCGGGCTTGAAAGCTCATGTACCTTGAACCTCAACCTTTCCTTCTTTGTTGAAACGCTTTGAGGGGCTCAGAAAATATACCTTCCCTGTTAAACACAGGCAGGGAGCCTTACTCTAACAATACATGATATGGCAAAAACTAGATTTAGATACCCTACTAAAAACAGGATTTGAACTGATCACAGACAGACATTAAGGAATATCCTTGCCTCATGAGCTCTGCCTTCTCAGGGTTACCAAGCGTACCCACTCCACTGCACAGGGGCAGATTCTAGGTTTGCCCTGTCTGAGGACAGGTAACTCAAAGAATGCAAGAATTTAAAAGCAAAGAGTTGAAACTTTAAAGAAGCTCTGGTCTGGCTGAGATGAGGACTCAGGCACTGAAAAGTTCACTATTCTGAGAGGATATCGAGAGAGATGCTGGCATTAGGTCAGGCTGGCTGGGGTATTCAGCCATCTGACCCAGAGCCCCTTGTAGGCTCCAGGTGGGAGCCCAGGCTGTCCAGCCTGGTTGGGTCAGTAACTGTCTCTTTTCTTCTGGTCTGCAGTCCATCTCTCATCTGTCTTTGGTACTTCTCAAAAGGTGTTTCTCAGTTGCTTGTTCTCAAAGCACATTTATCCCCTGCCTGTGCTGGATGACTAGGACTGCATGTTGTTTTAAGAATGCAGAAATTCAGAAATGCACCCCTTTCCGGGCTGAGAATGTGGCTCAGTGGCAGAACACTTGTCTAGCAAGTATAAGGCACTACCCTCAGTGTTACATGATTCTTTTCCAGTGGGAAGGAAGGGGATTTTCATCTTCCTATTAGTATGCTGCAAAGCCATTAAGACAGAAGGGCACCCTACTCACCAGCGAACTGTGTTCTCACTCTGCTGGCTGCCGTTGTGATCAAGCCACTGTCCTCCCCGGAGTGGAAGCCTTTCCCTGATAAGTACCCTGGAAGTCGCAGCTTGCTGCCTTGGATCGGAGTTCCCTGTATGAACAGAGAAGAGTATCTCAAGAGCTTTTCCTGTTCGCGACTTTCACCAACACTTCCTCTCTACAATGGCGGCCATGCACATGATGCCTCTCCCAGTTAGGGCACAGGGCTTCTGCTTGCTTGTTCCTCCTTTTTAAAATTCTGGGTTTAAAGGAAACCTTCTAAAGGAAATGAATTTGTGGTCAAAAAGAAAATACTATATATATATATATATATATATATATATATATATATATGGCACAAAAGCGATGGCAAAGAAAAGACAAACTGAACATGGGGACACAAGGGTCTCCCAGATTGCAGCTCACTTGTTGGGTAGCGAGAGGACAGGACACCCAAAACTTGTGTTTGGATATTCTGCTGCCTACAATGCTTTTAGGGAGCTAGGCAGAATTCAACAAACAGAAACCGAATGAAGAGTAAACACACACTGCTTACAGAGCCATCACTCAAACAAACTACACTGCAAAAAGGAAAAAAAAGCGATGTTGTATACGGGCGCCCTATTACTCCACTTCTTGGCTCCTGCGCTTTCACGGTCCCACATACAAGACCTGCAGACAGCGTTCTAAAAATTTTTTTAAATTCTTACAGGAAATGGCAGAAAATGTCTAAGCATTTGTAAAATTTTAGGCTAACTCTGAAATCATTGCATTTCTCCAGGTCACAGCATTTTGACTACTCTGATAAAAGTTGAACAAAAAATAAAACTCCTGAAGAGTGTTAGAGATTTTGTACTCCTCAGTTAATACACCATCAAGGAGATATTTACAGATAATAAATCTGTACAGATTATATGTATGTTTAAAAAATAATTTCCTTCGTAAAGGTAATTTTAAATGCTTAATACATAGACCTTTCAACAACAGAATTGCATTTACTAATTAATATCTACTCCATACACTTGGGTGAAGTATTTACAGAGGATTTCTACACACAGAATGCTCCAGTGTTCAAAATATTTTCACATGCAGAGCCACAATGACTCTCACACTCACCTAATCATCACTTGTTTTATAAATTTGAGACATGAGGGCTCAAGGAAAGATATAATCTGACAATTCTGACTAGCTAAATTCCTAGCTTAAAAGAATCTGAACAATCCACAAGGGCAGATAGACACTCACCAAGTGTGGTGGCAGAGTCTTTGTTGAATGCCCTGATTGTCTGATCTGTCACAGACCCTTCCACCAAACAATATTGTGGTGAGTTTTTTGGGATGGTTTCTATTTAATCAGGTCATTTGAAATGAAAGATATGATTTGGTATTAGTCCAAATAATGTATTTTAATTTGGAGGAATTAAAAATTTGAACACAGCATCTTAGTTCTAGATATTTTTAAAAAATGAGGTGTGACAGAAAAATATGAAGATTTAAATTTTAAAAAATCATTACAGTAAAAACACACTGCTGTTAACCCCCCTCAAATATTCTCCTTCCCTTCAAACATACTCATCCCGTCATTCGAGCTCCTGAAAAAGTTCTCGAAGTCCTTTTTCATGAGCATTTTTGGTTGTGCTCTGTGGATGTCCTGACCTTTCATGGCCATCTGACTGGGGTGGAGTTCCAGAGCCCGTGAATAAGGGGGAGGAGGATGCACTGTGAAACTTTCCCCGGCCTGCCTCTCTGCTGGCCGGCACTTGGCAGTGGCACTCACTGTGTTTTAAGCACACCACAGAAAGCCACTCACAAAAAAGCCCTTCCAGCCTGCTTAAAGAAGTGGTGAGAGCAATGGAGTAAGTATGTTTGAAGTTGTGGAAGGTGGTCTGAAGGGGATTAACAGCCATGCGTCTTTCATCATGCATCTTCTACTTCAATTTAACTGCGTGTGTGCTGCTTGAACTTTAAGTCTTCTCAGCTGTTGCTATAATCCATCCATAACAAGTGACGAGACACCTTGTGCTGCACTCTATGGTCCTAACATTTCCCACTGAGGGCTGGGATGGGAATGAGCAGCATGCAAAAATGAAGACAGAGCAACAGGAAAAGCTGAAGAATGGGGTGTGTCTGCCCCACTCTACTGCTTAGCAGCAACAGAACCGCCACGGGATTATCCAGGTAATGTACTCTTCTCCCATTACTTCTTATTACTGATGTGAAGTAGTATTAGTGTTTTATTAGCAGAAAGGACTTCTTAAAGGTACTGCATTTCTTTTATACAAGAGTCTTTGCCTTTGAGTTGTATCTAATTAAGAAGAAATAACTTCTTTCATTTCAAGAAAAAAATATTCAGCAAGTTTCCCCACTATTTATTGTGACCAATAAAAAATGTGACTATTTGGGACTTATGTCTGCCATTTCACAGAGAAGTCTGTTAAAAAGATACATAGTGAACATTTAATTGAATGTGAGTATGATACATGAGTTATACTTGGTAAAATTTGAAGTCTCTAAATATCTTAGGCCCAAATATCATGCCATATAGAGCAATTATAGCATTCTTAGATTAGTTATTGAAATCTAACAGAAGTGTCTTAGGGAAGTGAGAGAAAACTTTCTGCACAGCTAACCTCAGCCCTCCAACCTCTAGCAATAATCACTGATCATTTGTGTCACACATGCCCTGCGCTGCTGGGTGCAAATGACCTCCAAGGCTCATCATGAATATTCACTAGTTCTTTTTACTAATGTGGTTCCCTTGCAAATGATGCTGCCTCTCACTGCTTCCTAAAGGGGGCGTGTTGCATTTTTTTGCTCAGATGATGTCTGTATCTAAAATCATCCTATCAGCTTTAATACAATCTGTCTTTTACTCCTCAGAGAGACACAGCAGAGTCTGGTGAAGGGAGAATGACAGGTATGCTGATGTCAGGCTGACACCATCTTTTCCGTTCATCCCTTGCTCTCATGTCTTTGAAGGACTGCTAGGTTGATACGTGTTATATAGAAGTCTATAAAAGATGCAATATTATCAGAATTACATACACTGAGGGAGTGGTGAGGCATTGTTAGTGGGTGACAATTCCAGTTAAAGAAAACTATTAGGGCTGGGGTCTGGGGCCTCACGATACCTCTGTGGATGACACGGCAAAGTCTGGGCACTCTGCTGGCTTACAAGGAGTTGACATTTTGCTGTTTGTCAACCATGGTTTACCATAATTGCGTGTTAAAGGATGGAGAATCTGTATGGAACAATGGCAAATCAAATGTAAAGGATAGCAGATAAAAAACAAAGCAATAGAAAGAGATATTCACAGCTGGGAGTCACATTTTACAGATAACAATTAAAAACAACTGGAAAGATCTGATGGCAAATCATACACATCAAAAATAAAAAAATAATTAAAAAAAACAACGAAGATTTATAAAGAAAACTCAATTTGAAAGATAACAAAGCCCCCCTACATGAATAATCTCTATATAGGTCCCTAGAAAGGTATATTTTTAAAACAAGAAAATCCTGAATTCCCCATATTGTGAGAAGGGACACAAATGGAAACAAGTATTTCCACCAATTCTAGGGACGTAAAACATTCGCAAGTATCCTTAGGACACTGTGTTGGGGGGCAGCACTTCCATCCCAGGGTCCTACCTTGGGTGTTCCGGTGGCAGGGACCTGTGGGGAAGCCCCCTGAGCAGCCTGGCTGGACACAGAAATCGATCTGTTAGGTGATGCTCCCCGAGAGGACGGCCGGGATCTGCGACCCCGGGGTCGGAAAGGAGTCATGCCTTGACTGGCGCCGTCTGCTAGGATGAACTTCTCACGCAGTTCCATGTTGGTTCTTCCTTTGGCTAGGTCACACACAAACACACAGGAGAAGGAGTACAGGCACTCAGTCATTGGTGGAAAGAACCACCATCTAGTACCAGAGATCACCCTGAGAATTTCAAGAACATCTTTTTGCCATGCCAACTCCAATTCAGCATAACAAAAAGTTAAATGCATTAATAATGCATTCCTTTTGGATACAAGTGAGTTTGGGAAGGGGACAAAGTGTGCTTATTCTAATACTAGACACCAGCAAGAATAACTACTATAAAAGAAAGAGTCAGCATGAAAATGGAAAGCTCATGCCAAAATACTGTTAATCCACCAGCTACTGATGCCACGGGGTCTCATTACCCCTTCGTCACACTGAGAAGACAAGTGAGGAGGGCAGGGACTATGCCTCTTGCATGTGCTATTTCGGTCAGGAGAATGCTGGTATTTAACATGAGGATTAATGAACAATAGATTCACAGAGAACCAGAGATGGCTCATTAGGCATGATGACAACACAGAAGCTTCCAGGTTTTTCACTGACATGAGGTAACTAGTAGATTTACTTTATGCCTTGAGAAACTTTTACCAACATGCAATAACAAACAGCAGACCCGAGGATCCGTGAGGGAGTCAGTGATGCAGCACCCATACCAACACATGTGCGTAGGGAGCACGCCTCGAGAACCTGATGAGCAACGTGTTAGCATGTGTCTGACCACGTAGGCAATGCCTGCATTCACAACACACTGGAAGCGGGTCCAATTTCCAGAATTTAAATTTGGAAGCACCAGCTCACAGTTGGATTCGAGTTAAGCCATAAGCAATGAAGCATGTTACAGTAAAACAAATGATTAAAGCAAGAATGTAAAAGTAGAAAAAGAGAAAAGGAAAGAGGGAGAGCCAAAGAGAGGGGTTGCCAACCTATAGTAGGCTGAGTAGTAGTAATTGAAGAGTTTGATTCCGAACGTAACATTTTACTCCCATGATGATGAACTAGAAAAAATGACACAGGATACCAATCACATTTAAGAATACTGGTTAGCAGAAGAAGAAGCAAAGTACAGTCATTGAATATGCAAAGAGTGCTCCAGCCTGCAGCACACATTTTAGAAGAAAAATGGCATCAAGGAAAGAAGCCCTTAAAGTTCTGGCTCAACAAGAAAAGTGCATTTGAGAGACTTTGCCATAGTCACGCTAGATTCCTAGCTACTAACAGAATAATACACACTCTAATTTCTTTCTTTCATAAGCGGAGTTGCACTAGGTTATTACATTCAAAATACAGTCATGTGTGATGTGAGGTGTTTCAGCCAGTGAAGGTGCCCTGTGAACCACGCCAGAGCAGAAGCATTCCATTGCCTGGCCAACACTATGGCTGCTGAGTCACTCAGACACCTGCCATGGTGCTGGTGTAAACAAACTTGCTGTGCTGTCATACAAAGCAGAGCACACAATGCTACGCATAGGACAGAATGCAGGATGGTGATAATGACTGTTACTGGTTTATGTATTTATATTATATTTTACCGCTTAGGCTGTACTCCTACTTACAAAGGTTAACTGTAAGATAGTCAGCTGTGTTAGGCCAGCAGTAGCTTGTGTATCTCATGTTAATAACATCTCTCAATCACACTGTTTTTTCTTGTGCTTGCTGTAATCTCATGTTGCTTTGCTCATCATGTCCCGGCGAGCACCAATTATTATAGCATTTTCGCACCACAGCAGACAGCCCAGGTGTGCAGCAGGCTACATGAGGTTCTTTGAAATACACTCTTTGTATGCACAATAATAAATCATCTGATAATACATTCCCTGGAGCACAACTCTATCAAGTGACACAGACTGACAGAAGGAAGTACGTGCTTTTATTCTTATTTTACTTCTCTTTCAGGTTAGGTCTTCAGCCAACAGCAAGCAGAACTGCTTTGTGTGGCTGTGTTATAAACCACGGTGGTCTTGGCAGACAGGCTGGCTGATCTGAATCCAGGATCCTCAGAAGACAGTACGATCCCAGAGGCTTCCCTGGAGTGCCCTTCACCTCCCAGTTATTAGCCCAAGTCGATAGTACTGGTGCAGATATTGTAAAAAGGACTACTATAAGCTCAAGACTAAAGCAAACTGTAATGGTTCTACTCTTTCTTTTTTTCAAAGTAAGAAAAATGTACTGACTGAGTAGGTGATAGCTAATTGGAAACTGCAATCAAGTGTTCACTTGTAAATTAATTAAGAATTTAAAAATTGATGTGCAGATTAAAAGTTATCCTAGGATTCTTAGAGTTGTAGACATGGTGAGAACATGCTTGTATTTTTCATATTCTGGTCTGTGACTTCAAAGTAAGAGTTAATAGTTCATGGCTATTTAAAATTTTTTTTAAGTATTGCTTTTTTCAGGTCTCCCTTATTTCATAAAAACTCTGACTTTTAAATTTTTATTATGCAAGGTGGACATGGTGGTACATGCCTCTAATTCCAGCACTTGGGAGGCTGAGGCAGGAGGATCCTTACAAGTTCGAGACCAGCCTAGGCGACAAAGTGAGCTCAAGGCCAGCCTGAACTGCATTAGCAAGACCCTCAAAAAGGTAACAACAATGACAACAACAACAACAACAACAACAAAACCCTTTTATTATCCAGCACTTATAGTCATTATTGTCTCAACTTTTTTTCCACCTATTTTGCTATATAATAACAAATTCGTTCATTGCCAAATATGAGTATTCATTTTAAAAATTAGAGATAGGAGAATCTCATAAAGAAAATTGAGTCTAGTATTTCCTACCTGTCTCATATTTGTTCTAGAAACAGTAAAAAAAAAAAAATGAGAATAATATGGTCCACATAACTGCCATAAGTTTTCTGGGAACTTTAGGCTGTGGACCACGGTGAAACACTCACTGTCAGAATCAACATTCACACTATGCCCAGGATGTTTCCAATGCTGGAAAATCACAGAAAGCTGGCCTTTTCATGGTGCTATCACTTTCACATAAGCATCATCCTTACCCCTACAAGGATCGTTTTTCACCAAGAACTCATCAAGTGCCATCCATCCACCTCCAACACGAACCATCACAGTACTTCGCAGGATCCGAACCAGCCGCAGTTGCTGTGAGTCTCCAAACTGCACAATGAAGAAAGAAAGAACCTCTATTTGTCAATAATAACCCTGAAGCTACAATGTTATGTGTGATCTGCAGAAGCTTAAGCAACCAACTTTACTCTCTTGCTTAGTTCATAGCGATTAGTAAAATCTCAGTCATGATGTGCGTTAGGCTGCTGCATGCTGATTTAGCCCAAAAGAAAAAGTTGAGGAAAAGATTCAAAGGTTATCAAGTATAACATTGAAACTTTATTCTAAATTTTTTTTCTTATAATAGAATCATCATTAGTACGGTAGTAATTGAGAAATGTTTTTAGAAATTAAACACAGCCATAAAAATTAGCACTGGCCCATTTGTTATGGGTTTATATAAAATAAGCAGATTCAAAGGAAAACACAATAAATTCATATTTCTCTCCATTAAAATTATTTTCTTTGTGGTAGTAGGGATTGAATCCATGGCCTCTGAACTGGACCACATCCCTATCCCATTTTTATATTTTTACTGAGACAGCTAAGTTGCCCAAGCTGGGCTTAAATTTGTGATCCTCCTGTCTCAGCACTGATAGCACTGGGATTACAAGCATGTGCTACCATGTCTGTCTTAAAACTACCTCTTACATTAAAACTCTTTTCCATTGAAATCTATGGGAGAAATCCTCACAAACACATTTTGTTTTCTTTAAAAAATTTTTGTTTTATGGAGAGTAGAGTAATACATGAGTATGACTAATACAAATTTCACAGTCAACTAAAATTTCTGCATCCTTAATGGCCTAAGAAACCAATTTATTTAAGGCTGGATTTATACGCCACTTCAGATTACTATAATAGGGTAACAGCCACTGACAAATTATTAATGATACAGATTTCAAATCTAAAAAAGTTTCTCCAAAACTGTTCGTACTGTTACTGTTGACACTAACAATCATCCTTTCCTTGCCCTTCCAATGAGTTGCCAATCACTTGGAATACGGTATAAATTTGTCATGTTCCAAGTAAATGCAACACTACAGGTAGTTCTGCTCATACGTTTATTTTTTTTGAAAGCCTGTGAGAAATGACTTTGTACTTTTAAATCATTTCTAATAGGCTTATATTCAACCTGTGAAAAATACTGTACTGCAATTTCATGATTGCCAACCCAGCAGACAACAAAGCAAAACAAACAGTTAAGCATAAGCAGCTTCTTTTTAAAGCAGGGAAAATACAACAGTGACACTATTTGTCTGGAATCATTATGAGAAACAGAAAACTTTAAGTGGAATGATCTGCTATTTTCAGTAACCTTCAGTGTTAGATTTCAGGAAGGAAACCCTTAAGCAAAGTCAACCCAGTCCTATCAGGATCCTGAAACTCAGCAGGGGCTGGAGAGCAGGCAGAAGGCACAGGAGGACCTCGTCTTTGTACACCCAGAGCTGTGAGATTCCTATTTCTAACCCTGATTTTTAAACATTGAGTTTTGACTATTTCATAAGTGAACCTGTTCCTGAAATGTAAATTTAAGTAACAAAACATGTATTGTGTTAGAAAAAAATTTGGTGTCACTACTAAGCAAAGGGAGAGGGGAGATTTAAAGAAAATTACCCTTAAGGAACCAGATAATCAGATAATTTTGGTCCAAGATTATGTTCAAAGCAAAAGTTTTAAGGACATCAATAGTACTTTTTAGGGATAAAATTTTAGTTCTATTAAACGTGAGTGCTTTTCAATCTTAAGAAGGCATTCTTCAAACAATTGATGCTGCTTTCAGAATTTCTTTAGTTTTCCTAATACCCCAATGTTGAAACAAGAAAAAGATTGATATTCTCTGTGCTTTAGTAAATAAAATCTTTTCAGAATTTCTTTTTATTGTCTGCACAAATAAATGACACTATCCCACTTGCTAACTCAGAAAATAACAAAAATGGCAAGGTAACATTTAATGTATTATAATAAATGAAATTTTACCCTGATTCGAGTATTACTATCTTATTCATGTGTCAAGTTATTGTGTTGTATTCTATAAACACATCAGTTCAATTTTTCTTGGGAAAAACCAATTTAAGTACATGAATACTTCTATTTTAAATAAATTATCTGCTTTCAAGAAATGGGAGTAAGTTGAAATTTAAGAGGTAATATGGCTTAAAATTGAGTGGCAGATAATGCTTAATATATTTCAGCTCCTATAGACAGTAATGTTCTTTACAAGAGAACACAGTAAAAACAAACAAACAAAAACCCTCCTTGAATGTTAACATGAGAACATTTCTTTTGTCCTTAGTTTAAAATCTAGCCATGCCATAGTGCCACTAGGCAGTTTATGCTGGCGTAAGTGTCACTGTAGACATCAGGGTAAGTGATAAGATTTGACTTCACATTTTGTGTATGTGACAACATTCCCCCACTTGAAGTCTCTGGGGTTAATGTTTCTACTCAGTGGATGACAAGCCCTACATCAACGCCTCAGCACAAATGGAAACAGCTGCTCTGGAGAGAACATGTCACTGTGGCTGAGTGTCACAGAGACCTCTCCATGCTCTGCCTCCCCTGCCGCTGCCAATCCTCCTGCGCTCCTGTGCACCACGGGTCCTCCACGTATGTGGAGAATCTAGTCCATGTTTGCTAAGTGCCTGCATAAGATATATGCTAAGAGTATTATTGAAAATTGGAATTTAAAATTGTGTTTGTAGCACTGTAGCCAGCTAAGCTACAATTTGTTATCTGGTTTACTTAAAAGTAATCTCCTCATTTGAGATGCAAGGCAAAAAGGAATCCTGGCTCGAGGACCCCACAGAGCGCACAGAAACACCACGCCAACCAACAATATAGTAGCCAGGGGAACAGCATGGGAAGACTGGCCATGGCAAGCTTTAATGACTATGAATTAGAGGTTTAAAAAAGTCATTTGGGACTTGAGAATACACATTCCGCTCATTTATACCTGATTTCCCAGGAAGAACTGATAAAAAAAAATGAAAATGGAAGAAAGACACAATTAGTTTAATAGGAAACTTTCTATGAGACTTGAGAACACACCACACTCTCATACACTGGATATAGTAACTGGTTTAGAAATGTGCAGGTACCCAGTTGTCCCAATTTCAAACAAAACAATCAAAAATTTTTCTCTACCAATTTATTGGAAAATCTTAGCATTTCAAATTTAAGTAAAAATTTTGACTATGTACATGGTTATTTTTCAGGATGAAAGTATAAAAATAAATAATGTTACATTTACAAGTAATACACTGTTAGGGAAACTCACACATTTCCTATCTAGTTACTACCTATCAGAGATGCTCCACAAGAGAAAAAATAAAGACAAAATGATGAAGTCACACTGTTTTTTGGCTCTGAATATGAACTGAGTTCACCTGCACAGGACTAAGTTCACTGAGATTCCAAATACAGGAGAAGTAAAAATTACTGCTTATTTCTCATATTTATAAAAATGAGTCAATATTCTGACTTCATGGTTCCACTTTGGAATAGCTTTGTTTTTCAAAATCTGGACAGTTACCTCTAACTAAAGTAAAATACAAAGTAATATGAAGCAACTTGAATTTATGAGGTTTGAGTATTTCACTATAAATAATTCTTTTTTCTTAACAGTAATATGTATATGCTGTTAAAGGTCAAAGATATGCCCTAACAGGAAAAAAAAGCAGCCTATATTTATATAATTTAAAATGAAAAAGTTAAGAGTTCCACATACCACTGAATTTGACATGTAAAAATAATTAGAATTCCTACAAAACATCACAGATCAAACTTTACACAAATTTCAACTTCTATTCTTTAAAGGAATTACAAAGTTATTTGGAAAACTTACCCTGTATTTGTTATCACCAATCTGTTCAACTTGAAATCGTTTTGCACATTTACACTTAGCTACCTGCCTTGTGACCTGTCAAAAACAATGATGAAACAGTCACTTTAATCTTAATCTCACATAGTAGAACCCTTAAAAACTGTGACACAACAACTAAAGTGGAAATAAAATGCTTTCAGGAACTGCACAAGATGCCCTGGAAAAACACACTAATGTCACTGCAGAGTGGGAAGGCAAGGAGTACCTCATCTTCAATTTTGTCAGCGTCTGTGATGGGTTTATATGCATCTTTATTGGGGTGAAGAGCTGCCACAAATTCATAGTAGTCAATGTACCCATCACCATCTCTGTCAAAGATATCTGCAACTGCGCTCATCTCCAGGCGACTGGTGGGGAATTCTAAAATTGGCAAACACATAGTAAGTACTATATCATAACGCTAATTCCACCTCAAGACATTTTTAATTTCTTTAATTGGAGTCTGGCTGATTAAATTATCAGAATGATCAAATGTGTTAAAAATTGACTAATAGCATCATAAACAAACAGACATACATGTGATCTAAATTTATCTTTATTATTCAGGTGAATCATATGAAAATGCTGTTTTTGTAGGTTGAGAACTTTTTAGTCTGCAATTTCATTCACTTCTACTACTCAAGTGAGTAATTTATATAAAATTTACTTTAAGAATTACTGCTAGTAAAATCTTCTAGGGAAATCACACACAAATGAACCATCACATGAGAAGGTATGAACACCTTAAAAGTTCCTATAGGAGTCTAATGACTTAGTGTCAAGTTAGATCAAAATGTGAATTATAATACAGAGAATTACACTTATTGATTTTCTGTTGCATGTCAGGTAGTTGGCAGCCGTTGAAGCTAGAAATTGAACACACATGCAGGGCTGTAGTATGACTGGGAACAAAGAGACACCTCAAAGAACAAGGTAAGGCTGCAGCTGAAGACTCCTGGCTCTAACTCCAGTTAACAAGATAGAGACTGCGGCCACAGGCATCTCACTCCAGCTGTCTATTTCCTACCACAAATGTTATCATGGAGATAAGACAGTTGTTTTAAATCAGCAAAGAATACCACTTAGAGAAGTCGTTGAGGTGACTCTCCAGGTTCTGCTCATATCTTGCCCTTTGCTCAGTATCCCATCTGCTTTTTTTTTGAAGACCTAATAAGTACATGCCACCCAGAGAAGCTCTCTGTCTTAGCCCCTAGAGTCTCAAACTCTGCCAGAGGGTTTTGATCCTCCTAGAGCCCTAAAATCATACCACTTGGCTCATTTATCTAAGTCTTTGCTGTACACTCATTTGGGAGACTGGGGATACTGACCAGATCTTCAATACCAGGTAACACACAAAAACCCTGCAACTCAAACATTATTCACTTTATTATGCTAACAGTGACACAGCTTTGTAAAGGGACGTATCTGTAGTCACATAATTAGCAAGTGTGTATGACTTCACAACCATAAATTTAACCAAAGATACTTTTTTTTTTTAAAGGCTGGTGACTTTCTAGCTGATTTAAATGCAATACCACTTCGATGGGTCCACAGTTTTAAATTGTGCTTACTGCCTTTAAACGCTGTGTCAGTTACAGTGATCTCCTTTGAGGCTTGCTTACTTGAAGAAAGAATTCCATCGATAAACTCTTGCCGGGTGATCTTCCCATCCTGATCTTTATCAATTCTCCGGAAGAAGTCCATCACTCGAGATTTCTTGTGATTCATCCACCGCATGTATTTTTTGCGCCAAATATCAAAATCAAAGTTAGCAAATTCCCTCAGCTAAAAGAGCAAAAGATATTTTGCTTGAGTTAGCACTCTGCTCACATTACATTTTAAACTTTTAAAGAATAATCCTCTAGATAATGCACACACCTCTCCCACACCAAAGAAAATAATCTTGTAAAGGCAACTCAGAAACATTTTTACTGTCAAGTTTACTTCATTCTTTACAAATAAAATCATTAAAATTAATAAAGGGAGAATTTCCCATGTCACCAGAGTCACCAAGCAATGTGTTCTAGTTCTGTGCCTGTGCCCGCTCAGCAACTCCTAGGCGACCTGCAATCTATCTCCCTCTGCACCCACGCTGCCACTCAGCTCCCACAGCTGTCTAAAAATGCCCCAATGTTAGGACCAGAAACTCCACAATGAGCTTACAGAGTACATAGTATTCAAAGCTCTGAATTATAAAGTTTCATTTCCCAGGCAGTACCATCATAGAACACCTCAAGATAAAGCTCTCTTTAAGGAGTCAGCTTCTCGTCGAAACATAGTACTATTTTGCTTTAATGATTCCCTAAATGATTCCAAATCTCACTTCTCAAGTCTTTTACAAAGGTACACATCCTCTTAGAATTCATCTTCAAAGTACAACATGCATTCAGATAATAACAGTTTCTTATGTAAAAGAAAATCAAGACTGTGGCACGGTGGGGTACTGTATGAGGGTGAGTGACAACACAGAGATGAACATGTGAATTTCCCAACCTCTTCCAGCCTGTCCAAGGCATCATTGAGCTTCCTCCTCCTTTCCAATGCGAGGAGCCAGACTTGCTGCCACTTGCTCACCAGCAGGTTCACCCTGGGATTCTTGGTTTCGATTTGTGCTTGAGATCCAGAGGGATATAGACCGGATGCTGGGAAGCGTTTTCCTGTTAGAAGTGTAACTTCAGTTAGGATGGCATGGCTTGTTTCCAGCACTCTGGTTTGTGTTAATGCCTGGCCTTTTGTGGTGCTAGCCAGGAATGCATCAACTTAATTACTGGTGTCCCAAGCTGAACTATCTTATTTCAGATGATGCATGATGTCGAAGTACAAACCTGTTTCACTTATTAAAGCCCACATACTGATTATGTAAATTAGAGAAATACATCTTGATGGGGACATTTAAACTAATTAGAAATGCTCTCAATGAAGCTGTGGTTAAAACAGCTTCCTGCTTGAAATTCGATCCACAGCAGTGATGACGCAGCATTCCTGCACTCCTCCTGCACTCCTCCTCTTTGTTAAGGCCAGAGAGAAATCTCCCCCATGTGGAGACATTCACCTTAGGGTAGTTACAGCAGACTTGGCTGCACTTCCTAGAACATATACAAGGCTGACAGGAGAAAAAGTGGGAGATGGAGACCTTGGTGTCTGAAAGTTGGAGTCAGACACTTTAAAAACCCCAACAGAAGAGAACACACAAGTGTGTACAGAGTCCCAACTGTATCCCAATTTCACTGCATGTTTCCTAAACGTAGTCTCATACCCAAGATTTCCATGTCTCTCCTTCTGGCTGTTTTTCATAAGTTTCTGTAATTCTACACAACAATCATGCAATGTATTTTTATTATCTAAATATCCTTTCCCTGGAAATAAGACCTAGCTGTAAAACAAGCAACCTCCAAAACTAGACACCAAACATGTCCACCTCCGTAAGCCTGTCCTTGCCTTCCCTGCCCATCACTACCCTCTTGCTCAGTGGCTACTGTGTAAGGCAGGTGAGGCAAAGCTAGGCTGGCTGGTGTTTGGTGTCTAAGTTCCAAGACTGATTATTTTCTAGCTAGGTCTTATTTTCAGAGAAACTTGGTAGTTAGTTGTTGGCTAGGAAAATGATTGGCCTTTAGTCATCATATGGGATACTGGTGTCCATGCTGGGAATCATATTGATGATATATATTGGGGACTTAACTGTATGCCAGGCAGTATGTCAAGCATTTCACATGCATCAGCTCATTTTCCTCTTGCTGTAGTCTCTGTAACTATCTCCCTTAAAGGACAGGAAGTTACAGGGAATGTGAGGAAGCTGTCAGGATTATTTTTCAGTTGCTAAGTGGTAGGGAAGCCGAGGGGTGTGCTTCTGGTGGGCAAAACAGGAATCAAACAGCTCAAACCCCACCTTATAAAAGATATTTTAGGGGATTAGGGATATAGCCCAGTGGTAGAGTGCTTGCCTCGCATGCATAAAGCCCTGAGTTCAATCCCTAGTACCACCAAGTAGAATAATATAAAATAAAAACATGTTTGAGGTTAAAAAAAATGTTAAGGGACCAGTCAGAAATACTTAACTTGCAGGATACAAATTGTTTCTCATACATAGTCTCTGAGGTACAGCTTTTAATATGTTCTTGTTGTGTTGTGTTGGCCTGAAGTGACATGAACATGAGCAAATCTAACAGATCACTTCACTAAGGGGCAGCTAGGTGAGGGTCTCTATCCAGGTCAGGGTCGCCTGTCAATGCTCAATTACAATGCTATTTATGTAACAGAAGAAAAAGAAGACACTTCACAGGACAGTTTGTGTCCCTGCAAACTTTTCCAATTCTTCAAGCAAATAAAGTTAAATCCAGAAACCCAGACACAGCTTTCTAGTTTTAAATAAGGTGCTATAATCCGTAAGTCCATGTACCTGCTCAAAAAGGTCAAACAATAAAAGGAAATTAACCCTTGTGCTGATTAACGATTCTCACTTCAAAGGAATTAGCCATTGCTTACTTCCTGCTCGCCCCTTATCCAGGACGGGAATGTGGGACTGCAGCGAGGGAGGGTCGGCAACTCTCCTTTTATAGGTTTTGGTGACTTTATCCACATCAGGCTGTTTCCTGGTCATTTCCTCCATGAAAGACTGCAGGGAAAGAGACTGCGTCAGTTAAATAAAACTAAACCAGACCAAATCAGCCTGAAGAATAAACATGAGGACAAAGCAGAGCAGTCAGTCTATGACTTCTGAAGAATAAATGACAACCTTGTATCTTTAAAAATTGCTAAACTAGCGTGCCACATTTACTGACTTCTAAAGAATGTGAAATGCCATGGCTGGTAAGGAGAACTGTTGGGAGCCGCAGCCCCGAGCCCGGTCGCCTCACTTGGCGGACGTGAGGCCTGTGGTAAAGAGCAAAGCCTGAGGTAGATTACCCCTCCCATCGAATATGTTAGTTTCCTGCTTACCGCGTAAACAACCCGCTCAACAATATAGTCTGCCTGGCAACTGATGATGTTAGCCAATCAGCTTGCCTTGCTTACTTTAACATGATTGGACACTGTACCCGTATATATACCGGTGCCACCCCTGGGCGGAAGAAGAAGCCAGGTAGAAGCCCAGAAGTAAAAGCCCAAAAGGAGCCGCGGAGAGCGGACCGGTAGAGGCTTTGGGGCAGACTGAAGCACAAAAGGAGCCGCGGGGAGCGGACCAGAGGAGGCTTCAGCTGGGAGAACCCAGGGCAGGCTGTACGGAGAAGGAAAATAAAAAGAAAAGGTTGTCCACTACCAGACTTTGTCGTGTGTCCTTCCTGCCGGCCGGGAGCGGACATCGACATTTGGAGGCCCGCCCGGGGACTGATCACCCCCGAGACGTGGAAGTGGACAACGCTCCAGTACAGAGCTGCGAGACAGGTGAGTTGGGGATAAGCCTGGGCTCTGGGTGGCGCGCACCTACAGGGCTTTTAGACTCCCCTCAGGCTCACGCGTAAGTGGCGGATTCCTTGGGCCTCACGCGGTGAGTAACATATTAAAAGATGGGAAACATGTTAGGTAGCAACACTAAGAGCGAGGGTGGTTGTGGAGAAAGCTCTCAAGAGCTTACAAAAGTACGCAGGGTATCTGAGCAGGCCCAGTCAGGGAGCTCCCGAGAGGGGTCCGTCAAGGGGAACAAGGATGCTAAGGAGGAGGACGGGGCTCTAGCCTCGGAGTCGTCTGACTCCGAGGACGAGGGAAAGTTGAATGGCAAGGAGGCCAAAGAGACCAGCTGTCAGGAGCCCAAGTCGCTCGATAAGGAGTCGCAGGGTTCTTTCCCAGTAATTCAGGGTACCACAGAGCCATTTGTTGACTTTGTGGCCCGAATGCAAGATGCTGCCGATAAGATATTCTCTGATCCGGGAGTGGCTCAACCGCTGGTAAGACAGCTGATTTTTGAGCAATGTACAAAGGAGTGCAAGGCAGCAATAGCTCCTCATAAGAACAAGGACCTCAACGCCTGGATTAGGATATGCAGAGAGATAGGGGGGCCGCTCTCCAACTCGGGAGTGGCTGCTCTCCTGGCCGCGGCTGTACAGCAGAGGGGACCTCGCGGGTTAGAAGGGGAATGTAAGGCTAAAGGGTGTTTTGCCTGCGGGGAGCCAGGACACATTAAACGTCATTGCCCAAACAATGCAGATGCTAGGCCTCGCCCTAGGAATGAAGAACCATATGTTTGTGGGCGATGCAAAAAGGGATCACACAAAGCTGAGGAGTGTAGGTCGGTCTTTGATGCTCAGGGCAACCGTATTTGTGGACAAGATGCTAGAGAGCCAAAAAACGGCCAGAGGGGGCCCCCTTCACAGGCGGGCCCCCGCCCCAGAGACAGGACAGCTCAGGGTGGCAGCCTTCAACAAGGGCCACCCCTGGGTCAGCAGGTGTGGACCTCAGTGTCGCCTCCAGACTTATACAGAAGGTCACCATTAGGACGGATGGCGTTAGGACCCTAAATGACATGCAAAAGCTATTGGGAGACATTAATTGGATTAGGCCATATTTACATATACCAAATTCAGATCTCAAACCCCTGTTCGACCTTCTAAAGAGAGACCCAGATATAGCCTCCCACAGGAGGCTCACTCCTGAGGCAAGAGCTGCCTTACAGAGAGTGGAAAAAGCCTTAGGTGGGGCTACCTTACACAGAATTGAACCAGGGCGACCCTTTGATGTCTGTTTGCTACAGACTAGTCTACAGCCTACAGCGGTGATTTGGCAGAAAGGACCACTACTGTGGATACACCCTAAGGTCTCACCTGCAAAAGTCATAGAGCATTACCCGGAGGCAGTCGCTTCATTGGCCCTTGAAGCGCATGATAGAGCTGTCCAACATTTTGGCTCAGGACCACAAGCCATCCGAGTACCCTATACCGCCAGCCAGATCAAGATCCTGGCTGCCTGCATAGATACCTGGGCCATTCTGAGATGTGTTTTCCATGGGGATATAAACAATCAATACCCTAAAGACCCTATCTTGTCATTTGTCACTCAGCACCCTATAATTTTTCCAAAGGTTACTGCCTCTGAGCCATTAGTCCTAGCAACTACAATATACACAGATGGCTCCAAGACGGGGATAGGCGCCTATGTGATCCTAGGCAAGCCCCCGGTTACCATACAATTTAAACCAGATCAGCCTCAGGTGGTAGAACTGCAGATCGTTAAAATGATTCTTGAACGGTTCTCAGAAGCCATTAATATTGTCTCCGATTCTAGGTATGTGGTCAATGCTATGCAAGTGCTTGAGACTGCCGGTTTAATTAGAGCCACTTCCACAGTGGCTGGACTGTTCCTGTCTATCCAGACATTGCTTCAGAACAGACACCATAAGGTCTTCACCACCCACATAAGAGCACATACATCCCTGCCGGGGCCCATGGCACAGGGGAATGCGGCTGCTGACACTGCCACTCGCCCGTTATGGATTTTTACCTTACTAACACCAATCGAGCGAGCCCGTGCCTTCCATGATAAATTTCATGTTAATGCCAGGACACTAGCAAACCATTTCCATGTTTCTAGAGCAGATGCATGAGATATCGTGCGACTATGTGACTCCTGTGCCACATACAAACCTGCCATACCGATGGGAGTAAACCCTCGAGGTTTGATCCCTGGTGATGTTTGGCAGATGGACATCACACATATACAGGAGTTTGGGACTCTTAAATATGTTCATGTTTCCACAGACACCTGTTCTCACGTCATATTCGCAACAGCAGAAACAGGTAAAAAAGTGTCTAATGTGATCAATCATTGCCTGGCAGCTTGGGCCGCATGGGGCAAACCAAAAATATTAAAAACTGATAATGGACCAGCCTATATAGGCAAAGCCTTCAATGAGTTCTGCAAAATGATGGAGGTTCAATTAAAACATGGTATCCCATACAATCCCCAAGGTCAAGGAATCATTGAGAGGGCTCATAGAAGCCTCAAAGAAATTTTACAAAAACAAAAAGGGGGAGTAGGCCAAGGCCTGGCCCCAAAGGCACGATTATCCATGGCACTATTCACACACAATTTTTTAAATTTAAATAATGATAATCGCTCCCCAGCTGTGGAGCACTGCAACCCTTCCCCCAACCATAAAGGGTGGGTTAAGTGGAAAGATGTCCTGACAGGACAATGGATGGGCCCGGATCCAGTGGTCAGCTGGAACCGAGGCGCAGTTTGTGTTTTCCCACAGGAATCGGGACGAGAACCACTGTGGATACCGGAGAGACTGACACGGGCAACAAAGCCCTCGACTGAAGATCAGACCTGCCCTACTGGAGATCCATCACAGACCAACCAATAAGATGAATAGAAATAGCGGTAGCCCGAAATGGACAAGAAGATCCTCAGGCATATGCATGGCTTGCTCAATTGGCCCACGACCGAGTCTAGATATGGCGGGCATCCCTCATTCTCCTCCATAAGGTGACAATACACAGCAGGGTAGGTGAGTCAATGACGGGTAAGAGCGTGCCTCCCCAGCACGACTCAACCTAAGCCAGGCCCTACCCCATCCTGCACGTAAGCCGCTGGACTGTTAGATGCTGCCCAGGTCTAAATTTCTCTCTGAGGGGACTTCTTTACGGAGAGGAAATGAGTGCAAGCTTGTGTGCATCCAGGTTCCGTCCAGTTTGTGCCTGGCCCTAGAAAAAGGACGAGGGCCTCAGGGCCTTGGCAGACCATGGGACGGCCGACCAGGGTCTAAGCCAAGGACCTACGGTGGGCCTACGCATAGGGCATAAGCCTCTGCACCCAGTCCAGAAAGGGCTACGATGCGCACATTCATAAAAAATAAAAAAGGGGGAGATGTTGGGAGCCGCAGCCCCGAGCCCGGTCGCCTCACTTGGCGGACGTGAGGCCTGTGGTAAAGAGCAAAGCCTGAGGTAGATTACCCCTCCCATCGAATATGTTAGTTTCCTGCTTACCGCGTAAACAACCCGCTCAACAATATAGTCTGCCTGGCAACTGATGATGTTAGCCAATCAGCTTGCCTTGCTTACTTTAACATGATTGGACACTGTACCCGTATATATACCGGTGCCACCCCTGGGCGGAAGAAGAAGCCAGGTAGAAGCCCAGAAGTAAAAGCCCAAAAGGAGCCGCGGAGAGCGGACCGGTAGAGGCTTTGGGGCAGACTGAAGCACAAAAGGAGCCGCGGGGAGCGGACCAGAGGAGGCTTCAGCTGGGAGAACCCAGGGCAGGCTGTACGGAGAAGGAAAATAAAAAGAAAAGGTTGTCCACTACCAGACTTTGTCGTGTGTCCTTCCTGCCGGCCGGGAGCGGACATCGACAGAGAACAAATTAAAATTAAAGACAAAAGTAAGAAGGAAGCCCATATATGGGAGCAGTCATGTGAATAACATATCAACCAAACTCAAACTTCAACCTTTTCCACAACAATTTTTCGTGAGCGTTTGACTGCAAAGGAAGAGGTCAGCCAGGGAGTTCCTGAACTCTTTATATACATATTTGAAATACATAAGATGGCTCTGACACATCTTGAGATAAGGCAGCCCACATTAGGTGGGAATATTTTGAAGAGTCCTAAGCGACTTCAAGGAAGCTAAGAGTTGAACTGTGTTACAGGTCTGTTTCAAGGGTGGGCTACCTGGCCGTTTGGATATACCCCATGTTTATCATTACCACCTCCTAGGTCCACCTTACGTAAAACACGTGTGAAGGCAGAGAAAGGCAGGGTCTGTGGCAGGCAAAAGTGAAGAGGGAAGGGAGGCACTTCGGGACTGTTTATCATTCTGGAGTTCTGCGACCACTTCAACCCCCTGATAGAGAGCGCATGACCTAGACAGCAGTGGCCAGGACAGGCATGCAGATCTTAGACTTGTAGTACAGTATGACAACTGCGAAGGTAACTGCTCAGCTGAGCTGACATGTAATGCTTCTCACTGTAAATACATATTAAACACACTGGAGTGAGCGTGATGTCCACCTCTGCAGACTTTAAACCAAGCAGGATACAGGGGAGGGTAATTTTCTGAGAAAGACAACTATTCACCCTGTTATGACTGATACATTGTGTCAACTTGAGAAATCAGAGCGGCTTAACTCAGTAAAAGTCCTCAGCCCTCTAGGATCTTGTTCATTGCGTGAATTTGACAATTGTCAGTTAGAGATTTAACTAAATGATTCAGCAGGGAGCCAGGGTCCTCACTTAGTAAACATCCTCAGCCTGTGCAAGGCAGAGAAAGGTAGGGAGCTGGTGTGAGTGCTACACCCCCCCCGAAGGGGTGCGGCCTGCTTACAGTATGAGGGAGAAGAAACTGTGCTGTCTTCTGCCACCTTGCACTGTGGCCCCAGTGCCATGCCACGCTGCCTTGGACTACGGACTCAAACCACCACAAACTGTGAGCTAAGCAGACCTGGCCCTTCTTAATTTTGGGCATCAAGTATTTTGCCCAGCAATGTGAGGAAAGTAACCAAGACATTTCAGGTATGATGTGAAGTACTGATGGTCATCTTGGGAGAGAGATGAAATGCAACCACAACACAATAAAGTTAACTGCCAGTTAAAGCTATGAAGAGTGAGACTGGCAAGAGAAGATGCAGTGCAAGGAGCAGTCTTGTTAGCGCTAAGAAACAGGAGTGAGCAGAGCTCACGGTTAGAAGACAAGAGGTGGTACAGAAGCCAGCGCGGGGCAATGGAGCCGAATGTAACTTCAAAGAGGCCAATGTAAGAGTTTTGCAAAGGTCCAGTGGGAAACTCTGAAGAGAGAGGTTTTAGGGCAGCTGCAGACCGCCAGGAGCCAGGGGTGGGGGAATATGCTAGATGAAGGAAAGCAACACACAGCAATCTTTTCACAGAACTGAAGGGAGAGAAAGAAGCTGCAGTGGCTAATGGGCTGGGATGAGCTGAGCTCACCTGGTGCTCTGCGATGAGGGCCTTCACCTCCTCAATCTCTTGGGGGATGTCTTCTTTGTCCTTCTCATTGAGTGTAGTTTCAGCCCACTGCAACCAAGCCAGTAAAGCTTCCAACAACTCCTTTTTAGCAATGAGCCCAGCCAGAGCACTCGCTAATCTTTGCTGATGCTGCTTTGCCCAGGCCAGTACCTGATGGAGAAAAAGGTTTTGCTGAATGTCTCAGTGTAAAATACATAAATTTTAAGTGTAAATCAGGATCATCCTAGCTAGACCATGTGCCATTCTTCAGTGGTGCCAAAACTCAGCCTGAGGAAGAGATGGGAGCCCTGCATGATATTCGCCACCACTAGAAATTTAATGATGTTATCAATCACCTAGGTTTCCTTTTGTTTCTAACTTCAGTTCAAATATTTATCCTTTGAAGGGTCAAGTGGGCTTAGGCCACACAGCACAAAGCAGAAAGTTAAACTGCTAAGATCTGAATTAAGGAGCTAATTCACACTGTGCATAAGCTCACTTGGCAAGTACACACTGTTCTAAAACACTACTCAATGCTGGATCATTTGACAGACACAATGTGGGAAGGGGACAGAGTGCCACACAGTGAGCCAGAGGTCTCAGGGACATAGCTCAACATTTCTTTAACTTTTTTTCCATTTCTTTAACTTTTAAAGAAAAATACATTTCAGAGACTGACAATGCACATAAGAAGGACATCACTTCCATGAGGGGGCCTTGCTTTCCCACATCTGTGAGGTGCACCTGAACTGCTGAAAATTTCCCACACACCTCCACTCTGAAGGCTGCGGGTAGACTAGGGCAGACACACTGACCTCCTCAAACCTGGCCCGGATGATTGTTATCCAGTGCTTAATGGTGGTGATGGAGTCAGGGTGGCACATGGCCAAGACAGCATCACCCATACTGGTGGCTTTATTGAGATCAGCTCTTTTCTCCTCCAGTTTCTTCATGAATTCCTACAGCAGAAATGAAGATTTCAATTAGCTGCTGGCACTGTCTGAAAACAAAACTCTGGTGACATTAATTTACTGTCAGCATTAACTAAATGAATAAGAACATTAGTTGATTTATCCACAGTTGGAAATCATCTACCAACTGGGAAGGCAAAGCGGGAAAAATGGAAAATTAAGTACTTTCTAATATGTATGTTAAAAGAGAATGTAGAACAGCATCTCATGCTTTAATAATATATATCATACAAAAATAATTCTCCAAAATTTGTATACATTTGGAAGTAAGATTGGAAGATACAATATTGCCAGATAGAAATAACACTGCTTGCGAAAAAAAAAAAAGGATTTTGTGATAGAATAAATGATTTTATCTCTCTTAAATGTGTTTGTTATTGTAGATTCAAAGTTCAATTAATAATGTACTCTTGATAACCAAAGACATATTTTGCCATATACCTAGCTTTAAAAATATAGTCCTTACTATAGGCTCTCTCAAATGCAAGAGTAAAGAAAAGCAGATATTGGTAGCATCTGTGGTTCTCTAGAGGACAGCTGTCCGCAGCACACGTTTGAAATCATTCCCACACCCTGAAGGGCCAGAGTGGTGGCAGCCAGAATCGGGTGGATGGAACCAACTGCCCACTCCACTCTATGCTCTTCCAATTCAGTCTGAGGGTTGTCTATTCACATGGGAAAGCTTGTCATTTTTGAAACTGGATTGTACTGAGATATCTTCAGTTCTGATGTTAGTAAGTTAAATATTTTGTTTTACTTTGGTGAATGTATGAAAGGAAGCAGAGGAAAAGAAAAAGAATGAACAGTGTCCTGGAAAATATTATATAGAAACACTTTTAAAATTGTAGTTTTATACTACATACAATATTTTTAAATAATGTAAATTTTAAATTTAAAATTAAAACATTACATGTAAAAATAAAATAATCCTGCTCTGGTTATTCTCCTCCTGTAAGTTACCTGCTTCTCTGGTGACAGTGGTTGCATTATAAACAAGACCCCTTTCTTTGGGTATGAAGTTTGCATGCTAGACCTCAATAGCAGGTGCTAAATGCTACTGGAACTCAACCCTATTAGTTGGCCTCAGCCCACAGTAATACAATGTAGATTTCTAAATACTGAGCTGATTCAAAATTTATAATACATTTGATGTAGTTTTACTATTCTTTATTTTAGCTTCAAATTCAAATGGTATATATAGCATTACATTTCACCAGATAATGCTATACAAGCTTGCACCACTTTTTGTAATGACACGGCAGTATTTCACTGCTATAGGTTAGCCAATCCCTCTTTAAGAGAGAGTAACTAAAACAAAAAGTCTATTAATGATGTAATCCATGCTACACTGGAATGAATGACGAATTTCCAACTTGGCCTTGAATGGCAAAGTTATCAGTGGTGTTAAAAGGTCCTTTAAAGCTCACAGAAAATGCTGACTTCAATGATACTTTGAGTGTTAGCACTGTGAATTTCTGACTTTTCATGTCAAAGATGAAAATATTTGTTATGAGCTACCTGAACCACTCTCTCAAGGGTATTGCCAACTTTCATGCATTACCACAGAAAAGATCTTAGTCTGAAAACTAAATGAACAGATCTTTACTTGGTTAGTTATTCATCAGTATATCTGTTTATGGAACTCATACCCTAGGGTTTGTCTAAAAAAGATTTCAAAAGCCTCTTGATTAAAAACAGAAATGGCAGAGGCTTAAACATAAAATCCATTAAGTCCCGTGAAGCATAATACTGGGTTTCACAAACCCATTCCTTACTTTTCTACTATAAAGTTTTACTTTCGTGTCATACCAGCCAGCCATGCATCTCAGCAGCTGGGCCTGAAGGACACAGAAAGCAATTTGTGTTTACCTACTTGCTACAATGAAAGGCAAGATGTGTGCAAAAGTGTCAAACCAGGCTTTACACTCATGTTATGCTCTAACAGGTTTTGTCTGCTCACCCAAGTATACACCCACACCACTCTAGGATTTGTTTGTAAAAACATTTTCTTTTGATTTTTCTAGTAGAAGTAGCCTGATTCAATACAATGGCACATGAAAAATCAGATTTGCAAGTTTTGGAGGAGATCAAAAGTGAATCATCAGATAACTCATGTATGGATGATGAAGATGATCATTATGGTAAAATACATGTTTCAGAGCAGAAGAGTGTTGTGAGTACAAGATGATGATGACGACAATGATGACTTTGATGTTGAACATGTCAGCTGAAGTTTCTGTGATAGTGAAATGGAGCAATAATTAACTGATACAGGGAATCTAGACCTCCTTAATTCAGAGGACAAAACAGCATATTTAAATACATACTTGACAAATTGAAGTGTAGCAAAATGGCCATGCAACCAAATGGAATGATCCAATGTTAGAATTAGTTCTGAAAATATAGTGAGGGTCTCGGCAGGGGTGAAACATATTGAATGGAAATTCATTCATTCATTGTTGAAAATTGTAACAGACGAAATGCTAGAAGATGCTGTGAAATACACAAAGGCTAAAATGCAAGTAAAAATGTTCTATATGCATACTCAAAATGTTTCATAGTCATATTTAAAAAATCTATTTATTGTGACAGCCCACTAGCTGAACTGAAAGCATTCAGAGGTATTCTGAAGTTAGCAGGGAATTCTAATGGTAATTGCAGAAATGTAAAAGACTCATGGAAAAGTGAGGTCAAAATGTGGCACAGAAATTTATGCCTTTACAGATGCAAAGACTTATCATGCTTTCAATTTAGAAATTTATTCTGGAACTCAGTCGTCAGCTCTTTATTCATACAGTAATAAGCCAAATGATGCTGTGAACAGATTTGTTGCTCCCATCTTCCAAACTAATCATAAAGTAACATTCAACAATTGGTGTGATGGTTTCCAATTTGTGTTATATGTGCTAACAGAGATTGGCTGACTAGCACAGGAACCATATGTAGGAACAATACAGAAATTCCAAATAAAGAAAGGTTGCAATTTCAAAACAAATGGTATAGTACAACCTTTGGATTTCAGAAAGATTTACACTGGCCTAGTATATGACAAAGAAAAACAAACTGGTACTGCTGTCAATATTGCATCATAATGGATATATTGATAGGGAGTATTTGACAAAATCAAATTCTGAAATGGAAACTTTCTACAACAAAATCAAAGGTGGAGGAGATGTTGTTGATGAGTTACACAGTAATTATGACATCATATGAAACACAAAACATTGGCCAATGGTGTGTTTTATTTGAGCTTAAATGTGTGGTATAAATAGATAGTTTACAAAAAAAAATAACAAATGCAAAAATACAACAGAGAAATTTTCTTAGAGGACTGGGAATGGAATTCATAAGAGATCATTAATAACAGCGGAAAAACAAAATGTTTCTGCCCAGGGATCTATACAAAAAAATTGTGGAGCATACTGGTGATCTGACAGGTGAACAGACAGGCATAGCATCCTAAAGACTTCTTACAACAACAAGAAAAAAAAAAAAGATGTCAACTATGCCCTACAAAAAAGTATAGGGGAAAAAAAAAACCATATGTGCTATCAGTGTGAGACTTGTGTGTGGAACATGCAGTTGCCATGTATGAAAGCTACCTTAAGTGTGACAGTTGAAGCAAAGATTATTTCTGTGGTAAACTTTTATTTTTGTTTACATTGTAGCTCACATAAATTTTTATTTTTAGTGTCATCATTTACATTTTGTAAGCAAGAACACTGATGATGTTAAAATGCTGTTTATTGTACATGTGCAATACATATTAGTATGCACTGCACAATATAGTAAAAACCTCCTGACAAAACAGTAAGACCAGCAACCTGTGAACTGTATCTTACAAAAAAGCCAACCAGCAAAATACATGTGCTGTTAATATAAAGTGATGTGTGAATGTGCTGTTGTCATGTGTGTAGACTACCTTAGGTGTAACAACTGAAGTAATGATTTTTTTTTTTTTGTAGAATGCCTTCGGTACTTTCACTATAGTTCACATAGGAATTTATTTGTTGTTCTTTTTTAGACTCTTTACTCCAAAAAACTTGTTGATGCTGAAAAAAATGTATGCTTTTTTATAGATATTAAAATGCAATTTTGTGATTTTTTTCTGTTAAGCACTCATTGTTTAACATAATAAAACTCATAAAATCAGTAATTTATTAATAGAAATATTCTAGAGAATAAACATGGGCTTGACATATCTATGATTATGCCCCTTTATGACAAAAAATGTGTTATACTCTGTAGGTAAATGACTTGTCTCCTTTGCTTATAAAGGTCAAAGATACTAATTTATAATTCTACTAGCTCAATTCTACAAATTTCAAATGTTCATTAGGGAAGTTCCCTTCTTGAAATCTAGAGAAGAGTTAACAAATTGATCAATTCTGATCAATAGCCAAACAGCCACTTAGAAAAATCAATGTGATTCCCAGAGGTATAAAACAGAGTGCTCTAAACACCCGTGTGTATATGTGGGGATATTTGCACATTAGCAAGAGATGTGGAGATACATGCTGAAATGTACCAGATGTTTACTTCTTAGGAAGGAAGATATTCATGCACTTGATGATACTTATCATCAAATCTATTTCATCTGCTTTGTTTCATTTTCTCATTTAGTTATACTCAGTGTTTAGAAATTACTTACTTTATGCTGGTCAATGAGAGTTCGGAGAACATCCTCATCATCTGGGAGAACTCCGTGGAAACGCAGGGTTTGCTCTGCCTCAGCCAGCCACTCCAAGAGGGCATGTACCACCGAGTGGAACTCTTCTGCCTAACAGTGTTAACACACATACACATACACATACATATACATACCAGTGAGATCTCAAAATATGCCTGTTAGAGAAATTCACAGAACTGAAGAGATTTTTCCCCTCCATGAAAAAAAGCCTTAGATTTAAACTGCCTAATTATGTATATTACTCTCATTAAAAAGATAGTGATACATAGTGTTACATTTTGCAAATATCAGAAACTATGTAACAAGGCTTATGGTAGAATAATTCATCATTGTTAACAACTTGGTTTTAGGTGAATGGTAGCACACAAGACTTTCAAACTGAAAAACTATTCAAGCAGCAGCATTTCCCCTCCATAAGAAACTTTTAAGTTTTGAGGGAGGCAGAAGATAGGTCAAGGAAGTAATGCAATCAGGATTTCTTCCTTCCTTACAGTCTGGGGGAGAAACAAAGACCACTGCAGTTCTCCACTGCAACCTTCCGAGCTGAGGCTTCAATGCTTTCCAATGCACTCGACCATTACGAGCATGGTTCTTACCTGATGCAAGGCTGCTTCTAGCCGCGTCTGCTTTGAGATAGAAAGTGCACAAATGGTCTCCCAGCGTGTGCTCAGCTCCTGCATCTGGACTTTGACCCAAGAGGAATCATCACTGCTGCCTTCTATAAGCTCCCGGGCAGAGCGCTTCAAGGCCTGCACACTGCTGGTTCTCTTCCCCAGCTCTTTTTGGAAGACCTAAGAAAATCATAGTTTTTAGAATTAAGTTTTGATCATAAAATCACAATACTAAAATGTACTGATCTGAATACATAGGTTTATAAACTAACACTTGCAGACATCTGAGATCTGCAGTTTAATGGCCACAGCCCTGGCAGAACCTCAGATGGTTAAGAGCACCATCAAGAACACAGTCTTGTTTAACCTTTGTTTAGTTTTGTAACATCCTCAGGAGGGAACTAGACATGAGTATTGCTATGATTGTGTCTGGGTGTCACCCCAAAACCTCATGTAGTTATGAGGACAGTGTTAAATGAGATGTGCCTGCAGATAAACACACAAATGCATATGAACACAACGCACACATGTGCACGCACACAAGGAACAAAATCTAAAGATTTCATTTGTGAGAGGAATAGATGCCCCGAGTGTACTCTGTATACTCTGGCTTCCTAAGTCTTCCAATTTCATTACTAATGCTAAATGATTCATTCTTCTTGATGACCTTTAATATATAAAAAGTCTGGCAAGCGACGAGGGCAGTAAATATTTAGACAGTGAGCTTATAAAAATGGCATTTATGTAAAAGCAACACTACACTATTCCTTAATCACTGAATGTGTGCCAGGAAATGGAAACGTTTGTATTTATCATGCACAAAATGTTTGTTTCAATGTAAGCAAAGCAAGCAGTATTTAAATTTTTGTAGGCTTGATCTTTATTTTTTCTTTTATTTTTCTGTAAACATTCAAGTATCACAAACTCTTTTATAGGAATAATCACAGAATAGAAACAGAAAAGGGAAAACAAATATGCAAAAAACCATTTAAAAACATATAAATCAATATAGCATGATTAAGAAGTATAAAGAAAATATTTTAAAATGAAATACATTTTCTAAACTTTAAAAGTGCAGAGGACACACAGCAGATGAGGCAGAGTGTTATAAGGTATCTGTATATCAAGTCAACTGATACACCCTTTCTACTTTAGGACTATGCTTCTTGTTGCTTCCAAAGTTCTTCGAGTTATATTTTATGACTTGCTAATAATTTAGGATCTCAAACTTAGTATCAATTGTATCTTTGATTTGCATAACACATGTATAAGCAGACTGCAAAGAAACCAATTTTTTAAAAATGAATAATAAATAATAAATCTCTCATAAGAACATGCAGTTGACTCATAAATTGCTGCAGTGTAAGAGCAAGATTAAAGCAGTTTCCAAAAGAGAAGAACATCTAATCATGACCCCATAAATCATGTCACAAATCTATTCACTTAGGCAGTGACCTCATTCCAGGTAACTGAACATGTTTTTAAATTCTATTACATAATTATTTAAATGACTAATTAAAGATAGTAGAACATCTTTTAAAGCACCAAAAGATGAAATCACTGTTTTAATTACAAAAAGGTTTTAGATCTGGTAATTAAAAGTATCTTACTGAAACTAAAATAATTTTCTCCTATTGCTTTTAAAGTTGGCGTCCTGAGTCTGTTTAAATGCACATATATTTTAACAAATAAAGATCGTAACACAGAGTATGACACAGTCTCTTGCTTTTAAAGGGCTAATTCAATTGCTCATATGGCCTTCTCTAAACCAAAATAATCAAACATGATAAAGTTAAATGTCCTAGATAACAATACCTTGTGATTATCAATGAGATTCATCACCAAATCAATGTCCCCATGGACAGGCTGATCTTCTGCCAGCTGAGGTTCAACTCTATACAACCAATCAATAAGGGCCTGTAGGGCATCTGTGAATTGTCCAGAAAATAACAGTGCTTCCTCAAGTTTGTTTTGTCTAGGGGACAAAGATGGAAAAATTAAGTGAGTTCATTCATGCAGAGTAAGTGGTACTCAAAAAGTATGTGTTTCTTTGCTCTTCTTAGGGAACAAAACTTTTATGAAGTTATCTTTTATTCCTTAATTGTATGGTACCTGTTCTAAAACACCTTAATCAACAACTGTACAAATTAATAAGCCTTCAAGTTTCTTCATAATATGCCTTTTAATTTTAGAAAATTTTAAAATGTGTTTTTAAATGACACAATGAACAACTTCTTTAGCACACAGTTCTATGAATTTTAACATGGTGTAGAACCATGTGACACTTTACCACAACACAGAGACACACAAGAGTTTCACCATCCTGTCTCCTCCTCTCTCTTCACAGCCACACCCTGTCCCCATCTCTGGTTCCATTCACTGATCTATTATCACTGTAAGTGTCTGTCTTTTCTAAATGCTGTAACTGCAGTCATCTATAGGACACTGGAAAAAGGATGTAACCTTTTGAGACTGGAGAAGTAAAAAAAAATTTTTAAATCAACAGACACTGCAAAAATATACTGTGAAGTTCCCTAGAACTGCATATAACAGTATATTTAATCTTGATACAGGTTCAAAAATCCAACATTCAAAATGTTTTGGAATCAAACTTTTTAACAAGCAGTAACACAGTGCTTCAAGTGGGAAATTTCATACCATGAAACTCTCATTCATGTACAATATTATTAAAATTAAAAAGTTACTTTCACACTATATGTAGACGGTATATTGAAACAAAAGAATTTCATGGTTAGATGAGTCTCATTCTCACTTTATCTCACTATGTATATGTAAATATTCCAAAATCTAACAAGCAAAAACAAAACATTTTTAGTTTGAATCATTTCAAATACAAGATACTTAACCCCACTGACAAAGAAACTAAAACTAAAAATCAGTGAAAATTGATATTTACAAGATATCCGAGCTCTTTTCAAGTACTTTCTTTTTATTTTAAAGAGAATAAAGCCAAACAAAATGAAACAGAGTAAAACTAATCAAAACAAAACAATGAAGAATAATACAGGATTCAAGATAATGGGAAATCAACAATGGCTACTATAATGCCTTATATTCTTCAAAATAGCTGCCCATTTCATCAGACATACTACAATCAAACAAACAAAAAAGAATAAAACCAAACCAAAACAATGAAAACAACACAGGGCCTCAAAACAAAATAACAAGAAATTAACAATGGCTACCTCCTACCCCTTTTAGATGCTTCCTCCTTTTTCACTTTCACAATATCTAGTGTACATTTTGGATCCCACTTACTCCTTCAGTTTTTTATGCTAGGGAGACAACATGATGTTCACCTATGCGAGTCTGAACATTTTACCCATGAAGTGAGAACAATCTCAAATTGCATCTATTTACCTATAAGAGCCTCAAGATTATCTTCTTTATAGCTGAGTAGCTTTGCATTGTATAAAAATACCATCTTTCTTATCCATTCTGCAGTTGATGGGCGCACACACTACCACTGCTTTTTTCTGGGTCCTCATCCATTGCATGGAGCATTGTCTCCTCTTCTCCGACTTTCAGTCCATGAATTTCCTTTAGAGTCAAATATGTTTCTTGTACATAGCATATTGATGGGACTTGTTTCTTGATCCACTCTCTCTGTATTTCTTTTTATTGGTGAATTGAGGTCATCTACATTAATGGTTATAGCCAACATGCACTGGCTCATCTCTGCCATGCTATCCTCCTGCCATTGGCCCTCCACTTTTCCCCTCTGTTCAGCCTGCTCTACTCAATGATCGCCCTTTGCCCTATTCCTGGAATCATAGTCATCTTTCTCTCTCTAAAATACCCTTCATCACTCTTTGTAGGGTTGGTTTGATGGTCATGAATTCCTTCAGTTGTTCTTTATCATGGAAGTATCTTATTTCTCCATTAATTTTGAAAGACAGTTCTTCAGGGTACATCAATCTGGGTTGGAAGCTGTTTTCTTTCAGGACTTGAAACACTTCACTCCAAGCTCTTCTTGACTTGATCGTTGTGTTGAGAAGCCTACTGTGATTCTGATGGGCTCTTCTTTATAGGTTATCTCTTTCTTTTCTCTACTAGCCTTTAATATTCTGTTCTTGTGCTGAATTTCTGGGATCTTAATTTCTGGAGTTCTATATGCCTCAACTATCTGTATGTCAGGTCTTTTTCTCATGTTTGGGAAGTTTTCTGCTATTACTTCTGTAAATAGTCTTTAATGTCATTTGCGTTGACTCCTGCTTTTTCACTAACACCTGTTATTCTTAAATTATTTTTCTTTGTGGCATCTTGCAGTCATTGAATTATTATTTCCTGGTTCCTTGTAGTTTTAAGAAATCTTTCCTTTCATGATTTCTAGCTGCAATCCTGTCATCAAGGTTTAAAAGTCTATCTTCAGTTTCTTTCAAGCAGTTTTGCCAGCTTTTCATACTTTTAAATTTCCTGGATATCTCTTTCAATCTGTTTCATCCATTGAAAATCCCTTCTTATACTGTTCATTCATGGTTTCCATCATTGTCCTACCCTCTTTTTTTTTTAAATCTATGTCTTTAGGTATATTATGTTTGTCATTTCTTCTTTTATCTGAGATATTATTTCTGATCTGATTACTTTTACAGCCTCATAAAGTGGTTTCTTCACTTCACTGTTAACTTTTCAGAAATTTCAGGTGTGTAACTTCTAGTTTCTTCTGTGTGTATCTCCCAGACTTGTTCTGTATGGACTACAGGTCCGAGATTGACTTTTGCTCCTTCATCTTGACATTTTCCTGGGTTCCCTAGATGAGCTAGTTGTGGGGTCCCGGGCACTTCCTGCATTTGCTGCTGGTCAATGGTGTAGGGGAATGGGTCAAGCACCTGGTTTCCTAACCTAGGTTCCTAGGGAGGTGTTGGAGTTTGGGGCAGGCTTCTCCAGACGTGCATGGCTACATGAAGACTCCCTCAATTGCAGCAGGCAGTTTCCCAGCCCTGTCTGGTTACCAGTCCCAATGCTGGCTGGTGGCCTCAAAGGCAGCATGGCTGGCTGGTTCTCCTGGCCTATGCTGGCTCACTAATGTACTTTCTTAAATACTTGAAAATTTGAAGTAAGTCTTAGCCTTCATAAAAGTGTAACAAGAAAGAGACAGGAGGCGTGGATGGAAGTTGGAAGAGGAGCTGAGCCAGTGGTAGTGCCAGGCACACCACAGGAAGGAACCTATTTTATTTCATACCCAGTAGAGTAAGCCCTGACGGGATGAGGCTGAAGAGGATGATAAGATCCCATTTACATTTCAAAAAAAACCCTCCTCAAAGTGAAGTGGAAATTAGATGAAAGGAGAAAGAATACTGGGAGATCAGTCAGACATGGTGTAGTTGGATGAGAGATGACAAGAGGATTGGGGTAGAATCTCATTTTGATTAGCATTTATAATTTAAAGCAGATGATGAACTGCAAAGCTTCTTCAGTTCAGACAGTCTGTGAGTGGGTGTTAGGATGAGCACATGTTCCCCAGGCAAAGGGGTATGGAAGGTCCCCCTCAAGCATCTCTACGAAGCACCACTACCTTCTTGTTGAGGGAGATCTATAAAGTAACCAAGCTACCTAAAGGAACATCTCACCTCTCCACAGACTTTCCACAGATGGTGTCCCACTTGTCTCTGAGTTCACTCAGCATGTCATCCAGCTTCAGGTTGTCATCAGCCAGACAGGTTTTCTCCTTCAGTGAACGTCCAGTTCGGTTGGTGGTATCATAGACAGAATGCTTGGCTCCTAGTGATTTCTGAAACTCCTATATGTTTAATGAGAAGACAGTGTGTATTTCTCTGTGGGACTTATAAAGAAACAAGCAAAAATACTACAGGAGGGTGTCATAACATGGGAGACAGCAAGGAATCAGGTTACAGAGTCCTGAGCTTGACAAAGAAATGTAACAGGGCCACCCCAAAAATCTAATCTTCCAAGGCTAAGGGTTTAGTTTTCTCAGAAGCCAACTAACCTTGAGAAAATAATATCAAAGCCAAAAAATTTTCCTCTGAATTGTTTTGGGGCACTTCTGGGGATCAAACTCAGATGGTCTTCATGCATGCAAGGCAAATACTCTTATCACTGAGCTTACACCTTTAGCCCTGAATGTGGTATATATAAGCCATAAACACTACAATACATATTTTTTAAATCCTACAATATATATTGATGATAAAACAGAACTGCTGATAAACTTCTGACAATAAGTTTGGGATGGGAAAATGTGGCCGATGCTCTATGAGTAGATAATTACTGATCCAGTGTAGACAGAATGGTTCAATGATGAATACATACATTAAAAAGGCTCTTTTTTGTTGTTGTTCAAACAGATTATTGCTGCACACTGGATAGTAACAGTAACAATATATGCAATTTTATCTCTGAGCTAGAATGAGTGGCAGGTAAGGATTGGCCTCTCTCTAGATTCTGGTGTTTGGAACTACTGCTACTCATACCATAAGAAATCCACATCCTATCTACTCAGTTATACAAAGCCCCAGCTGATATCTCAAAAGATCTCACATAATTTTCCAGTATCAAACTTTTACGTTGCTAATAGAACATCTAAACTCTGTTGCTGTTTTTACTGTCAGTGAACCTTCCAAGGTCACACATATGTATGTGTGCAGAGTTAGTGGAAGAATTGCATTCTTTCTCTGTGTCACAATTATAATCATTTGCAGATCAGGAACATAGTTTTATAGGCTCTCATGATCACTTTTATACCTAAAAGTATTTGTATAATCAAATAGAGTTGAAAAATGAGACAACTGCTACAGAATATTCAAAACTCAGGACAAGAAGAAAAGTAGGCCAACTTAACGGGCAGTTTACAAGCTCCTAAAATACTAAGAGAATACTAATGCAGCAATTCTCAATCCTGACAGTCCATTAAAATCAAACTAGACAATGAAATGGTATGTAAATGAACAGCTTCCCCAAATAACCTTACAATTATACTATTAAATTTGTATTACCTTTAAAAGCAGCACTTTAAGTGCATTCTCATTACACAAAAGTTTTTTTTTTGTATTGTGAGGCGACTACATCTTTACTAAAACAATTACAGTATCACAATATTTCTAAAGTTTGTTATCTGCAAGCCTTATCTCTTCACGCTATTCTGAAAAGAATACTTGCATTTAGAATTATGATACTGACATGAGTTTTTTTTACACAGCAGATACATAAATAAACTGAGTACAGTTTATTTATGTACATAAATAAACTGAGTACATAGCCAAGTACAGGCTGGTTAGAACTTTGAACAGGCTAAAGCCCCCCAGATAATGAATAGAGGAAAATTCTTTCGAAATTAGCTTAATAGACTACCCTGAAATGTGTCTTGGAGAAACTATTGACTTTGGCACTATATAACACTGAGCAAAATAAGAGACTCTATCAAGTTGTTTGCACATTCTTGTTCCTAAAATTCTAAGGTCCAATAAGGTGTTCTGTTTTGAAAAGGAGGCTTCTGATTTTTCCTCAGAGGGGAAGGACACAAGGTGTTTATTGTCACTGTGCTCCTAGGATTGGATGTGGCAGCTCATGGACAGAGACAGCTACAGAACAAGACACATATAAGCCCTACTTCAATCAAAGAATGGAAGCTCAATATGTATTCTCTAGTACCCTTGGGTCATGACCCTCTGAGATTAGACTCTGGAAGGGCAGCAACCCACCTCGGTGAAGACAAGGGCTAAGAATTTTTTGATGATGGTAAATCTTACGATGCCAATGTAAATGTTAAACATTTCAAGCAGTAATTTATACCTGTCTACCTAACTTTATGCCTCACTGCCTGTCTGCAAGAACTACTTTCCTTTAGCTGCATCTGCACCCTGATGGCTGATGGCCAATTTACAAACAGAATTATAGAAAGACCGAATTAAAAAAAAAAGTTTGGAAGAGTAGCAGGTACTGCTCTAGAATGGACATGGAGGAAACATAAATATTTTTAAAATACATTTCTACATGTGTCTAATCTACACAAAAAAGTTATGGAGACTTCTTTGGATATGAGCAGACTTTTATATACATGCAAATGTGATAAAATATTAATTCTTAGGTAGTAGCAATCAACTTATCTTTCTTCTATTTAAAAGAATCTATACCACAAAATCTGTATTACTTTTTTTATTTAAAGAAAAGGAAACAAACAAACAAAAAAAACCACATGGAGATAAAAAAGGGTAGAAATAATGCAAAATTACAGAAAAATAAACGGTAAGAAATCGCTAGTTGATAAGTTACATATTGTCATCTTAGAAATAGCTGTTCAGGTTACAAAATTAAAGTATATAAAATGACATTCAAAAAGTGACACTGCAAACAGTTCTGCTCAATGATTGAACAAAAACTCAGTAATATGGGTATCAGTCCTACACACTTGTTTTATATCTCAAAGAGGGTAAGATTAAAATATCAAAACAGAACAAAACAGTTAAAAAAACAATTTAAAGAAATACAGATTTCAAAGCAAGTCCACTGGAGATCTTCACTGTTTATCTAATTGCCTCTAGTTTCTTACAAATAGTTGTCCCCATCTTCACCCACTTTATACACTTATTGCATATTATAGAACTAATCAAATCATTACAGGATGATGAAGGCTTTTTAGGTCTTCAAGATCTAACATTGGGGAAGACAATAATAACTACCATCGCATCTCTCATTCTCTTCGTAGTAGCTGTCCTTATCTTTACATATGCTGAAATTGAACTTAAGAGATTAGACTAATATTTTTCTGATAGTGAATAATAGTATTGCTAGAATTTATATCATAACGCTACAAAATTAGCATTGGGTTTCTTAGTGTCTCTTCTTCAGAGTATCTGTTCATTACATCTTACATTATATAATCTGTTCCCGTAAATAATTTTTTAAAAAAATCTCATGTGTGAATTTCTACATATATATCTATCCTCTCTGTATTATAGGGAAAAAAATCATATCAAGACAGCAAAACAAATTCCTAGAAAAACATGCAATGGATAAGACATATACAATATAGGTGATCTTCCATAGTTACTATGTTTTTTCTTGTTATTTTCAATAGATTTGTCCACATCATTGGCTTAATATAGTTAAACATAGTATTACCTATTTTTATAAAAACACAACTTTGAAACATTGTAGGATTTGAGAGCTGTTAATAATTAATACCAGTATGGATATCTTTTATATCTTGTCATCTTCAGAGTAGTTGCCTCTACTTTTAGGGTTGATACTAACAAGCATACCAAATTCAAATAAAATCAGCCAAGGCAAAACCGTGGTCTTATGAATCAGATTCAATTAAGATCAGTCATAGTAAGACAATGTAAGTAATACAGGATTTCAGTTTAAGTTAATAGGAAAGTAAGGAACCTGCTATTTTTGGGTCAGATGTCTGTGCCCTCAAATCTGACATTAGTGGACAGACCAGAACAAATTAAATTCAAACTAAACATGGCGATAAGACTGTGTCTTTTAAATCCTGATACACTATTAAGAATGACCTCTGCCTTTTTTTTATTGTGTTTCAGAGCTATCTATACTAAAGACTATAGCTTACCGCCTCTGCCTCATGTCTGCTTCTCCACTTTTCTGCTATAATTTGTCCACCTTATTCCCTCATTCCACTGTCTGCCCCGTTTATTGAGGCCTCTCTGCCACTGCTGCTGGAATCCTGGTATCCCTTCCTTTCTCTGGAATGTCCTTCAGCACTCCCTGTAGGGTTGGATTGGTGGCCACGAACTCCCACAGTTCCTCCTTGTCTTGGAAGCATCTTCTTTCTCCATTAATTTTGAGAGAGAGTTTTGACGGGTATATGAGTCTTGGTTGCATATTATTTTCTTTCAGGACTTGGAATATTTCTCCCCATTCCCTTCTTGATTTAAGAGTTTGTGTTGATAAGTCTGTTGTTATTTTGATAATTTTCCCGTTGTAGGTAATCTGCTTCTTTTCTCTGGCTGCTTTTAATATTCTGTTCTTTTGGTGGATTTCTGGAATCTTGATTATTATATGTCTAGGCGTAGATCTGTTTTGGTTGTAGGTAGCTGGTGTTCTGTATGCCTCTTTTATCTGGCTTTTTGCTATACATGGGAAATTTTGCTTTAATATATCTGTGAATATTCTTTGTATTTCATTTTTGGTTGCTCCTGCTTCTTCACTCACTTTCTTTATCCTTAAAAGTTATGTATCCTTTTGTCATCTTCTAGCCTTTGAATTGTTTCTTTCTGGTTCCTTGTTATTTTTAAGAGGTTTTTTTCTTTCATGATCATATGTCATAAATCTCTCTTCAAATTTCAGAAGGCTGGCTTCAGTTTCTGTCAGGATATTTTGCCAGTGTTCAATGGAGTTTTTAGTTTCCTGGTAATCTCTTTGGATCTGTTTCATGTATTCTAAGTTATGTTTAAATTCTTCTTCAGAAATTTCTCTTTCTTTTCTGATTTCCTCAGTTCTTCCATCTGTGTTCTCTTGAGCGGGGCTTGTCATTTGTTTAATTAATCTCTTTATATCTTGCCTCACTTGGATCAGGAGTACAGCTTTAAATTCATCTATGAGGTCATGGAAGTATTTTTAAATTTTGGCTGATGCTGTGTTCAGTATTGGATGGTTACTGTGCTTGTTCTCTTCAGTGTTTACTTCTTTTGGGCTTATTTTCTCATGTTGGGCAGCTGGAGATTTTTTTAAATTTCTATCTCTTGTCATATTTCTGGTTTCTTTCAGACTGGAGTGTCCTGGGGGTCTCTGGCCCTCTCAGTATTGCTTAGGGCCTTTCAGAGGCGTGCTGACTTGAGTTTTTGCTGTTCTCCCCAATTTGCTGTTATCTGGGGTAGGCAGGGATGCAGGGACAGTGCAGGCTAGCCTCCAGCCTCTGTGCCAGTCAATCCGTATATTAGGCTGTACTTTCTGGATGTTGCAGAGTTGCGACTATTTTGTGTCTGCTTATTGGGCCCCAACTAGAAGCTTGGTTCAGCCCCAGCAGATCCTGCCAGTTCTCTCTGTGCCAGAAGCAGCTGACTAATGTCACCGTGGCACAGGGTTCTGCCCAAATCCCAGCTGTCCTCTTCTAGACCTCTCTGTGCCAGGAGCACCAGGACAGTGGGTCTGCCCAATTCCAAGATGTCTTCCACTAGTTCTCTCTATGACACTGAAGCCGACACGGCACTGGGCTCTGCCCAGTTTCAAGATGTCCTCCAACAGACCTCTCTACACCAGGGGCGACTGTCTGATGTCACCGAGCCACAGGTTCTGCCCAACTCTAAGATGTCTTCCACCAGACTCTCCGTGTTATTGATGTTGCCGTGGTGGCGGGCGCTGCCCAATTCTAAGATGTCCTCTGGCCAACCACAGCAGCTGCAGGACCCCATCCCTAGTATGCACCAGGGCTCGGTGCAGGTCTTCCTCTTGAGTCTACTGCACATTACGCTGCTTGCCTTCACTGCGTTCCCAGCACAGGGTGGAATGGTCAGAAAACTGCACAGCGTTTGGCTTTGGAGCTCGAGCTTTTCACAATCTCCTCTGGTGCAGCGGGGCAGTCCTGGCTGCTTCGCGGGGTCCTGGGTCTCAATTTCCAGCAGTCACCAAAAGCCAACACAGCTTTTCCTATTGGGTCCACTGGTCAGTTTGCTGCATCAAAGGCACGGGATTTGCAGCCTCCTGTTATCAGCCTTCACAGTCTCAGCACAACTTTAAATCCTCCAGCCATGCTGTCTTGGTTAATAAGAATCGTTATCCATTCCTCTGGTCCTCTCTATGTTGTTATATTCTAGCATCTAATATGATTTCTCTGGAGAGACTCTCTGCCCAATCCCCTAGCAAGTCACCATTTTTGAAACTCCCCTGTATTACTTTTTACTACAGAATTACCTTCAAGGTTGCATTTGATCTTTGAAAACTGACAGTGGCTGTGAAAACTCAAATGCCAATGTACAGACCACTAAAACCCTTCATTTGTTTTAGAATGAAGATCTATTCCGGTTGTAACTTTATATGTTTTTCTTTTATCAATTAACCCTTGAATATTAGTGAAATGATCAGTAGAAGCAAAGGTATTATCACCACCTGACCAACGTGAAGAGCTATTGGTTTTAAACTTAGTACAGGTTCACACTGGTGGCCTTTGGTGCTCTAATGATGAGTGAATATACATCACATAAGAATCTCGAAACAACTTTGGAATCTATAATGAGGAGTATGCTCTCCTTAGCAGACTCACCTTGTGCTGTGCAAGCTGTGTTTTTATTCTGTCTGGATCATTGGCGATTTCCATGTCAGAATCCAGGGACTTTTCTGACTCTTCCAGCCACTCCATAAGTTTACTCCAGGCTTCATGGAACTGTAAAAGAAATTCTCATCTTTGTCCAGAAAAACTTTGATCATGTATTTGAAACATGGCTTGTTTTGTAACAGAAATAAATATTAACAACTAGGCTAAAAATCATTAATTAAAAATTTCCCTTGAAGAAAAAATGCTTTCATTAGCAAATTATAAAATGCCTGATAATGCTTGGTGTCTGTGGTTGTGGCCAATGGTCACACTATTGTAAGTCATCCAACACATCACTTTAGCAGAAATGACAACGAGCCTAGAAACAGCTACTGTGTGCCAGGGAAAACTTCCTTTCTTCCTACTTCTGTAGGTTTTTTTTTTTTTTTGTCTGTTTTTTGCTCAAATTTTAACATAAGTTCTCAAAAACATATATACTTTTTAATATCCTTACTGTCTCTTGACAGGTCTAGGTTTACATCTAAGTTATTTAACTCCTACGCTAAAAGAAAGGAACAAAAAGGAAAGGAGAACTACGAAGCTTATAAATTTATTTTTTAAAGTAGCAAAAATAAAAATAGGCAGTTACATTTCTATTTAATACAAAGGTAGTTTAACACCAGGAGTGTTTATGTGTTTATATGCTGCCTTTGTATGTAGGAGCACCCACAATTCTTGAGCTTTAAGAAAATATAATTCTCTTTGCCATCCGAGACCTTGCAAATATTTTGTCCTGCATACATCTAATTTTGGTCACAGTATCATTCTCATTTATTATACACAAAATTAGTGGGCTTTAATTTTCTGTTTTTGATTGGGAAACTAGTTATAAATTATCTCTTATAACCAATGTAAATGAACAAGAACTAAGAAATAATGGACACTAACTCCTTATATTTCAAAGCACATTAATAATGAAATAACAAAAAACATCTAACAGTAAGAGCAAACTCAGGCATGGAACCACGAAGCTGCAGGGCCCAATGGACATCATCACATCACCAACCTGCTCTCCTGATACAGCCTGAATGAACTCACGCACAGAAAAAAGCAAGACCAGAATATGAACGTGAACTGCCCAAGTCAGAGAGCTATGATCAACATGGAAGACAAAAGTTGAGCAGTAAGAAGAAATGAAAAAAGAATGTTGGTCAAGGTGCTGGGCAGTTTGACTTCAATTAACAGAGGCCGTAAGCACTGGCCATGAAGTTCAGTGATGTAAACCACAGGTTTTAAAAATGGTCCTGACTGTGAAGCTATAGTTAAGCCATGTAAGTACAGGAAATGCTTTTGGGGGATGAAAGCAGTAGGGAATACTTATATAGTGAAGATGATAAAACAAGAAGAAATGGGAAGAGAGTGGACACTTGCATAAATTTGATGTTTATAATTCAAGACACATTATAGAAGACACTGTGCTATATAATGCAGAGAAAAAAACATCAGACTGAGAATCATTACTATATAAAAGAAACTAAAGAGCAGCAGATTCTATTCCACAGACTCACTTCAATACTGAGTATATCATACTCCCCACTCAAAAAAGGATATATGGTATAATTCCATAACAATGCAACTTGTCTTTCTAAGCTTTCGAAAATTCACACTGAAAGCATTAAACCCTGAAACACCTGACACTTGTGATACTGTCTTATACCACCTAACTGAGTCATTTCTCCCAAACAAGGGAATAGAACAATGTTAAACAAATGCAGCTGAATGGGACAAAAAGTGAGAAGTTCAGCCTCAACAGTATACTAAACTTTTGGTAAAATTATTAAATATATTTTTAAAAAGAGATATGCCACGCAAGGTGGGTACATTTTACTTTCATAATGTACAGAGACACTCAAGAGATGCATAATTTTACCTCTTTTGTAGTCTAGAATTCAGTGTTAGTAATAGCCAAATAGAGGAGAGAAAATTCCTTGTGAAATTCTCTGGATTAAATTAAGCACTGCAAAAAAGGCTTGAACAATTACTTTCAAAATGAAATGAAGCTGCATCTCCTCTCGGAATGTTGGAGAGGAGATGCAAGGTTGCCAACAAGCTCTGAGAAAGGTACGGAGTGCCAAGTAATCAGACCAGCAACACCCCTCCTGCAACTGCCTGGAGGCTGTGCATCTGCCTATCAACTCCCAAGGCTGAGGCATGCTTGGCTGAGGAAGTAAACTTGAGTAAGTGACATGATAAAGGACACTGCTGTGCTCGGAGTAAGAAAGTGAAGGCCAAAAGGTCAGAGGAAAAACAAACCCAGTAACAAAATCTGGAGCTCCTTTTTGTGCCTTAATGATAATGACCCTTCTAGGAAGCCAAGCTACAATCAATCAGTCTTTTCAAGATTAGCCCACATTGCTTGAAGTTGCTGTCTCCTCCAAAAAGTGAACTTACCTTGTCAAAGTAAACCACAGCCTTTTCAGGAAATGACCATACACTTCCTGATTGCTGGTGGCAGCAGAGCCTACAAGTGTCTTAACACCATGCATTTCAATCACTGCAACTCATTTATTGCTAAGGTTGGAGAATTTTCACAAAGGTTTCTTACCTGCTTGGCTCTCTTCCTGGCATCATCCAATGATCTTCCTCTCTCCACTAACCGTTGAACTACTTTTTCCCACCGACTTTGCACACTAATAAGTAGATTCTTAATTAGGACAACATCTTGTTTCTGACTGAAATACTTCAGGTGGGTTCCGGTTTTGTCCAGCTCTATGATCTGCTCACGGTGAGAATTCACTTCATTGGCAAAGACCTTCCCCCCGCCAAAAAAAAGACAATCAGACACAAGGGAAAAATACATCCGTTTTAGAAATGTTTCAGGTAACACAAAACTTACAATGTTGTATAAGACAAAACAGAGTTTTTGACTACCAAATCCATGCTTCAGACATTAAAATACCTGGTGCCTCAAGGGTTGTGTGTGTGGTTGCTACGTACCCTGTGCTCATCAATTTGAAACAAGACTGTGTCCAAGATAAGACTTGGCCAGGAAGCCACATTCAGGGTCTGCTCAGCCTGGGTGAGCCAGCTGATAAAGTCCTGCAGGGAGTCGTGGAACTGCACTGCCAAGCTGAGGGCCTCTTCCAGTTTAGTCTGCAAAGACCAACTAGTTAGTACAGTATCTGCTGCAGGGCTTTTAAAGTGGCAAAGATGCCTCACCCATAAATTACAATTCCTAACGTTTTTATACAAACACTGATAAAATATATAAATACTTCTTTTGCTCCTCCTCTCCTTGGAATTAAACAGAATTAACAACCTTGAATTTGAATGTTCATAATATGTAGAAATATTCCTAAGTGACACTTGCTCTGTTAAATACTTTCATTTACACTAAACAGATTCCTTTTAACTGTTTGTTCTTTTGAGTTAGAATATAATTTTCAACTATTCTATGAAACTTTCAAGTATATAAAAAATTTAAATATGAATCATGAAAAGTTCTACTTTTGAAGGTTCTCAGAAATAAAGCAAAACCCATGAAATAAACAAACTATTATATTACTATAACACTGATTCTATTATATTAAAGCACGTACTTTCCTTTCGGTGAGTTTCGTTTCCACTGATTCCCATTTTTCTTTTAAGTTATTTATGTCTTGATCAACATTTGTCTCTGCAGATTTGGGGCATCTTGCAAGCATCTGCTGGCCTTTCTGCATCAGGCTCCTATATGTTTCTTCTTTAACATCAAACACAGCACAGATTTCCTAAATGGAGATACCTTCAAATTATATGGTTTTCAAGAGAACAGTATCTAAGAGTTCTCTTTTTTCTAGCCATCATATAGCATAAAATTCACCATTTAAAAATGCATATTCCAGTGTTTCTTAGGAAATTCATAAACTTGTGCAAAGTAATTACCGCAAACGCTAGAACATTTTCATCATCATGAAACTCTGTAATTTCCTTTTAAAAACAACCTCTTTCAAAACATATTCGCAACACTACCTACTCAAAGCGTTCCTATGAAACTTGTATGTAAGGGATGATCAAACTCTATTGACAAAAAAACTTACAGTGAAGGACATACTGCCATTAATTCTTCACAAAGTACTCCCCATCCTCTGAATACATTTATTCCACCATTCTTGCCACTGACTGAAACACTTCTGGAGTCTTCTTTCCTGTCTTTATGAAGTATGATGAAAAATACAGAGAATGCCTCTACCTATATCATCTAAAGGAAAGGCGGGCTCATAAAAACATCACGGTGAGCCCTTCTCCACACCTTACTGCCTGGCTCCAGCATGGTCTGGCTTTTTCCCAAAGTCAAAATGACCATGAAAGATATGCTTTGAATTGATTCAAGACACTGAAGCAGCCACAGCAACCCAAGTAAAAACATGAAACAGGACATCCAGAACTGCTTCCGACGGCAAGAAAAGTGGGGTACATGTGTTGGAAGCAAGGGGAACTATTTTGAAGAACATGAATGGCAGTATCTTTTATTGGAATAAATTTTTTAAAATGTAAGCATTTTTAGCTATGTTTAGATTATATTATTCATTTGTAGCAAAACCAAATTAAAACAACAGTACTCAAATGGTATCACAAATACTAGTAACTCTTCAAAATTCTTTCAACCATGACACTTCTACAGTCTGACACATTATATACAGTTATAGACAGTTCATTTCAAACAGCCCATTGTGATGATTAAGCTTGATTGAGCCAACTTGACTTGTGGTGAACATATTTTCTGGTATGAGTGGAGCTGGACGGCTCATGTGGCCCTGTGCGCTGCATCAGTTCCCTCATCTCTTCCTCTCTAGCACTGTTCTCTGCCACACTCATCTGCTATGATTTTTCTGCCTTGGAGCCAGCTGACCATGGACTGAATCCTCTTAATATGTGAGCCAAATTAAGCCTCTGTTTTAAGTTTTGAGCCTCTGGCACGGTGCCCAGCAAAAGGAAAGGTGACTAGTACTACAGTAGTCAATCCAAGTAAGTTGATAAACAGTATTTTTATAAAAGTATTCTAAAGAGGGTTTTTCTTTCAAGCTATTATTTATATTCTTCTTAATTAACATTTTAAAGAGAGTTGTTTAGACTATAAATGCAACACAAGCACTCCAAAAAGGAAGAATGTATCTTGAAGTTACTACTCAGGCTTTACAGAAAAGGAAGGCAAGTACTCCCAAGTTATTATGTAGCCATCACTTCTTCTGTGAAATAAATGGGTTCCTTATGGCACCATACAATAACAAAAATCACACACAAAACATTTCTAAAATAATATACTGTAATAATAATTTCTAGAAAATTCTTCACTAGATAATAGGACTTATTTTAGCTATTCCATGGAATCATGAAAGAATAAGATGTTATCTATCATACTTATTTGTACCTGTAAGACAGTTACTTCTCCACATCACCAAATTCAAAGTGATTGCCAAATAAGTAAAATTTTACTAAGATCTTACAACATTAGGCATTTGCTAAAGAATACAGACTTTCATGTATGATGGCTTTCTTCTTCATTAAATCCCTATTTCTAAAGAATGCTGCCTATATCATCTTTGTGATATTTATGAATGCTGAATATTAAAAAATATTTTAGATGCAAATTCACAACTGTAAAAACTAGAAGAACAGTTTCATAGAGCTGAATGACTGCTTTCTCTCAAAATTTTTAGAGCTCAATTACAAAGGACATGAATGTCAATAAATCAGTGATATTCTAAATCTGTTGGCCCATATTCCTAAGAAAGAAAGATAAGAGTTTCAAGTTTCTGTGTATTTTTGTTCTCACTCTTAAAGAGCTGCCACAGGAATGGCTGGGAACAGGCCAGAGGCAAACGGCCCAGACTGGGCAGCTGAGCACAGGCCTCGGTCTTGCTGTGTCTAGTAGGTGTGAGGCTGGAGATGAAGCTCTAGGAACAGTGAGACAAGCCACTTCTCATAACAGAACAAAATCGTATTTTCTAGTTTTCATTGAGAAGATCTTACATTCATAAATACATTTGAACAATAATTTTAAGTCCAATTTTTATATTTCCTTTACACGACAAAGCATAACCATATCTAACTTACTCAGTGTTTTACAGTCAGTCATATAAGCTTACTGTTTGACAGAGGCATTCTTGCTCCCAAAATGCCCTCTAGACTACTAAAATTTCTTCTTTATATACTGACAAAGCTGACTTCTGGAATAAGGATAGGTTCCCACCTGAAAAATGTAGTCACTAAATGGTTTTGTTTATAGTACTTACATAGTGAATTCTGCTTTAAAAAAAATTACCAGCTCTTTTAACCCGTTCTCCCATTATTATGTATGCATCAGCAAGGCTCATCAACAAGAGGCTGCCCACCTGGGCTGGGCAGCAGGAGACACTGAACTCACCATGTGGGCATTCAGCTGCTCCTTGGCTGTTTCTGGAAGACCTCCCAGAGGCTTAGATGCCAACAGGTGTCGCTCTGTGTCGGTCAGCCACTGCTGGAGGTCCTCAATCTCGCCATGGAAGCCTTTGGCCTGAAGTGACAGGGAATTTTAAATTTGGTCACTTCCAGGTGGAACACAGGTTCAAACAGACCCCGTCTGCTATGTCTCCTTCTGCCCTGACTGCCAGCTATCCCTCAAGGTTCTCGTCATGCTTCATCAGGAGCTCGACAGACACAGACTGCTGCCTCTTTTCTGCTCCCACTTATCCCGGCTACTCTCTTCACAGTCTGTGAAGGAAAGCAGGACATCCGTGCTTTTCCCTCCTGAACACCACAGCAAGTTTCAGAACTGATTATCTGTAGTCACCTGGCGCAAGGCACCATCCAGCTGCTGCTTCCTTTGTTCTGTTTTTTCCAAGACATTTTGCCAGCGTTGATTTAAAACCTCTAGCTTATGCTGAAGGTTGCTTGCTTCTTCCCCTGCACTCGATTCAACAAGATCATTTCCTGCTTTATTAACAGCTTCCACTGTGGACTGATGGGCCAGCACATCATTTTGGAGCACCTGAAAATGTTACGGTAGTATGTTCACTAGTTGGTACTGCATTCAACATCAATTTTAATGCAACTGTTTTATTTGCTGCTTATGGAACTTACCAAACAGCCTCATAACCGAGTTTTAACACTGTGTTTAAAATGAATTTCCTTTTCCCTTAACTTTGTAGCTTTCCTAAAAATACTTTTAGCCTATCAGCACTTCCTGAAACAATTACATGAGAACATTTTTCTATTCATTCTCATACTGACTATGCAATCAATGTACCACCCATCAAGAGACTATAATTAAAAGGCTCTAAAATTTGTTGATTTATACTCAGTTTAATTAAACCTAATTCTCATGTCTGAATTAAAAGACACTTTTACTCCTATTTACTCATTTTCAAATGTAAAATTATCCCACGTCTGAGACATACATGTTTTACAGTTAGCATCCCGAGAGGAAAGCACCCGCCAACTGGTCCCTAACACCCGCTCACTCAGGAGTACTGTCACTATAACCTCACTCTGCGTCCCTGCAGTAAGGCAGCAGAACACCGCCCCGGTGCTGTGAGATGTCACACAGCTGTAGCACACGGCCTTGGGGATTTTCAGAGCAGATGGTGGCTCCTGAGAGTGCAGTTTCTTAGATGGTGCTCACTCACTTCCTGAAGTGCCCCAGTGAAGAAGCATTTCCCAAGGCTGGAAAACCAACTGGGCAAGGAAGAAAGTATCTTTCCAGAAAGTGCACACTCTATTAACAGGGGGAACTACTACATTTTTCAAGAAGTAAGGGTGAAAACATTTCTCCTTGTTCAAATTTTAAAAATAATTCTATAAAATTCATGCTTCTAAATGGTCTGGGTCCTGCTGTAAGGTCAGAGCCTAGGAGAGGGAGAAGCATGCAGGGAAGTATTGGGAAATGTTCCTGTCCTTCCTCCAGCAGCTCTGCTGGGAGCTGGAACAGTCTTCTGACTTTTGATCTTTGAAAAAAGAAGGGGGAAGAGGAGACACTGCTAACTACTCAGAGACAGATAGACAATTCAAAGGTCTCTAAAGATCCCTGGCAAACTAGCTGTATTCCTACACCTTATGCTTCCACTTCTGTGAATTATACCCAGTTCAAATCATTGATGTGAACTTGTGAAGACGACCTGATGTAGGACTCAGGTCTTTGAAAATACCACTAATTATGAGTGTACATACTAAAGCCTATGAAAGACTGTGGAATGACAGTCAAGAGAAATGCTAGTGTGCATAAACTTTCAAGTAAATCTAGTGAATTAGGAGATACAGGAAGTTACAAAGGTGACAACAATGTAAAGATTTTTTGCTTATGAAAGTATCTCAAGATAAAAACACAATTTATAAGTTTCAAATCAAATATATGACCTGTAAAGATTCTTTAGAACATATTTTTGAAAAGTGATTTAAAAGGAGTGTGAAACAAAAAGTCAGTCAAAGATAAGAGTGGCACGGAGACAGAAGAAAGATAAGAGTGGCACGGAGACAGAAGAAAGATAAGAGTGGCACGGAGACAGAAGAAAAAACAGTAATATAACGAGACATGTATCAACAGACAGGCTAAGCAAGAGACCAGAAGGTGACCAGAGTAAAAACAAATCAGCGGCAGGACATTTTAAACCTGTGATTTTTAGGCTATCCCCAACAACTTTAAAAACAGATGAAGTCAGCCCAACACACGTATAAGGAGAGGCTTAGCTCTTTACAGAGTTTACCCATGAAGCCCTAATAGAATATAGTCACAAATTTCCAGTCTTTCCTGTGTTTGATAACTGCGCTGGAAAATAAGAATACCTTGATTTTAATCTTTTACGAAGTATATTTAAGTAATTTAAACTTTAGTTATAAATGCCAAATATATACTTCTATTAAAATCATAAACTCAGAAAAACTCATATAGAAATAGTAAAAAAAAAAAAAAAACAACCTGATGACGTTAGAAATACATGAAGAGGAAGCATAATGCCCCTTCTTGGAATCTTCCTAAAACAATCAGAAGCATCATACCACACTGATACAGTGTGTTTACAGTTGCAGTTTATAACAGCTAAATCTTAGAAACAGCCCAAATGCCCATCAACTGGTGAAGGGACAAAGAGGATATGACTTTTATAGAATGGAGTACTACTCAAACATAAAGAAGGATAAGTCTGGGCCGGGGAGTTAGCTCAGTGGCATAAGCACCTGCCTTGCAAGTGCACAGTTGTGAGTTTGATCCCTGGTACCAAAAAGAAAGGATAAGCCCGAGACATTTCTAGGTAGATGGATGCACCTTGAGACCATACTCTTCAGTGAAATAAATCAGACATCTGTAAATACCACATTGTTTTCATGGTGTGAGAAACTGAAAGTGTACCTAAGGACCAAAATAGGTAACAGATATTGTGGAATAAGAAGAAAATGTTCAAATGGAGAGGAAGGGGGAAAGGAAAGAAGCAAAAGTAAAAAATGAGAAAAGAAGAAAAATTGGAAACAAAGCTTTTGTAAATGGAGGGTAGGGGAATGAAGAAACAAGTTGTGTCATATACAGACACAAATTCTTTATGATGAATGTGACCCTATGTGCAACTCAAATCTGGTGAGCAAAAGAAAAAAGGAAGCATAACAGGTGGGGGCTACGTACATGATGTTTGGCGAGTTCAATTTCAATGGCTTTCGGGTCACCGCCAACAGGCTTCTGTTCACTGAGCAAGCCCTCGGTGTGTGTCAGCCAGGTCAGGAGCTCGTCTAGGGCATGCTGGAACTGACCCAGGGCCAGCAGTGCGCCCTCCAGCTTGTGCTACCAAAGAAGCAGAGGAAGAAAATCCATTTATGAGTTTGATGTTAAGAATGACGTGCATTAAAATAAGGCCAAAAATCAACTTTTTCATGCTGCTAAGTCTGTAAGCATATCCTATGGGGCCTAATATTCACATCCTTCTCTGTTTTGAGTTTTTTATCCTCCATGTTGTTAAAAAAAAATAGCTTAAACAGGGACATTTCTAAAGGGATAAGAAGATCTGGGTACTTTAGAGAAGTAGTTATGTAATTGCCTGATTTTATTTTCAGTAATCAGTTGACAGTACGTCTGAGGTTAACCATGTATGTCATCTTAACGGAAGTGACAGCTTTTACCTGGCGGGTGACAATTCTCTCGTCCAGGCTATCCCATATCAGCTTCAGTTCCACTAACGGGTCTTGAACAGTGTGTTTGTCGCTCTCCTCTGTTACTTTCTTCAGCAAAAGCTCTGCTTGATGGTTCAGTCTTTCCATTTCTATCTGTTGTTGATAAGCCTCTGACTTAAATTGCTATTTTAAAAAGAGAGATACACCAAGAAAGCCTTTTATGTATCAGTAACTTTAAATCAAAAAAATATGTGTGCTACAATTTTATATTTTCAAGGGTGAGCTTATTTTCAATATCTAACTACATATATTCAAAAATGAGCTAAAATTATCCTAAAGAACGTAAAATATATTAACATACATAAAAACCAGAAAGCAATCTCTAAGAAAATCAGTACTATTTTCAACACACACACACACACACACACACACACACACCTTACACCTTTTTTTTAAGGTTGTGCTGCAACCACTATTCAGTCAGTGTGTAGTTATTCTCACGCCTCACCCACGGCTGTCATGGAATTGTATTATTCCTTCTCCTGGTGCTTCCTCTATCACTAATGTATAGTTAGTAATCTTGGCATGCCAACCGTAGGTTAGAAAATGGTTGCTTGTAACAGAAAACTGCCATGTCCTAAAATATCTTCATAAAATATCTATTTGAATCTGTAATAATAAATAATGGCTACACAGTCCTTAATTTTCCTTCAAACAGATGGAAGTAATAATTAAAAAACTAACTACATTCAACAGTCGCTCTATTCAAACTATTCTCAACCAGTTTATAAGGAAAGTAATTTTGTCCTCCAATGAAGCTAAGGACATGGCAGCAGATAGTCCCATAGCCTTCCTGAAGTTGGCTGTCTCGTCTGCTGGCTGATCTGTGACAAGCAGATCTGAGAGTGAGCATCCCGACCAGCCTGCCGACTGCCAGTAAATGCAACAATCTGAGCTAAATTCCCTTCCACACCTGTAACTACATGTAAAATAGATCACATGTTTACAACGGACAAGACAAAGCCAAACAAACCCCTCCATCTAGTGATGGTAACAGTAAAAATTTCAAAAAAAGAATTTGCTTCTAAATACAGTACTCTGTCAGACTTAGGAGATGAAAATGCTACAGTTTTAAAGTAAGACTGTAATTTTCAATAAAAGCATAACTAAGATTACTGACAGTGGTCTCTGTATATAAGAATCAGGAAGAAAATCACTGATCCCATTTCAGTAAATGATCACTGGTACAACAGAATTCAAAGAGGAAAGGACCAGTCATTTTCACAAGTGGAGATCAAGAACAACAAAAGCAAAAATGACACAGGAAGCAGACAGAAAGGCCACACGACCCATGAGAGACAGGGAAGTGCCAAGGTGGGAAGTGTGATCCTGTTACTGTCTTTCCCAAAATGTTTGCATTATTAAGCTATGGACATGCTTTTGACCTGTAAGACTAAACAAATTATTCAAAACACATGAAAATAATGCAGATGTTTCGTTTGTGTTGACTGGTAATAATGTAGCAGTATAATCTAAATACAATATTCCCCTGTCCCCCTACCCCACACACATCCTATCCTCTATCCTCCTTCAACATGAAAATATCTGAAAGGCTCTCTATTGACTGCCAAGAGTAGCTGTTTCTGAGTATGTAACATTTTGAGTGACTTAGAAAAAATGGTTTTTCTCTTTTTTGTATATTCTGATTTTTCTACAATTAACAGATACTACTAAAAACAACTAAGTTTTATTTCCTTTAGTTAGTGAGTCAAAATTTAATGCTTCAATTATGTAAAATGTGTAAAATTTATGTAAGGATTTTGTGACTCAAGAATTTAAAAACAAAAGATTGAGGTATGGCTCTATAGTAGAACATGTCCGTAGCAAGCACATAAGGCTCTGCATTAGATCTCCAGCACCAAAAACAAAAATAAGACCAATGAAGAAACAAAACACACACTCTAAAAATGCCAGAAAGTCTTTGATAAATTACTTAGATTCCACACATACCTTTAGCTCTTCAATCTGCTGCTTGACAGTTTCAAGATCTGTTCCGATTGGAGACATTGAAGCTAATTTACCATCTGCAATATCCACCCAGTCAAATACTGCCTGAAAGACACATTAGTCCAGGGGTTAGCGTAAAGGTGTGCTTGACAATGTTACAGTATCTTGTGTACAATAGAACAGAAAAATCATAAACCTACAAAGACATTATGGAGTTAACTCACTGTATAAAAATTAAAATGGTTTATCTCAATATAAGCGGTACAATAACAGAAGAGTTGCCCCAAATAGACGTAATTTCCAATTTTGCATCCAAGTTTTCAAAAGAAATTCTGTACTGAATAGATTCTCAGAATATTAAGACAAATTTTTAAAGTTTATTTGAAAAAGATTACAAATTTGAATGAAATAAAATCTATATTCTCTTATGTTAAATATACTAAAGAAAAAGATCTAAACTCACCTATTTATTGAAATAAGCAAGAGGTTTACTGTTCAGCATTTCGGCACAGTATTTGGTTCAGCTAAATCCCATGCAAATTTAGAACAGCATTAAAATTCTGCACATATAAATGATCAGTACTGAGACATTATCCTAAACCATAATACAGACTTTAGAGTCCTCTACTCTTTTTATTCTTAGGTAATATAAATATTCTAGAAAGGCTCAACACATTTTGTATTACTAGCCCTTTAATGAAGTTGCCAGACCATATAGCAGGGGGAAAAATCCTGGAAAATATCTGGGATTTTAAAGTTATCATTAATCAACCCTAAGAACTTAAACCATAACCTGGGAAATAAAATATATTTCACATTATAAAGAATCCTTGTATCCCGTGGAGCTTCTGGAGCTTTGCACATCTAATGATACCACCACAGGTATTTGTAAACAACGATGCCCTTCATAACTAACAAGTGGTACTAATGCCTGCAACCTCACAGGACCGAGGGAGAGTCTTGCTTTTCCAGCAGGAATAAGGCCCATGCACAAGGTATGGTGTCTTGCCTGAGGCATCCTAAGTGCCTACACCTGTAGCAGCGCCACCTCCAGCCCTGGAGGACAGGGGGCTCTGCCTGGCCTGACAGGCAGAGGGATGGCACCCCATTTAAGTATTAGTGGCCAGTGCTATTTACTAAGGAATTATCACTTTGGTTAAAGATGGGGATGATACAATAAAATGTCATTTGTAGTGAATTTTTTCATGTATTTCCAAAACTCAAAGCTCTTTTCAGCTGACTTAAAGCCTGGCTAGCGGTATTTATTTTGACAAATGCAGAAATGGAGTGGCATAATTAAAAAGGAAAAAGATGTTCTCATCTGAGCTTTAAGAATAATATTCACTTAGTGTTATGGAAATACTTAAGGAGGCCTTTTTCCATACGTACAGTAAGAAGGATGGAAGATTAAATGCCTGCCAGCCCACTAGGAAATGAAACAAAGTCAAGGAAGGTAGCTAAAAATACAGCCCTGGATATGTGTTGACTGACAAGAAAATTTTAATATTTAAAAAAATCAATTTGTGAATGGTTAATGAACTGAATGAGAGCCTTTAAGAAACGAGAAAAACAACTATTAAAACCAATTATATACATGGAAAAAAGAAAACATCTTTTACACACCTGATTATGACCTAATAAAATAGAAATCTATTTTAGTACAGGGAGAACACTGGCTTCAAATCAAATTTCCTTACTTTTGATTTTAAACTTGGAAATATTTTTAGATGGTGTTTACTCCTTTCATCTTACTCCACTCAGCTTTAGAACCAAGATTCAGTTCCATTTCACTGTCTAGTGCTACACTGCTAATGAAAAAGACTGTGTAGGAACATTTACTTTTACTTTTTTTAAGAAAAAGTAATATTCTATTTTAAAGAGAATTTCACTGAATAACGGTATATGAAGCTATGCATATAAGCCAACATCTTAAGGGCCAGAAACTTTTTCTTAAAGGCAAAAACCAAAGTATCTGGGAAAACGAGAAATCTGCCCCACTGCCTACACTATGCCCGCAGGCCTGGGACCATCACACACACAGTGAGAGGCAGGGTGGACACCTCCCTCGGGGCGCAGAGCTGGACACATGGCAATGGCCTTACCTGCAACCCATCCTGGTACTGAACGGCAGTCTGCATGGCCTCCTCCAGCTGGTCAATCCGATCTTTCCAAGCTTTGTTTAGAGAATCCCAGGCTGAATTTAACTAAAAATTGCAATGTTGTAACTTTTTTAGTTATCAGGTTTGAATTTTTAATTACTTTTAACAAATACATTTTAGTTAACTAAATTTTCAGAAAAGGATTCTGACAAGAACCGAGAAACTGGTGGTACCTCATCTATGCTTTTCTTGACAATGGGTTTATCCGGCTCCCCACAAGCAGCAATGAGCTCCGAACCCAGGTTGATGACTGCATCCAGCTCTTCTTGCAGCCCATCTATTTCCTCCTTTATGGCCTAGAACAAGAAAATAGCAGCCTTATAAGGCAAGGGGGCTGGACACCAAGATAATGGTGGTGGTCATTTCTAGGAGATGGGATTAGAATCATTTTCATTTCTTCTTTCTGTTTTCAATCCTTTAGCTACAAAATTTCTCACAAATAAACAAGAAACATTTTAAAAGAAAAATGGCACTCTTTAAAAATGCTAGATCTTTATTATAAATACAAAAAGAAATAAAAATGGCAACAAACACCTGAACAAACTCTGAAAAACACCAATACTGTCCCAAGAAAGATACTTTGTCAAACAATAATATGTTCAATAATATGCCTTTAAAGTGGATATAGTAATATATGAGTCTGAAGACTTTACACAGATTAATGTACTTGTTAGTATATTGAGAACAACTTAGCTTTAATTTACATTTTATGACATTACCCGAGGTAGCACCTGCAATAAAAATAAATTGCACCTGCAATATAAAAATATTGCAACAGCAATGAAGTGCCCTAACTTTGTTTTCATCTTCTGGGCAGAAATACATTTATTCAATATTTAATAAGTGTGAACTAAGCTGTAAACTAGAGCACTAGGATAGAAAAAAGAATAGATCTGGCTCTTCTGCTCAAGGAGTCCACAAGTCCAGTAGGCTCCACAGAAGTATAAGCAAGCACCACTGGTCACCCTGTGGACAGAGTACTTGGCACAGGAAAGTATAATGGAAACAAAGATGATCTTTATACTCAACCTGCTTTTCTTAGTGATTTAGAAAAGAGCTCTATGGGGGTTACTAATTCAACTGAACATTGTATTAATTCTTCAGCAGGATTTGCCGAAAAAGTGGCAGAAAGGACACCCCAGGGAGAGGACACATGCCTCTGGGAACATGGCCACAGGTGAGGAAGGGCTGTGCAGAGCTCCACATGTACCCTTGGCAGTTTGGGCCTTATCCTGCAGGTGCTTTGCTGACAGCTATTAAGGAACGACACAATACGAGCAGGTCTAAAAGGGGAGTGGCAACAGGAGTACAAGAGTGGCAAGAAAGGGGTCTGCACCTCAGGTCATGTTAGGATCCCTTCCCCAAAGAGATAACAGGGCCTGGAATGAGGCAGAAGCAGTGGGGATGAAGAGAAGTTGTTTTTCAACTACGTCTCTAAGTGAACTTTGTGAGTGCGTTCTATTTCTTCCTAATCCTAATGCATTACAAGTTCAGAATCAAATATAAATTTTAAGAGTGATTCCCAGTGTTTGCCAGAGGATCAAAGGCTTCACTGGGCCACAGCTTGCTTTTGCTTTTTAACTTCAAGTGAAATTTTCTGCTCACCTCTGCTGCTTCTTGCTGCTGCTTTACTACTGAGGGATCAATTCCAGGCTCTTCCAGGTCCTGAATGAGATCCTGAGTATCTTTTGTGGTAACCACCAGAGCCATATGGTCACACCAGAACTTTTCTGCTAGTTCCATTACATCCAGTAGTTTGGCTTCTCTTTCTTCCACCAGTGTGTGTATGTTCTCCCAAATGAAAACCATTTGGTCAAGCTTATCACGAACAGCTATGAAACAAGGACACTGCTTAGTGCCACTTAATAACGTGAAACATTTAGTTCGTAAATCACTGTGAAACAGTGATTCAGTGTGCTAAGGATCTACAATTGGCTCAGGTGTTGGTTGACAGCAGTTTGGTATCACTGGGCCCAAGAGCTCTCCCAGCCAACGCAAGGTCTAGGATTCTCCTAGTTTTGCTGAACCAAGAACTTTCCTGACCCACATCAGTGCTCTAAGCTATTGAGCTCAGAAAAGGTCCAAGATTTACCAAGTTTTAAGTTCACTAAGGTTGGTCTAAGCCAAAAGAAAGTGAAGAACCACCTGACTGACTATACTGTTTGTGATCTCAAATATTCTGTTTGTTCAATCCCAGAACTACCATAACGTAAGTTAAGTATTTTGGGCTTGTGGCTAGTGGATCTTATGAATGTTCACAGTGCACATATTCCTCCCAGTGATGATCCCTGGTGCATGGCGCTAAGACAGCTGACTAGTGTCATGGCTATTTTCCTGTGGCTAGGAGACAGGGAGGGCCTGCTATGTAAACACAACAGAGCCACTGATGAGGGAAAACATGTATTTTTTAAAAATCCTGTTTGGCCTTATTAGGATTATGCTTTAACCTGCTTATTTCAAAACTTGCAGAACCCCTGGTTTTTGCATTATAGTGCACATTATATTCAGCTGATTAATTTCACAAACCAGTAAGGGATCTGTGCACACAGCCCTTCAAACCATCAACACATCGCATTTGTAACACCGTTTCCAAGATCTGGCATTGTGTTATGCAATTGGATTGCAGAGAGCAGCATAAAATTTAGGGTTGTTGTGAAAGTAAAGTTTATTTCATAATTATTACCTTTGGCAGATATGTCTTTATCAGTACCCCCAGATCTAGCAATCATTTCCTCTCCCCTCAGCTTAAGCGTTTCATACAATGGTTGTAGCTTTTCCATGTCGACTGACACATTCTTATTTTCACTGATCTGCTCCTTGATCTTCTCAACCTCTGCAGATATGGATGGTGGTTGTCTCAGACGTTCCACAATGCGCTCCAGACTCTCACGGATCTGGTCAATCTTGTTGTGGAACTAGTGGTAAAACAATGGGGTCTTATATGTGGGAAAGAGCTATAATATCACGTGTGAAACGTAAATGAAAAATATCTAATTGATTCAATTATGAACAAAATCATAGTCCCTTTATCAAAATATCTATCCAAAAGTTAGACTTAGCTAACATATGAAGACTCTACTAAAATTATAATTTATATGTACTTCTGCACCATATCACTTACGCAGAAAAGTTTCTTATATACACTAAAGTGTATTCATTAATAAATGATATATGTTAATGAACAGATTAACTTGGCAACAGCATCTGTTTTAGTCTATTATTTCACCTCACCATAAATGAAATAAATTTTAAAAACTGTGTTCAGTAAGTAGGTCTTTGTCTACTAAAAGTGACTGCTTTCTCCATTTTTCATGACAGTTTTGGATCCTACAAAGTTATATTATTAAACGTGACAGGGACAGTTTTTACTAGATTTAAGGGGTCTGTTAAGTTATGTATTTCTGGAACAACAAAAAGAAAGTTTAAAAATGAAACAAAACTTTCCCCAACATTGTATCTTAAGTTCGAGTCTGGAGCTGGGGATGTAGCTTGGTGGCAAAGACCATGCTGAGATGAGACCTGGGGTTCAATATTCCAGCACCTCTCCCAAAAGCTTTTATTTAGTTAATAATCAAAACACATAATCAAATACGTAAGAAAATTCCAAATGTTTTTTGGTAAAATTATCACAGACGATTAAGCAAAGTCATAAAAACAAAAAAACCTGGTCCAAGTTCTACACTAGCCTCAAAATCAAGGGACCCATTACTCAGAACTACAGAAAATAGAGACTAATGTCCTGCATCTAACGATAAAAAGCAAACCTTGAAAATTCAAGGCCTTCAGATAACTTCAAAATTTGACTTCTTCCAAAAGGATATTTTCAAAGAAAAAAAATCCACAACTTTAAAAATCCTGCAACTTTACATTCTTAACCTTTTTATTTGGCTGATAATTTAGCGTTTTCTCTTACCAGCTTCTTTATTAATGACAGGGAGACTGACTTTCTATCCCAAGGGCAACATCACTTCCCGTCACAATAGGCACTGAATTAAGTATCTGTACAGCGACAGAAACTGTATGTTTCTTAGTTACTTAAATTAATTTTTTATTGTATCTTGAAGTAGGTGAAACTATAAAGGCTGGACACAAGCAAACATCACCTCTGAGAGACCAAGTGTGAATAACCTGACTGAGTGAGATAATTCTGGCTGAAATTTAATCAGGAAATCCATGAAAATGTCTCCATATGCTTCACTGTTTAGAAAAACAAAATTCTGTTTCTAGTGTAAAGGAGTACCTGAGTTGACTGAGACATGGCTTCATCCAGAGCTACAGCGCGCTTTTTGACGTCTTCCTTAATTTGACTATAAAGGGTGTCTGCTGCCACATACTTCTCTTGAATAGAAAAGCCTTCCCCTGGGCTCAGTTCCAGTAACTGTGGCCCAGTCTTGTTCATCTTATCTATGTGTGGCTTGTGTTCAGCAATCAACTCTCGCAGTTGCTATAACAAACCAAACAGCTTCTCAGTATCTCAGGGTTACACCTCCACATCATAGCAGTCTACAACCCCAATATCTCCATTTGTCCTTCCCACTGGAAGGCCCTTAGCACGTCATGGTGTGTACAACTCTTTTCCCAGGCCAGATGGCTCTAACACAAAGGCTAAGCAGCCTAGTCACACCAAAGTCCCTCTTTAGGAGTACATAAAAATGCTGATCGAATGAAACAACGTCTCCCAGGTTATTACACATTTCATACCCACAGCAGCACATTCTGGCAAGAAAATTAGTTGAGGTCATGTCACATAAAGTGTTGTGTTTTGTTTTGTTTGGTACCAGAAATTCAACTCAGGACCTTGGACTTGCCAGGCACGCACTTGTGCCACTGAGCTATGTCCCTGATCCCAAAAATGCATAAAGAACAAACCACAATTTTGCACAATTATGTTATTTACCAAAGCATAAAATGGAGAGAGGAGGGAGGGAGAGAAGGAAAAGGAAAGCTCAGCAAATGCAGACACAAAGCTGACAAAAGAACTCAAAAGGCTGTGAGGCTGATGTATGCTCACGTGATACTGCATTTATACACATAAACCATGGTAAGATGGATACGCAGATATGTTACATTGTACTCTGTGAGGTGTAACTGAACACACGTTGAATGTTTGAGTAAAATGTCTCCTGAAGTCCCACGTGTTTGGAAGGTGACTGCAATGATAGGAGCACTCTACTCATCCCTGAATTAATCCACTCCTGAGAGCACAGCTGAATGCACTGTGAGGAGGGAGGCCTGTTTGCAAGGGCCACGTTGGTGACAGACAGCACGAGAAGGAAGGGTCCCTAGCCCCTCCTCCTCCTCCCATCTCAGCGTCCAGGCCACCAGCTCTCCTCCACCATGACCTTTTCCCAGCCTTTTCCTGTCTTGGCATCTGCCAAACACAGACTGAATACATCGAAACTGTGAGGCAAAATAAGCCTCTTTTAATTTAGAGTATTGGTTATTTTGTCCCAGTGACAGGAAAGCTAGTACAATCTCCCTCAAAGTATCTCCCTCACTTCAAAGACGCTCATCTCGTAATTCTTGTCACTTTCTGAAGTAGTTCTAAAGTCCTCTTCTGTGATTGTCTTTAAGATGTGATAAAAAATACAGTGAATGTCAATGTTAAGTGTATGCAAAGGAAGGCAAGCCTGTAAAATTATCACAATGTGTCCTTTCCTACTGTGTCCATTGCAGCTGACACTTGGTGACTTCTGGCTCTTCCCCAAATAATCATACAAGCTAAATGTTTTGAGTTGATACAGAACAGGGGAGCTACAACCACAGATGTTCACAGAAGATGACTTCCAGCACTCACACAAGTGGCAAGAATGATGTGGTAAGTATGTTTGAAATAACAGGGGTGATACTTCGAAAGGAGTTAAACCAATGTATTTTTTCTATAAATAAAAAATTTTAATTTACTTACTGTATTTCTTAATCATGCTCTCAGTGTGTGTGTATATATATATATATATATATATATAAAACCTTCTTTATATATCTGACAAATGGACATTACATAAATGAACCTACTTTTTGTTACTTTAAAATGTTTGCAAGCCTTATCAATCAATCAGATATATAGCTATCTATTAAATAAGGCACATTCAAATAAAAGTGTGGGTCATATGAATATGTTGCAAAATTTTGTCATCTAATCAAGAAATACAGTGACAGCTGTGCTAGTCAATGGAAGTAGAACCCAAGTGGAGTCTCTTGGAATGATGTTTTGGGAGCTTGAACAAGGCTAGCATATCTGTACTTCACAGGTCCTGGGCTGACCAGCTAGCAGTTACTCATGGGTCAACTCCAAAAGCCACTGAGGGAATTCTTTGTCTAAGGGGCCCTGAGGTCAGCCCTGGACAGCACTGAGGAACCTTCCGTTTGTGCTGTGCTCTGGACTGGGCTCCCCCATCAGCAGCTCCTTGTCCTTACCAGAAGAACCATCTTGCTGCTATTTGCTACCTAGGCCCTGGGAAGTTTCTCTGAGAGAAATTACATACAAGAAAAGCAGTCTAGAGGTAAACTACCAATTTTTTCTTTTAATTTTTAATAAATACAAAGACGAATCACCAAGAATGGAACACAACTAATTCTTACTCCAAATATTCATTAAAACCCATCTTACAGATTACCGTGAGAACTTGGTAAGAAAGCTGCTACATCATTATCTATTTTATGCCATTTTAAAGGTTTTTCTGAGGTTGCCTCAAAGTACTTTTGGAAGGGGCTGAATAAACACAAACTCAGCTTCACAAAAGGGCAAGGTGTCCAATCTAAGGTGCTGCACACACAAAGCTGGGAGGGCTGCTGGCTGTCCCTGTCTGAGAGCATCTCCTGTCATGCTGCTCTGCAAAATGGAAGTGGTGCTGGCAGTATCAGTTACCATGGACTCACAAGAGAAAGGAGATCTCCTTTGTGCAGCACAACTGTGGGCAATGCAGGCTCAGAAAGGAAGGGCACTGTGGGGGCTATTTCACGACAGGCCAGGGAACACTGACTAGGTGCTTCTGCAGGTGTGTCTGCCTGAGGAAAGTCTGGTAAGAGATGCCTTGGCCTCACACGTGATGAAATGTTTCATGCCAGAGACTCACAGCATGATGTAAGCTCTCTAAATCTCAGCGACATGCCTTAGGCACCACTTCTCATCCCTGGGCAGTATGAACCAGATCTTCCACTAAAATGGGAGATAGTGTGGACCTGGAGAGGACATGCCATTCTGGAGTGCTGCAAATATTCTGAATACTTTTAACCTGCATAATTTGAAAAACTGGCTACAAGTCTTATTTCTCTTGAAATATACAATCATAAATTTGTTTTTAAAGATTATACAAAAAAGGAAAATCCACTCAACTTGGAAAAACTTCAATGCTATATTTACCCTTCCCTTACTGTGAGATGTTATATTAAAAACTCAAGTCACCTCAAAAAATTCACAAAACATTTATTAAAAATCATTCAGTGAATAGGCATCAAAATTTCTTCCAAAAATAAATCAAAATTAAATTTAGTTCTGTTTACCCACCAAATTTTCATTCTTCCTTGAAGTATTCCCTAAGATTTTTTCCTAAATACCTGAGTTAAAGATTTTCTTCAGCGCCAATGCATTAAAATAGCAAACAAGTAAGATTACTAAATGTGTTACATATTCTCAACAGTGCAAACAGGGGTGCAAAATACCCCAAGTGAACGCACTGCCCCTCGTACAACTCTCCCATCTTGTACAGATCTGGAAGAAGTAGGTTTGCAAGTGCATAAATTTGCTAGCAATGACTCCAGAGTTTTACTATTAGTCTTGAACCCTCTTCTACCCAAAATTCTTCCACCTCTTCCACCTTGCAAAATTCTAAGTGACATTCACAATGAAGTGACTGCTAGAAAACAGGCTTCAGAATGCCGTGCTATTTATGTTTACATATGGTAAAACTGTGGATCCATGGGGCTGGGGATTTAGCTCAGTGGCATAAGCACCTGCCTTGCAAGCAGGCAGTCATGAGTTCGATCCCTGGCACTGATAAAAAGGAAAAAGACAAAAAAAAAAAAAAAAAAAACCTGTGGATCCAAACACACACTCTAGTGTACTCACCTACACTTAACCAGACCAAGAATGTCAGAGTCCCACATATACAAGGTGAAAAAAAAGGTGGGGACAAAACTTGTCTTTAGGAGCTTGGGATTTAGCTCAGTGGCACAAGTGCGTGCCTGGCAAGTGTGAGGTTGTGAATTCGATCCCCAGTGCCAACAAAACAAAACAATACAAAACAAAATAACTTGCTTCTATACTTCATCATGCATCCTGGATTTCACAATATTGCTATTTTGCTATTCACAATCTTGTATAGTTTCTGTAAGTCCAAGTGTTTTGTCTGTGTGATGGCTCAGATTGTTACCAAGAAAGTATAAAACTTAGTCACTATGCACAAATCAAAAGCAATTCCACACGTGTGAACTGAAAGCACTTTAGAAAGCACATTTCTCTATCTGAAAATGGGATCTTCTTTACCCAGATGGCATTTATTGCATCCTGTTCTATAAAAGTCATGACGCAATTATGAAATACACAATGTATTCCGCCCATACAAGTCTCCTCCCTGAGCCCTAGGCAACAAGTTAAACAGCTGTGGAGGTAGGTAAACTGTGCAGACTAAATACAGTACTGTCTAACAATATTAGTCACAACCATGATTCTTTTTCAGTGGAGAACACCACATCCTCTTTCACCCTGAGCTTACCCGATGTTCTTCCTGCTGCTGTCTCAAAGTTTCATACTCAAGGGCTGGAGTGGGCAGCTGCAAGATGATTCTCTGTGTTTCTATCAGCCATGGCCAGAGCTCTTCATACGTCTCCCAGAACTGGCTAATGAGTGACTGTGCCCGCTCCAGCTGCAGATACCTCTCTGAGTTTATCTGGCAGATGGTATCATAGTTTTTCAACACCTTGTCCAGTTTGTTCTAGAAAATAAGAAGATGAAGCATGTTTTTAATTGTCAGGCCAGCTAGCAGACATGCTCCACAGTGTGCTTTCTACCACAATATGCCTTGCTGAGTAGACATTCAACAGGTGTATGTGAAATGAGTAACAAGGGCCAGGGATATAGCTCGGCAGCACAAGCACCTGCCTGGCAAGTGTGAGGTGATGAGTTCGATCCCTAGTACTCCCCCCAAAAGAAATGAGAGTCGGTAAAATCCATTTCGATTGTCTATGAAGAAAACCTCATTTCAAATTAAGGAAAGGCCTCAAATTTTTATGACGAATATACTGCACTCTCCAGACATAACAAGCAGAATTCTCATCATTCTTACAGTGCTCTCAGGTTGGAAAACTAGTTTCTTATGATTCTCCCAACATTATTATTTTGGGGAGGTGTACCGGGACTCAAACTCAGGACCTCACACTTGCCAGGCAGGAGCCAATGTTTACATTATTTTCTGGGTGAAAAAAGAATTACCTTTGGAAATGAAATTATAAGAACTGTAAGTCAACAAAATTACACATACTAGAAGCAAAGGACAGTATTATCCTCCACACTGATCTTATGTGGCGGTCACAGGGATCTGGATAATGGTATACAGTCACAGAAAACACTAACAGGAGAAGAAATGGCAAAACAAACTCAATAAACCACCTCATGATCTATAATTTTGAAGTCCGCATCTTTGCAAAAATAACAAACATTCAATTATAGACAAATTACTATTGTAGAGCATAAATAAAAGAGAAAGCATCATTATATTGTGTGATCTGTTATTTTTTCTATGATTCGTCTCAATAACAGTGTATAATCTTTAAAAATGTAAATTTAGGCATGGACATTTGTATATACAGAGTCTGTCCCCAAAAACGTGTACATACTTGAGCAGTTTGCTATACTAATGGCCACTACTTTGAGCATCTCTTGTAATTGTAGAAGTCAAAGGTAACTTGGATTAATCTCATGATGTATTGCTAATTTTTAGTATTAAAATATTTATGTAAGTTTTTCCTTTCCTGATATATACATGTTTTGGCAGACTCCGTATTTATTTTTGCTATAGGATATTTTCCTAAAAGAAGCCCTAATATACAGGATCATTAAGGCTACATATATTGGATGCTTTTTTAATTACTCAGTCCACTTTTGCCCTTATATGTTTTACTATGACAGAATGGATTTCAGTATTAGAGAGAATCAAATATTCTGGGTTTCATTTCATCTTGAGTCCCAAATGTTCCTGAAGCCTATATACCACAGCTGCTCGACATAATGTTATTTTACGCTGATAATAATGGTAGTACTATTACCATTAATATTATCTATATTATATATACTTATTATCAGTTTATATTAAGTGAATGCTTAATGCACAGCAGTTAACCAAGGACTCAAACTTTAACAGCTGTTATGCCTTTTTAAAAAGATGGTCCTCATGATAATTCTCTAAAGGAAAATTCCTTTCACTGCTGTTTTGTAAGCTTAAAGAGCATCTTATTTAAAACTAATGATTTACTGCTGAAACAGCAGCCGTGGATAATGACAAAGTATTTTTCTAAGACCTAAAGCACAACACATGCTGTTTACTCAAGAACCTCATGACAAATAACATAGTTAAGATTATACCTTCACGGATTGCTTTTCCTCTTCACTGGATATGGCCATGATTTTATCCTCAGATTTAACTAGCTCATCAATCATATCCTTGTGTCTCAAAATCTCCATGGTGAATGTCTGTGATTTCCCAAGTAAAGATTTAAAAAAAGAAAGAAAAAATGCATGAATATGATAAAAACAATTAGGCAAAGTAGTTGAAAATACCAAGGAGGAGTCTTGGAAACTAAATCATGCCAGCTTATTTTCTAAACTTGGAGCACAGCAGCAAAAAAATTCAGTGGCAACTGGAAATGTATTTCTTCACCTTTTGAACCTGTAGCTGAGCAGAGGTCTGGTCTTGCTCAAGCCTGATGTCACCCAGAGACAACAATTTCTTTTCTGTTTCAGTAATCCACGATAACTCGGCATCAGCAGCTTGGTGAAACTAAACAAAAGATAAAAGTCAGCAAGTTCCTGTAACTGGTGCCAGAAAAATACCTACATAGGTTTTAAAAATTTCTCATTAAACAAGTGGAAACTGAGCTTATCTCCTCATAGGATGACTTCCACAGGGCAATTAAACACAATCTCTTAAAACCCAGTGAATCCATCAACACTGTAGTAATCATTTTAGGTGGGCTGGTCCCACTGCCTTCTTCTGTGTTGATTTGCTCCTTAAGAGCATAAGCCTAATGTAAAGCTATAAACCGTCTTTAACCATCTATCTCATCTAGCACCTCACAGGTAGTATTCTGTTACCACAGCGCATGATTACTAGAAAAAAGAATGAAATATAGTGATGTATTGTTAGATTATGTACATGTGTTTAAGTATATGTGTAGATGCATGTCTATGTATGCAGAGTTAAATACTCAAATGATTCATATATAATTTTTAAACATCTCAATAATGGCATAAAACATTTTCAAGAGCATTCTTAAAAATATTTAAGAGATTTTATTTTCTTGATACACTAGTAATTCATGGACATAGCAGAACTTCACACGACACAAAAAATACATAAAATATTAAAACCTGGAGTTAATAATGCTAGTATTTTAGTAAATTATCTACCTAAAGTTATGAGAGACTTGTAAAGATCTGGGATAATACGTATAAACCATCTCATATAGTGCTTTTTAGTTTACTATGAACATTTCCCCCATAATACTTTTACATATGGTTTTTAAATTAGCTCCACTGTAATTTGGCATATCTGGATATTTTCTTTAAGCTCTCTGTATCCTTTAGCTATGGTACAGACAGAACTGTAGAATATCCTTATACATAAACCTTTTGGCATCTCTGATTAGTTTTAGTGTAGATTCCTAGAAGTGATTACTAAGTCAAAGAGGATTTCAATTCTTTTCAACATTCTCAATGCCTTGTGTCACCCAAACTACAATCCCTTTTTGGGCCAAGCAGCTACCACTGATAAATAAAGTGGGCAAGTGACAAATAAGCACTGACAATAAGTGGTAACTACAAGGGAAGAATTAACGGGGAAAGTGCAATGTAAGTATTCAAGTCTGGTACTGCCAGAACTTCTCATGTTCCAAGAAAAGTTGGAAATTGAAAATGAAGGTAGAGGGATCAACCAGGCGAGGGAAGATGAGAGAGTTAAAAAACTAAATTAGAAAGTAATTTCTACTTTAAATGGTCTACAGGACACTATTACATAGATTCATATCAAGATAGAACAGATCAACTTTTTTCAGTTCCTCACCATAACTGCACCTGAATACACAGCATTACACACAAAATATACCCAAGAAGATTCTGCAGAGGGGAGAGAGGAGACAGGCCTGTGATGGCCCTGGAACCCTGAAGAACTGGATCCACTGCTGAGTTCTCTGGGTTTCCTTGGTACCTCACCTAATCAAGACTGAATGCTGGAGAAGTGGCAACCCTGTTGCACCTGTGGCCCAGACAAACCAAGACAACCCTGGCCTCTCTAGCAAAAGGAGAACAAAAGGGGATGTGTAGCCAGAAAACTCAGAAAATAACCACTCTACCCAACCAATGGCACAGAAAAAAACCTGCGAGTTCACTCACACTCATGCTAAGAAGGCCAAACGAAGGGCCTCAATGTGCATCTCTGTGAAGCCACAACGGTTCCCAACATCCATGCAAGGTGACACTAGGGCCATATCTGGAACAGAACTTTCATCTTCACTGGCTCACAACAAAATCCATATCCCAGGCTGTGGAGACCATGAATGGAGCCTGGACTTCCATCTCCAACCAAGCAGTAATGAGTTTTGCCTTCCTTTTCTTGGAAGTGATGTCAAAGGAAGCCTGGTGGAGTTGGGACTTCTGCCACTGCGCAGTCTCTCTCCTCCACGGCCACTCTCAATGTGGTATCATGAGAGGAGCTGGCTCAGCAGCAATCACAGGCATCCCCACTTCAAAGCTGAGAGTCGGGTGGGGAGCTGGACTTTTTGCTCCACCTGGAGGCACACCCAGCTTCTTCTACCACAGTGGAAACAGAGGGAGCAGTTCCAATGGAAACAGTAACACGCAAGATCCCTAACGTCTTACAGGAAACAGGAAGACCTTAAATTGGCCTAAAGAAACTAGTCAAATGGGTGCTAATATCTACAGTGGCAGAGATGTTAGAATTTCCTGACAAAGAGTTAAAGGCAGCCACAATGAAATTAATGCTTCGATGAGCATTTTTGAATATTCATGGTTTAAACAAATGAAAAAATCAAACGGGTCAGCCGCTGAAAATCCCTAATGGAAATTTCACAACTGAAACAAAAAACAACTTATATAAAGGACACAAGAAAAATCAGTGAAGTAGATGACAGATTAGCAGAAATCACCCAAACTGAATAGCAAAGGACAGACTGAAGAAACTCATTAAAAGTGCCTTGGGCACCTGTGGAAACATAAGGCCTAATACTCACTTTGAGTCTCAGAAGGAGAGATAGAAGTAGCTGCATGAAGAAGTACTCAAACATTCTTGAAATAATAAAGTTACGAAAATGGAAAACAGACTGATGGTGGCAGGAGCTCAGGAGGCGTGGAACCGGGAAGGACTGGTGATTGAAGTGTTCCGCATCCTGGCTGCATCACCGTCAGCAGCCTGCCTGTGCCAGAGCACTGTAATTTTGCCAAATGTTACCAGTGGGTGAAATGAGTATAACGGAATCTCACTGTGTTATTTCTTACAACTGTTTATGAATCTCAGTAATCTTAAAATAAATTCATTTTAAAAAAACAAACAGAGACGGAGCTTTGTGGGTCATCTCTGACCTGCAAGTTCCAGCTCACAGTTTCTCTTCAGTTGCTCTAGGAGGTACTCATCTGCACATCCACAGCAAGGTCTTACTAAACCCTCATTGACGAGGCGTATAATTCATCTTTTAATGTTTGTCAAGTGTCTCGACAGACTTTCTGAAAATAACTTCCTGAAATGTATGTTATCTTCATCTGTTTCTGTAATTTTATGTTATTACATTTTAAATAGAATTACTCATTAATTATTGATCAATAAGCAAGCAAAAGAAAAACGTTTTACAAACTGATTCAGCAATCTCAGATGTAGAGACTGAAAAAGGCAAAATGCTTAGTGTGGGTTATATTTTTTTAAACACAGAAAAAACAAAAGAAAAAAAATCTCAAAACAATAGCAATCTCAGATTTCAAGATAAGATAGGAACTTATCAATGGTTGTTATGTTGCATATAGTTATCTTCCAAAGAGGTACTCAGATTACCAGGCATAGGCACGCAAAAATGATCAAACAACATGAGCACTAATTGTCCCTTTCCCTGAACTAATGAAGTAGTAGTACAATTGTCTCAGTGCACGCGCGCGTATGTGTGTGTGTGTATTTTTCCTTTTCCTTTGCTTCTTTTCTTCTTCTTTCCTTGTTTGTATTATGGGTTTTTAAGGCATATGTAAGAGCTATAGGTAGAACCCGACTATGTGATTTACAAGAGTCAAGACTGATAAAGACACTCAGGCTTTTAAATGTTTATACTAGTTTAACATGCTGTCTCTCTCCCCATTACAGAAAAAAAAGAGAATATCCAACAAAAAGCAATTAGATGGTACCATCTAGGTTGCCAAGGGGAAAGCTGAGAGTCAAACACTGTTTTTTTTAATCAAATCAAATATTTGCTCTGCTAAAAGAAAATAAGACTTCAAGCCAAAATTTTAGTCCTGCCTTCTGAGAAATTATAAAAATTAAACTAGCAAATATTTAGTCATACAATTGACAGAACAGCTATAGAGCCATGACTCATTCAAATGTATTTCTAAGGACTATAATACCAGCTCGTGCCTACATGTGAGCAACACGCAATCATCTTGGCATCCTTAACTCCATTCTGGGAACTATTTCAACAGGTAGCATGACAGTCTAACCATAGGCCCCCTAGCAACTGTACCAGCTATTGCAGCTGAACTACAACTTCTTGACAACAGTTAGCACAAGCCTCCCTAAGAGGCTATCCTAAATATTCCTGAAAAATACCCCAACAAGAACAGACCAGCACGCTACTGAACACATTCAATCTCTCCCTTAATCCAGACAGCAAATATATAATGCTGGCATTACCATTAATCAATTCCATTAAAAACCAAGGAATCCATCCGTGGGAGAGCAAAGCCACCTGCTTTGCAAAGATTGCCCAGCAGGACAGCCAGCAGGAGTTTGACCTCAGGGGCTGTGCTCTTGCTCCCCAGGCTTGCATATGCCTTGAGCATCAGGAATTCAAATTATCAGTGTGATTTCACCAAAAATGGCTCAAGTTTCACAACAATCAGCAAGTACTGGGTTGTAACATAATAAAATATTTCTGTAACCTCTGATAAACTGCTTGTCCAAAAGTTTCTTCCAAGTGGAAACAGGATTAGCAAACCTCACCTCAAGGGCATACTCTTTATCACCTTCCTGGGCTGGTGACTTCATCACTTTCTGTTCATTAGCATTTCTTTCCACTCTGTTACTCATTATTCATAACAAGGACCCTGTTTTCCCATCCCCAACACCTGGAGCTCTAAACAATAAACAAATCCCATTTCTAAGGGGATGTTTTCTTCTGGGTTTTAGAAAAAATAGGCAGTGTTTTCCTCTAAGCCTGATTCCTGAAGACCCAGAAATCTGTTTATTCACTCCACCCAAAGCACCAACTCTGGACCCTTCTGTCAAGCTTTCCATGGAACTACATAAGCTGATGGAGCTCCTGGAAATCTCAAGTCAGCTCGGATACAGTAACTATATAAGAGGCAAAGGACAGTGAAATGCCCTAAGTCTGAACCACCACCATGGTCTGAACTCAGAATATAAGACTGGGCATCCTTTAAGCATGAGTACCTTTACCTGTTTCTATGGGACTCCTTTAGTTCAATTTGCAATTAGAGAATGAAAGCAACAAAGATACACTGCTCAATGCAAAAACCATGTAGTTTCTCACTCAGCTAACAATGGCTGGCGGGAGGGAGGCAGACTAGCTCAAAGGTCCCATAGCTAACCTGCCTTGGTCCACTTAGATACTGACCTAAAAGTAAGGAATGGGTCCTATTATTTTAAACATAAATACTTCTTCAAATACCACTCCTTGGAAATCTGCAGAATCACTTTGGATGCTCATAGTTGATGCTGTTCAGCTATTCTCCCAGCCATTAGAAACACTGCTCAAATTTACAGTCTTTTCCCCTACAAGTCAAAACTCAATGGTATGTCTTTTCTAAACTTTTATTTGTGAAATAGTAACGTGCAAATCAGAAGTATATCTTTCCTTCTCCCTCTAAACTTTAATCCTTTTCCCTGTGGATTTTTGTTCATGTTGATCTTTGCAAGCCAATCCACTCCGTGATAGTGGCTTAATATTTCACAACAGTGCACTTTTTTGAACTCCAAAAGTTATAACATCATAAAGGACATAAACCACACATAAACAACCTTAACACTACACAAAATATAAAATATCTTCAGATATTTGTTTGAAAAGTAGAACATTCTATCATGCAAAATCTAGCTTAATTCCGCCAGGTCACTTAGGAACAGAACATTAAATCTATACATTTTTAAATAGTAAATTAATGTTCAAAGCACACAACCTCATCTAACCACCTGCCCGCTGGGGGTGGGCCCTGGGGAAGGGTCTCTGTTAATAAAGCAAACTGGATATGACCAAAGGTATATCTAAGAAAAGATAAACTGAGCTTGGCTCATGCCCATATTTCACATGGAGAATAGATGCAGAATGGCAGTTTGCTTATACAAAATAAAGCACGCAGTTCAAAATTCATGATTTACATTAAGGCTGCTTTTTTCATCATTACTTTCATATTTTGGATTCATACTGTATTCTGGTCTTAATTCTGAACATCTTTTACTTGGTACAAGCTTACAAAGTAATTCAGTTACTGTATAAACATGAAAATCATGCTTTCAAGCCTTTTTTTTTTTTGTAGTACCGGGGATCAAACTCACGACCTTGCACTTGCCAGGCAGGTGCTTATGCCACTGAGCTAAATCCCCAGCTTCAAAGCTTATTTCTTAAGAATGAGTTTAAGTTTGTAAAGTGCAAACCTAAGTTTCTGCTGAATCAGAAACACAAGTGCTGACATTGCTCTTGAATCTACCTGAGTGAGGTTGCATGACTCCTTTCATAGTTTGAAATGTTTTAGTTACAGATTTTCATTTAGCTTCAATAAAGGCACTTTCTTCTTTGTACTGAATTTAGAAAAGATGTATCATTTCTCAGGATTTCTCCTATGATCATTATAAAGAAACACCATGGTGAGGTAGGTGAGATCTAGGGGAAATCCTAGTGGTAGCCCTGCTACTTCCTAGCTGTAGGACCACAGGCAGGTTGCTTCATCACATATGGCACACCATATGTGTTCTCTTGCTCTAAATATTTGTGTCCTTTTAGCCCTTCAGAGGTATTCACTGTGCAACCTTGCAATACTCCAAAGAAATGCAGGTATACATACCATATGAACTAACAGAAGATATACTGGCATTCATACTAACTCTATGACCTACTGGCAGAATCAATTTCTCTCTTTCTCTTGCAATGCAGGAAGGATACAGCCCAATGATGGCAAACTTTTAGAGCTTTCAATAACACACAGCTCACTACAGCATGTGTGTCATCATTTTGCCACCACTGGTTATAGTCCAAATGTTTATAAATTTTTTTGATGCATTTTTCTGTATTCTTTAGGAAAACCTCTCAGTATTTTTTGTAAGGAATGATTTCATCAGTAAAACACTCACACCCACACACACATACACACACACACACACACACACACACACACAAAAGGATATTCAGTAAGTCCCCCACTTATGAACACTTGAGTTGTGAACTTTCACAAGTGTATTACATAAGACTCACTCTGTTGGATATGAATAACTTGGTTGGATATGAAAACTGAGCTTAAGAGTGTTCATCTGGAAAGCAGTTCATTCGAAAGTGCAGGACTTACTTATTTTTAAGGTTCCACAAGGCTTACACTGACCTGCTTAACTTTTTTTTAAATTCTGGAAAACATCTACAAAACCTCGAACAGAGCTCTGACACAGTGAATGACCTTGGCAGATACCGAGCACACTCATCAGTACTAATTCAAGCAGAGACCTTGCTCTTAGCCCTCTCACTGCACTGAGCTCACGTAATCAACTTCTCAGGAAAATCTTAATCCCAAGAGTACAAAATATTTTGTCTTACTATTTAGAGCAGTATTCAGTGCCAATTCTGAAATGGTCAAGTAAATTTCAGCAAAAAACAATCCAGTGTTTTTAAATAGTTGAATACACTTCACAAATGAACGCACTTACTCTGCCATAATAATGAGGCATATAGATTCCTCCAAACTTTAAAAACAGTCAGGCAAACATATTCCTCAGGAGTGAGTGCCCTCCCTCACAAGCATTTCTGAGGCAAGGCTCTGAGATTCTAGAACACAGTACTAGAATGAGTGGAGTAGTATGCTTCAGAACCATATACATTACACTTTAAGGCAACATTAGAGAAGCAATTTTGGACTCTCCCACAGAATCTGTTTGATTTGTTTCTTGTTTTTGGCTTGCTTTGGTAAAAACTTAGTCACAGATCTTCTAAACTGTGCTCCAAAGTATCCTGCTGTACTTTCTAAGTGCCACCCACCACGCTCTGAACCAGAGCCTGATGACTTAAGGTGAATAGTCACAACAACTCTCGCAAACAGCTCATCACATGTTTATCTCCAGGGCCCCTCCCTTACTGTCCACCACAACCCACTGTGCGGCTGTGGCTGAGCGCTGAGGGCTTCGGAACTCTGGAGCATGCATGCACTGGTGTAGCCACAGGCAGGTCAGAAACTATAATAACTGCCTTTTCAGTCATCTTTGGAAAAAACTTCACATCGCCAACAAAATTGTTTGCTTTAAAAAAGAATAGTTTCTCTTTGCAATAGCTGTATGTAAATGAATGGTTAATACCGACTTATATACTAAGTCAAAATATTTACACAAAGATTTAGGGTCACTGGAGGCATAACACTGCTATGGCAATATGCACATATGCAGACAGCAGCACTGCACGTGGAAAGCAGGGCCCACCTTCCCAGTGTCCCACCCAAAGGCGAAGCCCTGGAAGCAAGGCGGTAGGTGGCAGCTGACAATGGACAGCTGAGCTTGCCCTAGACTCACATGGAGGCCAAGCCAAATTCTTTTCCAATCCACTCTTTCAGTTCTAAAGTACAATGGAAACATTATTAACAGACATTTCTGTTCAGGTAAAGGCTACAGGAACAGCTGGGGGAACTTTGCTACCTGCTGAGATCGCAGAACAGCGGCATCCATCTCCTCCACCCTCTGAGCGATGGTGTTGCTCACTAGACGGTAGCGCTCGTTGTTCTCGGCCACCATCTTTCCCAGGCCTTCTCTGGCCCTCCACGGTACCAACTCCTGCAAAGAGCTGCTCACTTCGTTAAGGGAATCCAGTAAGGCTTTGTTGTTCTTCAATTCCTGTTTCAGCTCCTGAAATCACAAACGTGTGGGTAACAGTGCCTCAGTTGTTCTGGGGGTTACAGGCCTTTGTTGGCCAGTAAGACCAGCCCCTACAGTTTCGGCTGAATTAAATAAACTTTTGCTCATTAAAGTTACTTTTTCAAAAAGACAATTTTCCAGAGCCATTCATCTATGTGGCAAAATTTTAGCTTTAAAATTAGTATAAATAGTTAAAATTTGGAAATCAGAAGCAAGCAAGTTATAGTGTATTCTTTTTTGCCTTCTGGGAAACTATGTAATCAGTTAATAGAAAAAAAAAATAAATAGATAAAATGAGAAGGGTACTACAAGCCAGAAGCAAGTGACGTTCAAAACGAGGACACAGCAGCATTACACCGTTGGCTGACACCTTCCCCACTTGGGAAGCCTAGGCTCACCACTCCCTGCACCTCAGGAGTCACTGCCGAGGCTGCTGTCTCTGCAGAACCGGCAGCAGGGCAGTATTACACTTTTGTGCTACATCAGACAGCTCACGCTGTGCTACACACCTCTTTGAAAAAGATGCTGTTATTCCAACCCAATCGCACATGCCTCTGAAACAGTGACACTTCTCCGCTGTTTCCTGTTTGGAATGAAAACAGGAAACTGCCTTGCGAGTGGTAGACTATACTCCTCACCACAAGACCCCTCAAACAAATAATAAACTTTTTGTTTCTAGGATCCTAAAAGTTTAAACAGATGATCTGCTGCCAATTTCTGCCCAGTCCTGGCTTATCGAGGCATCCTTCAGAGGATTAGTAACAACACAAGGCAAATGCAGTTTTATTCCTGAGTGGACCAGAACTGTCAAAGAATGAATAGACACAAAGTGCATAAATCAGGCATACTTTTTGTCTCCTGTGTGCTTGGCTTGCAGCTTCTCCCTTTAGAGCCTGAGTCTCGTAGGAGAGTAACTCCGCCTCCACCTTGTCCAGCCAGTTACACAGCTGCTCTTGTATGGAGTACAGCCTTTTGGAGAGCTCAAGTGCCTGTTCCAGAGTCACGGCGACATCAGTGCTCAGTTTGAGAACATCTTTGTGCCTTGCTTTGATGGCTTCCAATTTATCTTGAATTATTAAAACTTCATCACCTAAAATTTCAACAATATTATTTCTTATAAAAAGAAAAAAAAAAACGGGGTAGAAGGTTTCTTTAGGTATTATTGTACTCTGATGATGAAATTCTCTTGGGGGAAAAAGGGACACATTTTCCTCAAAGGCACCCTGACCCAAGAGAAATCCTACTTAGGTTTTGTTCATTGCAAGAATTTATTTTTATTTTTATTTGGGTACTGAGAATTGAACTTGGGACCTTATCCTTGCCAAGTAGGCACTGTGTTGCTGAGCTACATCCTTGGCCCATTCCAAGGATTTCTGACAAATTTAATCAGCTCTAAAATACAAATGTAAAAACTGAGAAAGGCTACAGTTTTGAGAAAGTCTTTTAGTTATGAAGAAAGTAGTACTTTTACATCTACCCTCTAAACCTTCAGTTTTCAAAGCAGAGGGGTTAAAAATACCTGGATTAAGGTCACTGACTTCACAGCTTAAAAACTGGCTTACCCTGAGCAAGGTACTCAACTTCTCTGTGCTCTCAGTAGCTCACTGTTACTCGTCTGCTCTTTGCAGCAGATCCTTGCCCATCTCTACCTCCTTTTCAGACACACAGAAACTGAGTCCTCTCCTATTCAAAATAGTTCTGGAAATATTAGCCAGAGCAATCAGAAAAGAGGGAGAAATAAAAGGAACAAAAATAGGAAAAGAAGTTAAATTATCAATATTTGCAGATGACATGATATTCTACATAGAAAGACCCCAAAAACTCCATTAAAAGATTACTAGAGGTAATAAACAAATTCAGCGGCATAAATGGATACAAAGTCAACACTCAAAAATCAACAGCATTCCTGTACACAAAAAATTCCACAAAAGAGAAATTATGCAAATATCACTTTTCACAATAGCATCTAAAAAAATGAAATACCTAGGAATCAACCTAACAAGAATGTAAAAGACTATATATGCTGAAAACTATACTACTCTAAAAAAGGAGATTGAAGAGGATATTAGAAAATGGAAGGATATTCCTTGCTCTTGGCTAGGAAAAACCAACATTGTGAAAATGGCCATACTCCCAAAACTGCTATACAGATTCAATGCAATCTCAATCCAAATACTATTAACATACCTTACAGATCTAGAAAAAATATTCCTAAAATTTATCTGGAAACAGAAGAAACCTAGAATAGCAAAGGTGATTCCGGGCAACAAAAGCAGGATAGGAAACATCTCAATTCCTGACTTGAAACTATACTACAAAGCAACAGTGATAAAATCAGCATAGTACCGGCAAAGAAATAGACCTGAGGATCAATGGAACAGATTAGAACAAGCAAACACTACTACAAAGATACTCAGCCACTTTATATTTGACAAATGGGCTAAACATGTTCAGCGGAAAAAAAGCCTCTTTAATAAATGGTATTGGAAAAATTGGCTTTCCACATGCCAAAGACTGAAAATAGACCCATGCCTATCACCATACACTAAACTAAAGTCGAAATGGATCAAGGATCTAAATATTAAAACAGAAACACTAAATCTACTGGAAGTCAAGCTAGGTAAAAAAGTCTTCGAGACATCGGGATAGTGAGAGATTTCATGAATAAAATGCAAACTGATGGGAAATACTTCAAAGAATCAACAACTGGGGGATCTCATATTACTAAAAAGTTTTTGCACTTCAAAAGAAATCACCAAGAAACTGGAAAGAAAACCTACAGAATGGGAAGGAATTTTAGCCAACAATCCCTCAGACAAAGGACATATACCCAGAACGAAAAAATATCAAGCTCCCCAAATTCAAAGACCCTCTATAAAAATGGGCATCGGAGATGAACTCACAGTTCTCAGATGAAGATATACAAGTGGCAAATAAATATATGAAGAAATGTTCACCATCACTGTTCATTCGAGAAATGCAAATTAAAATAGCGTTGAGATTTTATCTCACCCCAGAAAGAATGGCTGCCATCAATAAAACAACTGATAACAAATGTTGGTGAGGCTGCGGGGGGGGGGGGGGGGGGGAGGAACACTTCTCCACTGTGGGTGGGAGTGCAGACTGGTGCAACCACTGTGGAAATCAGTATGGAGATACCTCAAAGAACTAGTATTGGAAGTTCTGTTCAGTCCAGCTATTCTCCTCCTGAGTATTTCCCCAGAAAAACTGAAAAGGTCATGTCACAGTGATATATGGGCACCCATGTTCATAGCAGCACAATTTGTGATAGTTAAATGTTGGAAACCACAGAGTGGATGAAAAAATTGTGGTATTTTTATACAATGGAATACTATTCAGCTACAAAAAGGATGATCTTGAAGCCTTTATTGGTAAATGGAGGCAACTTGAGAATATCTGAATGACTGAAATAAACAAGACTCACATTAGTAAAGATCACATTGTCTCCCTAGTGTAAAAATAGTAACTGGCAGAATAATGTTATCCAAAAAGTATAATAGATATAAAAATATAACAGATGTAAAAGTATAATAGATATAATAGATATTGTGAAAGTGAAAGGGAAGGAAAGTGCTCTAAAGGATGTAACAGTATGTACAGTGTGTAAAATCGATGTTCATATTACTAAATTTCTTTAGATCATTGAACAGGAGGGTTTGCACTGCCAATGTTTGAGCATCTAGCTACTTTTTACGGTCTGATTTGGTAACTTTAACAACTACTGTTAAGAGGACAGTATATAATGTATCAACTAGTGATTTTGTATCAATCTTTTAAATTCTGTATTCTACTTTTTTTCTTGTTTTTTTTTTTCTTTAATTTTTCTTTTCTGTCTTTGTTTAAATAAAAAGAAAAGAAACTGAGTCCTGGGTTTCAGGCTGCTGCTCTAAGGCTCTAGACACTATACTGCATTTGTCCAGCTCACAGTGAGTGGGAACTGCTCCCAGACACTCATGGTGCTAAACTGCATCTAGGGTCAATAAATGACACCTTCCGATGGCCAAAAGAGTCAATAAACAAGTCGGTTTCCCCAAGATACCCTAAACCGTTCATAAATGCATGAAGCCACATGTCTGTTTGCTCAGTGATTCAGGAGAAATGAAGTCTGTGTACTGCCATAACTGTGTCATGGTAATGCAACTTACCCTACCAAAAAAAAACCCATCTACAACCTCCATGTTCATCTGCCTTTCTGAAGTAGAAAACTAATGTAACTCCATCATACACTTCTCTGACCATACTCTGTGCCAAAGTGCTTCAGGTTCTGAGTCATATACACAATGTCCACCAGGAACTCGAGTGAGATCATGAGAAAAGAATGAGATCATTATTGTTAAACCCTTGACTGTTTTTCAAACATTCTCCACAATGAAGCCTTGGAAGAACTCAAAAATTATAATACATTTTATCTTTTCCCCATCCCTAAAATATTCTGACAGCAAGGCTAAATAAGGACTGCACAAGCCTTTGATTAAAAAGATCACCCACCTGTGGTGTGTTTAAGAAGTTCTAAGCCATTGAGTATCGCCTGATCTACGTTTTGTTTCCTGAGAAGGATGTCCTCTTGTAGAATCTAAAATACAAGTGCCATTTTTATGAGAAAGGAAGAAAAATTAAACCTCAGAGATTAATTAGGCTTCAGAGAGATATCTGAGTAAACATCTCACACTTTCAAACATCCACTCTTCACATACATTTGCCTTTTCTTTTTACCACTGTGCCCGTGTCCCATACTCATCTAAAATAATTCACAGTGCTCTGTTTTTTGGAAAGTACTTAGAGCTGGTTGAGAATGGGCTATATGGAGGCACTGAAGTACCGGTTAATTACTGGTCTTTGCAGACAACAGTAAAATAACAAAAAGAGAAGTGAGAGACCCAGCTAATTGGATAAATGCAATCTCTCTTAGAAGTGACTTCATTAAAAATATCTTGTATAAACAAGCAAAGCCTTTTTGAGTATAATGAATCACCCAAATCATAACAGACATAAAACAAGAGAAAAATAAGAGATGTTGATAAAACAATGACAACTGAAAAGAGTAACATAAAATGAAATGAAATAAATCAAAATACCCGCAGTTCAGCTTGCTGCTTGCAGAGCCCCTTGGGGCTGTGATCCTGGACTGAGAGCCTGCTCAGTTTGTCATGCACTTCGTTCAGCCAGGTCATCAGCTCAACTTCATCTTCCCCAAAAATCCTAGTATTGCACAGGGCCTGCTGGAGGAGCTCAGACCTGCTGAGGCTTTTCTCTTGAATCTCAATGTACCACACTTGAGAGCAATTTAATTTATTCTGCACCATATCTTTATCCTCCCTGGAGCTCAAAACCTTTAAGGACTGGCCAATGCTAACAGCCTGGTGTAAATGTTTACCATGATTGATGATGTCGTCTTCTAAGGCCTACATAGAGTTTAAAAAACAAAGACAAAAAACAAACAAACAAAAAGGAATGGACAAATAAAGATGAAAAATAAATGCCATGAAAGGATGGTATGTGAAATGGATTTACTTTGCAAGTACACAAAACATAACAACAGTGCATAACTCAAATTTATGTCACAAAGCCATGAAAGAAATGGAAAACTGAGTCTTAATGACATATGATTTATAGCTTACTTTGTGCTGAGCAATTTGTTCCTCCAGTTTAGATGCCTGGGTTCCTATGGGATCAGAATTTGCCAGTCGCTTTTCTATGGTGGTGAGCCACTCATTCAGTTGTTCTAAGGTTTCATGAAATTGCTGTGCCACAACCAAGATACCTTCCAACTGACGATTCCTACAAATGTGCCAACGTGAAGGTCATTTAGGGATGAAGAATGTATGAAGAATTCAACAAAAGTCTTTAGTCATGCTCAACTATTCTATTCTAAACACTCTGCATAGATCTCATTTAAGGTTAAAATTTAGATCTCTAACATTTATAGGATACACTGAAATGGTTCAATTAAATAAAATTAACATTGAACAACAGATCAAACAAAAACATTTAATCTAAAATTAATATTAATATAAAGTTAATATTAAACAGCAGTTCCTGAATCTAATGAAATTCTACAGCAAGGCTTTAAAATAATACTGCCGATCGGCAAAGTAACACTATGTCAGCATCCAGAGTTCTCATCTTAACTTTTTACCACATAAAAGTCTTACAGAAGTTCATTATTTGAGAAACCTAGCTTGTTATGAAAACAAAGGTAATTATGGAAAATTGATACAAGCTATATAATTTCTGTATCATTATATCACAAACTATGTATGTATACATCTATAGCATCTGATCAAAAAATGGATGAGATTACTAAAAGTATTTTTTAAAACTTTTTTTAGATAAGTCACTTGGGATGATTTACAAGAAATTCAAACAGTAGAAAACACCATTTTGTACTACAGTTTTCTGAAAAGCACTGAAGAGGACATCATAAAATGGAAAGATATCCCCTATTGGTTCTGGGTTGGCAGAACCACCCTGTCCATATGATCATATGTCCAAAACAGATACACAGACTCAATGCAATCCCAATCAAAATCCCTACAGCATTCTTCAGAGAAACAGAAAAGATAATCTTAAAATTCATACAGAAGTGAAGAGACCCAGAATACCAAAAGTCATGCTGGCCAACACAAGCAAGGCAGGCGGCCTCAGGATCCTGGATATCAAGCTACGTTAGAGAGCTACCCTGATAAAACAATGAACTGGCATGACAACAGACGCACGGGCCAATGGAGCAGAAGAAAGGGTGCAGAAGCACGCCCAGCACACTCGGCTACCTGGCACTCGACGAAGGGGCCAAAAATACATGCTGGAGGAAAGACAGTTCTTTGAAGAAATGGTGCTGGGAAAACTGGTTGTACACATGTAGGAAGATAGAAGCTAGACAAGTGTCTCTCACAAGGTACTAAACTGAAATAAAAATGGATCAAACATCTAAGTTGTTAAAACAGAAACTTAGCCTGCTGGAAAATCAAATAGGTACAACTGAAAAAAAATAGTCACAGGCAAGGGCTTTCTGAACAGAGCCCTAATTGCACATGAAGTAACATCAAAAATCAACAATGGAACTCCTGAAAGAGTTAAAGACAAATTAAAAAGTTTCTAGATGACAAAAGAAACAAATGACAGAGTGAAGAAATAAACTACAGAATGGGGAAAAATTTTTGTCAGATATTCTTCAGAGAACTAATATCTGGAATATAAAAAGAACCAAAAAAATCATATACTAAAATAAAAGACTCAATCAAAACTGGGCAACTGAAATGAATAATTATAAGCAGCAGCCAAAATGGTCAATAAATACAACAAAAAATGTCAACATTGTTGGCCATCAGAGAAGTGCAAATTAAAAAAATGAGATTTCATCTCACTCTAGAAAGAATGGCCATCATCAGGAAAGCAAGTAACAGTAAATGCTGGTGAGGCGGCAAAGAAAAAGAAACTCTTCTATATTGTTGGTGGGAATGTAAACTAGCACAACCACAACGGAAATCAGTATGGAGGTTCCTCAAAAACTAAAGGCAGAAATCCCACAAGATTCAGCTATTCCCTTTTAGGTATCTTCCTGAAAGAGTTACACATTACGTTACAAGGATACATGTTTGCAGCAGCATAATTCATAATAGCTAAATCTTGGCCAATACATCTATCAACAGATGAATGAATAAAGAAAACGTGGCATGTATACATAATGGAGCACTATTCTGCCATCAAAAGGGTAAATGTGAAGCATTTCTAGGTAAATCAATGCACCTTGAGACCATAACATTAAGTAAAATAAAGCAGACACACAAGCTTAAATAGTGTGGTTTGCCATATGTGAGAAACTCTAAATAGAAACAAATTCAAAAGCAAAACAAAAAACAGATAATAGGAAGCAGCAAAATAGATCTTTTACAAAAGAGAGAACCAAGAGATAAAAGGAGGGAAGAGTTGGGGAAGGAGAAAGGGATGAAAAAAGAACTGAGATGTGTTACATGCATGTACCAACTCCCCCCCATACATATAGCCATATGTGCTACAAACATGTACTAATACAAATTAAAATTAAAAAATTGTCTTGTAATTGTTTAGTTCGCTATGACTGAAATTATGAGCAATGCATATCTGAATCATAATTATCACTAATTCCTTCCAACTGAATATCACCATGAAGAAGGCTTTAGGAAAAGACCAACAGTTTTAGGAGTAGAGCTGAGACGTAGACATTTACTCATTTAGCTTAAACAAAGAAATACTGAGTATACCTTCCAATTCCAGGATACAATGTGCTAGGACACAACACACAAGGTTAATCCATGACCTATGCTACAGGACAAGGCCTTTCGCTTCTTTAGCACTATCTCATTCTGCAGTACTAAAACCACAATTCTCGTCCATAATCCGTGGTCAGCAAACAGCTCTGCTCATTTCCAGTTTCACAGAAGGTGGACATTCGTGGAATACATCAATTCTGTCCAGTAGTTTACCTGCTTTCAGCTCAATCCGTCTTCACTGTGGCTGCACTTACAACAGTCAACTTTTTGTCAATGCAGAAATATTAGTTGGGATTCTGTCATCAGAAAACTGCTAGCAAAGGCCCAGTGGAGCTGGGCTCCAGGCTTTTGTGGCTTTCGTGAGTTCGAGTTCTCTATCTGCTTCTTATCCCAACCAATTACAATTCCTCCTAAACCTGCAGCTTAGCAGTCACCTTCCTACCGCACTGTAAGCTCTTCCCACTGCACACTACCCCAGCACCTTTCTATAGATCCTACTAATCCACACTACTGAGGACAGAGGTCATCTGTCCAGCTCACCTGCATAGCCCAGGGCCCAGCTGTGCTTGATGCAAGGTGGGCAGACAATAACTATGCAATAAACAAATGACTGGGGCTGGGCATTTAGCTCAGCGGCATAAGCACCTGCCTTGCAAGCAGGCGGTCGTGAGTTCGATCCCTGGTACTGATAAAAATGAAAAAAAGACGAAAAAAAAAGAAAGAAACAAATGACTGCCCTACTCACCCCAATAAAAATGCTTTCTTAGTCCAAGGCATTGGGATGCAACTGATACTGTAAGACATTACCATTAGAAGATCGAGGAGAGAAGTCACAGCTCTCACCCCTATATTCACAGAGCTATGATCATCAAAGAATAAAGATCTGAAGAAAAGCATTACCAAAACACACAGTTGTAAGGTGCCCGCTACTCTTTCAAAGGAACTCCAAGCAAGTAAGTTACCTAGCTTCAACTTTATTAAGCAGTGTCTCCCATCTACTTCCCAGGAGACTCAGCTGCTCCAAGATCTTCACTTTATCTGCAGGTTCTGCCATGGCAGCGATTTTTTCTCCTTCTCGTTTGATTACTTCCACAGTAGATTTGCGGTCATCCAGCAATCTTTGCAGAAGCTTCAGACAAACATTAGATATTTTTAAAGCAAAAGAATAATTAAATAAACACAACATAAAACCTGCTTTAAGTATTTTGCTGGGCATGATGGTGCACATCTGTAAACCTAGCACTCGGGAGGTTGAGGCAGGAGAGTTCAAGGCCAGCCTGAGCTACAAAGTGACTTTAAAGCCAGCCTAAACTGCATAGTGAAACCCTGTCTCAAAAAAAAAAAAAAAAAAAAAAGGCATGTTTGGTATGTGTGTAACAGAAACATACTTGGACTTGGCTCACTTGGTTTACTAACATCACTACTGTGTCAGATACCTGTGGTGGACTTTTAAGAATACACAAAACTATTAAGGATAAAGCCACTACCCTCTTCATAATTAATTTTTAAAAAATAAAACAACAGAGGAAATTGGTATTGCTTGGAATGACCCTTTTGAATCATGGGAAAAGTAGAAAACTTCTCTCACTTTAATGAAACAGGAATGATCCAAATAGTCAAGAATTATCTATTCTATACAAATAAAAAGATTACTATGAATCATTACCACTTTTAAAGCCCTTTCCCACATTAAACAACCCATGACTGACGAGGAAGTTAAGACTCAGACCAAAGTCATGGGTTAGCAAGGTTAACAAGGCAAGTGCTTGGGTCCTTCACTAGCTGGAACTAGATGCTAAAATCCTTCAGAGCAAGAAAATTTAAAAAGACCATTTACGTATCATTGCAGAAGAGAGAGTATGCAAGCCAATTAAGTGGCTAAGTAAGACTAGCATTCCAGCAGTAGGAGCAAAATTCGATTTAATTCTAATTAAGCATCATGAGATGAGATGCGTGGAGTAAAAAGGCTGACAAAGAACCATACTCTGGGCTACCTCACTCCAGCATCATCAGAGCCAACGGCTCCTGAACAACTGCCTGGCTCAGGGACTTGGTTAGAGCACCACACCAGGGAAGCCCAGGTACACAACACTTGGGGGCCTCCCTAGTCCAGTCCTCACTGGTAGAGGTAAAACTCTAGCAGAATATTCTAAGACCTCCAAGCTGAGTGCTAAGAGAAATATACATTTTAAAAGAAGGTGCTGCATCACCAACTCCGTTGACACAAGTTATTTTGTAATCAAAGTAGAACCCATGGTTTAGCTAGCAAGGAAAATTAATTAGGTAAATTACCTTAGGTACACTTTAGTAACAAAGCCTGAGACAGTTAAGAAAACCAACTCAACAATTGGATTCTATTGGCTAAGCATCATTAATTAACTCTGAGAGAATAAACTGTGAATGGCAGCAGGTATAGAGTATTCAAAAAATGATACAAATGCAGTTTCCAGTTATTTCCCGAATACTTATTTCTAACTACTTCCAATGTGCCAAAGTTTTCAGATAAATTTTCGAGAAATGCTATGAAATGTTGAAGTTAGAGCAAGGATTAGGTTTTACATTTTTTTTGAAAAATGAGGCCAAATGTGGAAGTTTTAAAAAAAAATGTAACTGACAAATAATAATTCTATAGTAAAATCTACATATATGTATATATGCATGTGTACATTATGGAATGATTAAATAAAGCTACTTAACATATCTAGCACCTCCCCTCTTTACCATCTTTTTAGTATTGAGAGCACTTAACTTTTTAGCAATTTTTAAATATATAATACACTATTAGTATTAACTAACAAGTGAAGCCATGACAGAAAGGTAAATTAAATTTTTAATTTAAAGAGTTTTAAATGTAAAGAAATTTAAAGTAATACACTCCTTTCTTTTTATAGTTTCCCGGGGAAATCTTACCAGTGTTCTGTGTACTAAGCCCTCCCAAGTTGTAGCCCAGAAGCTACGGGGAAAATGCCTTCAAATGTGTCACGGCTGACATATGTGTCACTGGTGCCTAGAACTGAATGTGAAGGTTCTGGATAGTTATCCTTCCACAGACTGTGTTTTTCCAGTTTGGATACTTTCAGCATTGTCAAAAGTCAACATCCATGAGCACATATGGATTAAATATTTGCCTCTTTACTAAAAGACTAAACTAGGAGAAACTGCCAGTACTTAATGTGTAAGACAGGCAATTTCATACAAATAAACTAATGATGTCTCTGTCCAAATGTTCCTGTCGGTGAAACCCTTCCCGAGTACCTTCGAGTCCCTACACTTCCTGCCCACCTATCCTTGCTGTCCTTCTGATTCCTATCTCTTGGCCCTGCTTACTTATGTACAACTCACCACTTTACACACTTACCTTGTTTGTTGTCTCTTTCCTTATCCACCCTCCCCATTAGACTTCCGCCTCAATGAGGAACTTTATTATTTTTTATTCACTGATGTAATCCCAGCATGCAGAACATGGCCTACACTCCAGCAGATACTAAGTGTTGATTTAGTGACTAACAAAATAACATTTATCGCAGCACAAACCAGCTAACCAGGATAGCGTATAGATAGCTATGAAGCAGCACATACTCTCAGTGTCAATAGTCAGTGTGAAACACAATACAAATGCATCACTAACTTACCTTTTGCTCTTGAATCTGGGCCTTTACCACTTTGAACTCAGCCGATGGGGGCTTCTGATTGGCCACCAGCTCCTCAGTGTCTGCCATCCAGCTGAGCAGGGACTCCAAGGCATCCTGGAACCTCCCACAATGCAGCAAGGCCTCCTGCAGCTGGGCTGCGCGCTGAGCCACCTGTGAAGGTGCAGGTACATTGCATTGGCTTGTTTACTTAGAATGAAATCTGCCACTGACTCCCACTTTTCTCTTTTCATCACACATCTTTTGATTTTTATTTTAAGATCTACCCAAAGCATTGACAGGATAGGATAGGGTGAAAGGAATAGGGATGAAAAGGCAGGATAGGGGTGAAAAGGAATGGAACTTCAAGAAGTTTTGAAGATAGTAAGGTTCCCAAACAGTCATGACAGAGAATAAATCTTGGAGAGTTTGGAAATGCCAGGGGTATCTGTAGTTAGCAAAACGTGAGTCAAATATTTAAAATTACTGAAAACCTGTGCCTGGGTCATTTTATCACTATTGGGATTGATTTTTGATTTTTCTACTGATGAATAATAGGGATAATGATAAAAGACTATGAGAAATTATTATAGCAAAGGAGTCAGAATTATTTATATTTTAGTATGCAAAACAACGATGAAACATTCTGTCAGTACCAGGGGCTAAGTCCCTTTTCAACAAACCAGGGCCCTTGTCTTCTAGGGTCTTTCTAGTCTTTGTGTCCTCCATAGAGGTATCCTATTGCTGTTTTCATAGATCTTCTTTTGAACTGAAAAATGTTGGAAAGATACTGTAAGCACTACAGAATAAAGCTATACCTGGCACTGCATTCCGATTTGTGCTTAATGTGAATCACTGCTAATAAGAAAATTACTTCTTTATTGAGACCTAAAAAGATGATGTTATTTTAATCTGGAAAATGCTTAGGATTTCACTGCAGGGAGAGCAGTAAGAACAAGCACTACCACTAAATAAGCACTGCTATCCCACAGCAACGCATGAGCACTGATATCCTGAGTCACTGTGCATCCACGTTATTGCTCTAGGATAACACAGCACTATTTCTAGTGTCTTCCCTCACGGAAGCTGAGGTAATAACATTTGGAAGAGACAGTCTACAGTGAGGGTGGCAAACCTTCAGTGTACAGCTGACAGCAAGACATTGCTTCTTTCACTTCTACAGTGGGAGATTAGTTACCAATATGTGAGGACAAGAAGGTTTCACACAGGAATGATCCCCAGGTCTCTGGACAGGAAGCAGGAAGAGTATGTGGCAGCAGTATAGGGTAGCCCTTTACAGTGCTCGGCTGGAGCAAAGAGGTTGCCCATCCCTTTAACACACCATGCCTACTTGAATGGGGCAGGGCTCCAGCTTGCCCTGCCATGCCTGCTGTGCCTATGGTCATGTGCCTGAAGTCATATCAAAATTGAGGCCACAACAGGGACAGGCCCAGTTTCTGCTGGCTCCCTTTGTTCCCTGTGTTCCCTACTACCCCGGCTCTCAGGGGCATCTGTGTTAGGGCCATCCAGTTCATAGCAATATAAAAAGTAGACATATTTGGCTACTACAAATCTGATGAAAGGTCACAATAAATGCTAGTGAATAATAATTAACAAAAATGACAAGAGGAATAAAAAAAAAATCACCTTCTTGTTGAGAGTTTTCCACCGTGCACTGACATCTTCCAGGTCGTGCTCCAAGCCCTGAGTGCTGGTGTTTTTAGCAGCACTCTGAATAAGCCCTTGACCCAACCAGTTTACATCTTGCTGTTTAACCTGCAAAGGTTCAATCTTTTCCTTCTGGAAAACCTGCAGTTGGAAGAACCACAGTTATATGAATTATACTACTAACAATTACCCAATACATCCTAGTGTTGACAGTCGTCAGGTAGGAAAAACTTTGAGTTATTACAGAAGGTAACTGTTTCTTATGCATAGGCCATAGGTACCCTGTGAATAACAGACTGAAAGTAAATTAAATAAAAACTTTTAAGATCAAAATAATTCAACAATATCAAGAATGAGACTGTACATTTAATCAGATTACCTACAAATCAAGAAGACAGCATCATGTGTCCTTTATTGCTTCATTATCATAGCCTGAGAATTATCCTATTGTCCTAGTTTAACGTTAGTGAAAGATTCACAGAACAGATGAGGAGTAGATGGCCCAAGATGAGCCTCGCTGGGGAGGAATCTCAGAGCTTCTCAAAAGGACTCTGCTAGGTGGCAACTGAAGCTTGAGACTCAAACTGGAAACAGAGAATCACAGCAAGAAAATGAAAACGATCTAGAGAATGCATGAATGGACGAAAAGGAAAAAGACACAGGCGTGCGCAGCACCAGCAAGCATCCCTCTGATGTTCATAAAATGCCAGCAAGGCTCAAAAGAGGCGCAGCGGCCTCAGCCAATGCCCTGGCCACACACGTCAGCAGCACAGTGACTCTGGTCCCCTCTGTCCACCACCACCCCAGCCTGCACCATCAGCAGTTTCTGTGCGTTCCCTCCCTTACTCTCAACACCCACACAACTATGGTCCCCAGGTGCCTGTGTCTAGCAAAGGATGCAATACATGACATAACTGCAGGTTCCACAGAAGCTGAAATTGCCAACTGCTTCCTTATGGACCCACCCCAATGACTCAGCACTTAATGTCTACTTGATAATTAGCTGCCCAGTGAACACCACCATACAGAAGTGTATTTCCAGCTCACATGAATGACATGAATCCCTTAAAAGAAACACTGCAAGCTGACACATCAATTCTTTCATGGGTTATATAAACGTGTAACAGGGGGTTGAGCAGTCAAATATTAAGCTAAAACACAATTTGGGGTTCTCAGTCACTGTACTAAAGCCTATCATATAAGTAATCAATAGAAACATAATAAAGGCAAATATTAAAATAGCACTTCAAAAGAAAATTACAGGCACAGCTGAAAACTAAGTCTGAAAGCTGTAGAGGCTGCAAAAAGATAAGCTCTTCCAGAACCTGGCCCAAAGCCTCGCACACAGGATACGCCTGTGTTACTGTGTAAATGAATGTACCAGGAAACAGCCAACAAGTTAGTGATCATTTCCTCTAAAAGTCCCCTCCCAGCCTCAAGCCCAGCTTGCTTTTTCTACAGAAAATCCATTTACACAATTCCAATACTGGATAATTATTTATATATAACAATACTAATTATAAAAGTTGCATGTAAGTGCAAGATTCCCCCAAAACACTGAAGAAGGAAACTTAAGAAGCTTTCATATAGTTTCAAAATAACTTACCAAGTAATTAGGCAGAAAGTTGCAAAATGGTGATGAAAACAGAATTTGGCAGTGCAATCCTATTTCTTTTACATATCACTTTCTAAGCTACTACACTTCTAGGAACTAATAGCTTTGAATATATTTAATTACTCCCCCCCATCAAATGTGGGGGATCTTAAACAACTGCCACATTCCTAATTGCAGGCACTTGGATGACATATAATTATTAGGGGAAAAGTTTTATTCTTCTCCTCTGACAATTTTCAGGACTTGTGGTGGGGGTGGAGCCCAACTAATACAAAGTTCTAATAAATTGCCCTAACCTCTGATCTTGGCTTTGTGTAAACTTTAATGGTATAGTCAAAAGCAGGTTTAGGTGACTCTGGTAATTTCCCTAAGTGCTACAAAAATATACTAAGGATCAAAATAGAAAAAAATATATTATCTACAAATAAACTGTAAAATCCCTTAAAAGGGAGAAAGTATTTGGTAGGCCTTTAAATCAGCAGGCCATTTGCTGTGTGCCAAAGGAAAGGGCACAGCTAACTACCGCAATTATTTCACAGACTGAAAACTTTTATGATAGTGCCTAAACTCCCTATCAGTGGTAATGAGAGACCCCTCCCCTCCTCATCCAAACTACACAAAAAGCTAGCACACAAACACAGAGAAACTTAAAATAGCCCCAGAGGCAAAGTTTACCAGAAAAGTTAGTAAAAGTACACACATAGCTGAACTTCAATCTGAGTAGGAAGAAAAAAATTACAGGCTTGAAAAATAACCTTTTGCTTATTATAAGGTTGCAACATTCACTTTCTTACCTCATCCTAAATCATAAAAAGTTAGGAACCATGTACTAAAAAAAAAAAGTTAGGAGCCATAATGCATGCACAAACAGCACATTAACTTTAACCTGTCTATCCTCAAACACAGAGCTTCCGAAGGGACATCTGCAGTGCTTTTTAAAAGTCCTGAAGAGGGGTTAAGATCACAAATAATATAATATTGTGCTTGTACCTTCGTGACTATGCTGCTGAAGCTTAATAAACCCAATAAAAGTGCCCTTAAATGGCAGTGTCTTCAGCCACAACTTGTGTAAAAGCCCAGTATTAAGCTGAGCTCACAGTGGCGGCGCTCTGAATAAAATGGCCAGCACTGTGCACACTGCCACCAGCAGGACCCTCAGCAGCTGGGAATAATCATCCTTCCCCAAACTGATCCCTATGCAATGTGTAGTAATGATCATTCACCAACAGCTGTTATCTTGAAGGTGCCTATCAAACCCCCCAAATAAATGCCTGGGTTTGATCACAATTAAGAAACACTGGTGACTACCTGGAAAGAGAAGCACAAGCTTTTGCTACTGTAGCTTCACAGTTCCATGAATTACCTGGCCTGACTGGATGCCATTGCAGACCATGTCCAACATTCCTGCCTGGCCCTCTGTTTTTCTGGAAGCTGATTTCTTTCTTACTGGCACGAATTTCAGGGAGCACTTAGGAGTCCCCTCCAGGTCCAGGGCAGAAAGTGAAGCTTCCTCTTTCCCATTAGATGATATGCTGGATTCTTCTAAATCATATTGTGTCGACAGTGTCACATTTTCTAGCAAACCTGTGCTGCTACAATCTATATCCCTGTCCCCCAGAGTCATAGGAGACACCTCTGATTCCTGAGGGAGATTCTTCATGAGTTCCATACTTTGTGCTGTGATTTGTAAGTCTCCTGGCCAGGAAGTTTGCTCCCCTTGTCCTGGGTTAGAAAGATGCTCATTTTCTCCATCTCTGGACATAATTAATGGATCACACTGAGTGTTGACTTTCCAATCTTTCTGTAGGCAACCGTGGATTGCCTTTCGACCACTTACACATTTTGTTTCCTCCAGTGGAGATACATTATGTAAAATCATTTTGAAGTCATCCTCAGGAGGAGCACTTCTACATGAAAGCAAGGGGATTTTCTGTTCACTAATGGAATTAACAGAAAAAACAGATCTATATTGCTCTGTTCCATGAATATCTGTAACAGAAGACAAGTTTCTCATTCGTGACTGGTCTCCAGTTAAAAAGCCCTGTTTTTCTTCCCTTTCTGCAGGAGGACTACATAAACCAGAGTCGTCATCCTCTGAAGTTAGAGAATTAGTACCCCATCTGCACTTGCTGGGCTTGGAAACAGCATTTGACATGTCAATAGGTTCAACAAAAGAGCTTTCACTTTTGTTTGCATAATCCATAAAATTGGCTGGGACAAACATTCGCCATGACCGTCTGTGCTCTTTCTTTTCTGCATGAGATTTGGCTTTGGATAATCCTGAGATTCGAATAATATCACTATTTAGTTTGAGTGCATCAAAAACCATCTTTTCATCTAGTTTGTTAGCTTCACGGCCTCTCAGCTCAAACACACTAGAAGAAGTAAGGGCACCATTAGAACACAATGAACTAACATCCAGTGTTCTGTGACTGTAGGGTAAAGTTCGATCTGTAAAATGCCTGGAAGACAGGCTGCCTTTTGAGCCAGAGTCTATCTGTTCATTTAGTCGGACTGTATCATAGATTGACCGCTGTGGGACATAACAGTCTTCAATATTTAGGTCCTCTTCTTCCTCACCCTTCCCTACACAGGGGGGATTCTGACGTAAACAGTCTGGTCTGCTAAGTGGCTTCCCCATTTTGTAGACAATCAAAACAAATATTGCAGCACTTCATACAGAAAGTTAGAGATAAGGTAATAAAGCATCTTTCAAAAAACATCTACTTCTGAACAGCACTATGATGTGCCTTCAGCACAAAGGTACAGCACAAGATAATATAGGTTGTCATACATATTATGAGGTGATTAGGTCATCAGTAGTGCATTCATATAAATGCAACTATTCCTTTACCTGGTTGACTTTAGAGCAATTCTAAAAAGTAAAGTGCATCAAGAACGGAGAACAGAAATCTCCCTCCACCTTACAAAGTTCCCTTTCACACAGTCCAAAACACAGAAAAAACAAACACACTTAACAGTGGCTCACACACTCAGAACATTCCACTGTCAATCCATTTCCCTTTTCAGTCTGATTTTGCATCTGAGGTTTCCAGATTAAAATTTCCAAAGGAGCAAGCATTTTAACAGGCTGAATGTAAATTTCAACAGAGCTCTAGTTAACTGTAATCCATTTAACATGGCTTTCAAAACTCCATCTCCTTTATAAATAAACCATGCATCAGAAACTTAAAAGACAAAGGGGCTAAGGACTGTTCGGATCAAGGCACACTTAGAAGAAAAGTGTGTAATATAGTAAAAACGTTAAAAGTTTTCTTTTACTCTTTTGGGAGAGTAGCTATAAATAATCTAGACTCAAAAGCCAGTTTTTCTTCCCATATTAAGCATCTTCGAGGCAGAGTTACCCAAAGAAAAATGTCAGATGGCCAGGGCAGTTGAGAGTAAACAATCAGAAAGCATACTGTACTATCAGTAGCTTCTCTTTTAAAAAATCCCGAAGATTCTTAACTGATCTTCTTTAAAAAGGCTTATTCCACTTGAGGCAACTGCAGTGAAAGAGGACTCC